TTTGATTGTCTATTAAAATAATTCTCAGTAGCTCTGGAAATATAATTACATATGACAACAATTGTTCAGCTCAATAGGCTCAGTTAGATTCTATTACTCTACACTATTCGACAAGAAATACATTCATGACAACAAGGATACATTTAGTTGTGTTTCTATACAGCATTGTGACACCTTGTATATCTGTAACACAATAAATAAATAAATAAATAAACAAACAAATAAATAAATAAATAAATAAAATTTTCTATAACAAAATTAAACAAAATATAAATTCTGGTCCTTTGGTCCACCTTTGTAAAATAATTCCTCCCTAATCAGTTAGCTTTTATTTATTTTTATTTATCTATTTTTTTTATTATTAAATGTTTGGTTAAGGGACGCATTGCTAATTCTATGGCGTTAGCTATAACGCCCCTGAGGACCTTGTACATCTAGGCCGTACCGCCGTTAACTGGCGGTTTGAGCCGTTAACTCCTATATGCCCTACCACCGTTAACTGGTAGTTTGAGATGTTAACTCCTGGGATCTAACGTCTAGCAGCCCACTGCTGTCACCTCGGTTGCTGTAATTAGCTTTTTGAATTTAATAATTTACTGAATTTAATCTCATTCACTCACCAACGCGCTCCAACGGTTCCCTCCTACAGAGGATTGGTTCACTCTGTCGTCTCCACGCAAATCTATAAGAATGGAATTAATTTGATAAGCTATTTAAGTTTCCTTTTTTTTTTTAAGTTGCATCGTTAGCTTTTTCTCTTCTTTTTTCTTTACTCACCGCGTTGGTTCCAAGTTCCTAGCTCTTATTAGAAGGAGTCAAGTCCGCCTCTCCCTCTATCTACGCGGCACCCAAATCAGGGTTCTTCACGGCCTCGACCGTTGTTTTTTTTTTCTCTCTCTCTCTCTCTCTAACCGCTCAGTCTTTGCTTTCTGTATCTGCGTGCTGCACAGCCGTTTGTCTCTCCTCTCGCTCAGCTGCGTCGCACGGTTTTATTTCGCGGAGGCGGGACTTATTTCTCTCAGCCAATGAAATTTCAGATTCCCACCTGGACCAATAGTATACAGCTTTCCTCTTCTGTTTCTGTTAGGGATGTTCAAGATTCTTGTTTTAACCGATGTTTAATATTAAACTCGTTATTTTAGTTATTCACCCTTCCAATAATTCATTATGAAATTATCTATTAGTTAATTAGATATCTATTAATTAGTATTGTTAATTTCCTTAATTTATATTTTATATTTTATCTAAATTGAGGATGGATCATATTAGTAAGCCAATTAGTTAATACCTCATTAAGGTTCTAGCTTCTGGGTTACACTTAAAATGCCCAACTATTTTTCGCCCCATTGCTATAACGTCAGCTATGCTCCTCTGTGCTAATAAGCCCTCGTGAACAGCCAGCTGGAGCAAGTGCGCGACACACGGCAGACTTGGGAGCCCTGCGTCATTCATGGCTTTAATCATGTTTTTGGCATTGTCACGAAGCACAACGTGTACTGATGTTTTAGGTATACCCATGTCTGGAGCATTTCCTCAAACACATGCGCTGCAGCCTGGCTGGTGTGCGAGCCGCGGAGTTGTTTCGCATGTAATATGGCTCGTTGCGGCGTGAAACTCTCGTCTATCCACTGGGAAGTTAGGCTAATTAGCGACACGGGGCTAACACTGCTGGTCCAAATATCCGTGAAGAAACTAAACTCAGAGGAGGCTTGCAGTCGGCTGTGGACATGTTTTTTCACAGAGTCGTGTAATTTGGGCAGCTCTGTGTCAGTCATGTAGCGGCGGCCTGGTGCATCATATCTGGGCTCCAGAACATGGAGGAATCCCACATGGAGGAGACGCAGGAATCCCACATTTTCTACCTCCGAGAGTGGCTGGTCACTCAGTGCAATGTACTCCATACTAGCTTGTGTTATTTTCACAGCACGTGGAATGTCTTTGGACATTTTCTCTCGTCTTGCAAGAGTTTGCTGCAGCGTGGGTTGTGTTGGTTTAGCATCGGTAAACTCTTTGTACTCGTTGTTGTGTTTGGATTTTAGGTGCTTGATTAAATTACTTGTGTTAAATGCGCTACCTTTTGCACCTCCTCTGGACAACTTCGCCGAGCACAATTTGCAGTCCGCCTTTGTTTTGTCGTCTTCATCCACTTTGAAATAGTTCCACACTGCTGACATGTTGTTTCATCCCGTCTCGCCTCGCCTTCTCCCTGCTCTGAGCTGCAGCTGGGACCCTGGGGGCGGGCACTCGGCACCTGTGATTAACCCCTTACTCGCTGCTCAAACAGACATTTCTCAGACCGTGGTATCGGTCCCTGGCATCGAGGGACTTTTAACGAGTACGAATACTTTAGAAAATGTGGTATCGAGGCCAATACCCCATCCCTAGTTGTGATCTGTGGGGGAAACCGGAGTACCCGGAGGAAACCCACGCATGCATGGGGAGAACACACAACTCCACGCAGAAAGGCCACAGCCGAGTTTCGAACCTGCAACCTTCGTACTGCGAGGCAACAGTGCTACAAACTGCGCCACCATGCAGCTCAGTGTGACTAAGCTAACGAGCTGCAACCAGAGCAGCCTCTTGTGGAAATAGCAAGGTACCGAACCATAAAACCACCTTTGCCCAGACTACTCTCAGTGAAAGGTGCCAGGCTTGGGCTTCCCGTCGATTTGAAATGTCTCACCGGTTTTTAGTCTTTTAAAAAGCAAACCAAATCCTGGCTGTCCCAGCAGCGTTGCACGTTTCATAGATGTAATTGTTATTTTCTTTTTCCCTTAGTTATAATGTTTCTGTGTCTTAAACTTATTATTGTTACTTTTTTGTAATTTTATTGTGCATATTTGTTTTCTCTTTAATTTATGATTGTAAAAGTCCATCTGTGGACAACTGCTGCAAATTAGCTAAAGCTACAAACATGGGGCTGTGGTTTTACGGTTTGTCTATGTACTTGTATCTGTCCCTAATGAAATAAACAAACGAGAAAGTGGCATACGGTAGTTAGATGGGGGCATGTTACTGTCTGAACAGAGCTCTTAATTTTGTATAAAAAGCGACTGATCTGAGGGTCTCACTTTGTTTCTTTTCTTGTTCTCTCCAGTTATTGTTTTGTCTCTTAATCTTATTAAATTCTGCTTTGAACTTAACTGAAAATAAATTATGGGAATGTGTAATTAAAAAGTTACGTATTATTGTCCCAAAGGAATAAAAGATGCACAGATGAAAGATTCTTGGTGCAGACAGTAAAGGGTTAATAAAGAGCGTAGTAGCTTAGAATAAAAGACCTTTGTGGTCCAGGCTTGTTCAACGGGAATTTCACCTTCTACTGACCTGTTTAAGGTTTTTGTGGTTTTGCTTTCAACCAAATTTGATTGATTGGATTGTTTTCTGTGAGTCAGCAGAGGTAACTCTGAGGATTGTGGATTAGTCTCCTGTGACCTGTACTCCCCAGTAGGCCAACTAGTGGTTGTTGTGGTGGGAATAGGGATTTAGTGACACACCTTCCTTCCACAGCGTTCCAATTCCGACGAGACTGTCTGACTGTTTTCACCGTTATAATAAAAACAACAAGCCTGGTTTTCAGTATTACTGCTGTAAAGTACAGGCGAAACAGGAAAATGTAGAAGATGATGTAAAAATTTGTTTATTTCAGTAATTCAACTTAAAAGGTGAAATTAACACATAATATAGACTCATTACATGCAAATCCAAATGTTCAAGACTTTATTTCTTATAACTGTGGTGAGTATGACTTACAGCTGATGAAAACTTTAAAATATTAGAATGTTGTGAAGAGGTCACATTTTTAGACTCAGGCCTAGTCCACACGTAGTCGGGTTTTTTTAAAAACGAATATCCGCCCCTCCAAAAACTTGCATCCACACCACCTTGTTTTAAAAAATAACTCTGTCCACACATACCCGGATAAATACGTTGTTAAGGACATGCCAGACCTGTAGGCGGCAGTACTTCCCCCGTTCTTAACCTCGTCCTTCGTCTGTGGTCTTCCGCAAGGAGCAGTAATTCCGCTTGCAAAAACAAACAAGCAGAAAGCGCTTGGACGATTGATAAAGCGAGCGCAGCTCTGAGGGCATCCATGCTGTCGGCTAGTGAACTAGACCAAATTCTTGCTTTGCAAAGTTTGGTCTAGGCACGCTCCACTGGAACCTCCGCAGCTCCTACCACGACTCTGGCTAGCCAATCACAGCTCTCTAGAGGGGTTTCAAACACATAAAGAGCTGTGATTGGTCCATAATGGTGGGCCAATCATAGTGCTCTATCTGCTTAGTGAACAAATCACAGAGCTTTATTCGCTTTGTGGGCCAATCAGGGCACTCTATATGCCTGGTGGGTGGGATGATGCAACAGAGTGAAACAAGAGTATGTCACCTTCATTGTCCAGTAGACAACGGTAGAACCCGCCCCACAACCGAGAGCCGTCAGTGGAGCGTTGCCAGACTAAATAATACATTTATTTAGTCTGGCTTGCCAGGCTAAATCCATGCTGTCGGCTAGTGTAAACACAGGTCGCACACGTGATGTCAGCATTTTTTGTCACGGAAAGTGACGTTGCGGACCTTAAAACTCCGGTTTTGTCTGTCCACACGCAGACACCCAAAACGGAGAAAACGCAGATTTTCTCTTTGGCCGGAGTTTTTAAAAAGATCCGTTTTCGTGTGAAAAAACTTGGTTTTCGTGTGGATGACAGGCCAAAACGTAGGAAAATATCTACGTTTTGGCAGATCCCCGGCTACGTGTGGACAGGGCCTCAAAGTGTCACACTCTAATAAGCTAATGAATCCAGAACACCTGCAAAGGGTTCCTGAGCCTTTAGGTGGTCTCTCAGTTTAAGCTGGATTACTGAAATAAATAAATGTTTTCACCACATTTTAAATTTTCATGTTTTACATGTAAACTGTGAACATTTCCATGCTTTACTTAAGTGATATTTAAAGGTTATTTTAGTTATCTTATTCTGTTTGACCAGCGGTCCTTCTTTGCAGACGAGACCGTGACTCTGTCTGCAGTTCTGGAGCGACTCAGCTCTCACCTGGCTCAGATCAAAGTGCTGCACAAAGTCTTCTGCACAGGAGTTGCAGAAGTTCCACCTGCCACCCCCAACGTGGTGCGGGCCTCTCACCTGCTCAACACACTCTACAAGGCCATCATTGAATATGACAGTGTTGGAGAAGCATCAGAGCAAACGGTGAATGCTGTCGGCCAGTTCTGCATGGTTTAAAATGTTTTTGGTGTTTACTAGGAAGCACATCTAACTGTGTGATGATTGTTGGTTTCTAGGTGGCCCTGCTGTTTTCTTTATGGACAGAAACAGTCCGACCTTATTTAGAGATTGTGGATGAGTGGATTGTTCATGGCCATTTGTTCGATCCTGCCAAAGAGTTCATCATCCAAAGGTATGTGGCAGGAAGCGCTGGTACGGTAAAGAAAAAAAAACACCTTTCAGCTGAATTATCATCTTTATTGCTCAGAAACAAGGATGTCCCGGTGAACCACAGAGACTTCTGGTACGCCACATACACGCTGTACAGCGTGTCGGAGATGGTGGATAACGAGGAAAAGTTAAATGATGCAGCCAGCGGGAGCTCTGGAGGCGATCAGAGCTCCAGCAACAGGCAGCTCACCATGGTGTCCTTCCTCAAACCCGTCCTAAAGCAGATCATCATGGCTGGGAAGTCCATGCAGCTGCTTAAAAATCTAGACTGGAAGGAGGCTGAGAGCTCTGAGACGTCCTCCAGGGGTCTGCGTTTGTCCCAGCAGTGCTTTTGTTCATGCTTAGTTTTTTGTTGTAACTTGTTCAGTAAATGATAACATGTTATGTTGCAGATGCAGAGAGGAAAAGTTTGTACACACTCTTTCTGGAGTCTGTGCAGTCGCGTCTCTGCAGCCAAGAAGGGAGTCCAGCAAACACCGTGTCTGAACAGCAGGCCACAGCGAGGAGTCTCGTAAAGATGCAGTCCATCATGGCACAACACCTGGAGATCGATGATGTCCATGACCCGTTACTGGCCATCAACTTTGCCAGGTATGTTGAGTTGGGATGTTCCAATCCGATCACGTAGTTGGAAATTGGGCCCAATCGTGATTTTCAAATGATTTTCTAATCCTAAGATAGAGATTTTCAAACTGATTACCAGTAGCTTAGTTTTACAGCAATATTCTCTACATGAATATAGATATTGTTGTATAAATAACAAAAACACCATAACTTCACACAATTTAAGGCATCCAGGGAATAAACGTAGCTGTTAGCTAACGGGCTAATGCAGAGGTAATGTGTCGTATCTGGACACCAGACAGCAAGGGCAGTGCAGCAGCCACTTGTAATGTGTGCAGACGGTGTTTAGTGTGGTAGAAAAGACAGAGCTGCGTTCGTTCAACACTGCAAATCTGCTACGTCGCCTTCAAACTTCTTTTTCAGCATTTCCTTTCAGGCATTGCCACTGAAAATTACCATTAGTTTTAATTAGTTTTAGTCTGTCACTAACAGTCCATAGATCACAGCAGCAACTTGGACAAAAACACAGACCCACCCAACTTTGAAGGATATGTTAAAAAAACAAATTGTCTTTGGACAGAAAAAAGGTCACAGCCAAGATTTCTGTAATTATCTCACTGAATGAGCGTCTGTGTTTGCAGACGTAGGGTTCCCCTGGAGCTGCGGTACGAGTTGTTTTCTCGTCAGTACACATGTAGCTCTCAGCTGTTTTACAGACGAGATCAGACCTGCCAGCCAGACGGGGGAGAAGCATCATTCATCACACCCACATGCTGTTGAAACATTTTGAAGTATGAGCGATGAGACAACTTTTAAATACATTTGTAATATTAACATGTTTCTTATCAATGTACTTCCTGAACGAGTGATGCTTTTTGGGCAGATAGAACAACGAAATTACATTAATACAGGAAAGAGGAATGCATAAATAATAATAATAAATCTCAAAAAGACAACTTGGGTGTTTTCTTCTTTTAATTGATTGCTGAAGGATCGGATTGAGACCCGGTGTCACCAGATACTCAAAATCCAACAACTGTGACTCGGATTGAGAGCAAAATAATGTGATCGGAACATTCCAAGTGCAGATTCATGGGGTACTTCTGGTTTGATGAAAAAAGATACGAGAAGAATAAAGTCAAGGGACTGAAATCATTCAAACAAGAAGGTCATCATATAACACATCTTAGGGATTGTTTGGGGTCTTGCTTTGTTTAGGAGCTCTTTCATCTCCCTCTGCAGGCTCTACTTGGAGCAGAGCGACTTCCATGAGCGTTTCTCTGGCGGTGACTTCATTGTGGACCGCTCGTCTCAGTCGATCACCTGCCAGACGTTCGAGCTCACGCTGCGTTCCTGCCTCTACCCCCACATCGAGAGGAGGTACATTGAGTGCTGTGGGAACCTGATGAAGACTCTGAAGAAAGACTACATGTAAGCACCCCTTTGAGGTTGAGTAAGTTTTGTTTGGATCATTTCACGTATTTATCTCCTAGATGTGTCCCCCAGGCTGTTGGAGTACCTCCAGGCGATGAGGAACCACTTTCTGCTGGAAGCTGGAGACACCATGTATGACTTTTACACCGCCATCTTTGACAAGGTGCAGGAGAAGGAGAGCTGGCAGCAGCCCTCCTTTCTCAACATGCAGCTGCAGGAGGCAGTCGGACAGCGCTACCCAGAGGATAGTAGTCGGTACTGCATCTCCTTGGATGTCTAGAATGAGATTTTAGGTGTGTGAAATCTGTAGTCAACATTTTGACCAACATCATATATTTTTAGGTTATCTGTCTTTTTGGAGAACATTGACCCCTCCAGGAAAAAGCACCCAGTGAATAATTTAGATGCTCTAACCCTGAGCTACAAGGTAAACAGCATAAGTGTGTTCTCTTGGTTTTTACTAAAGCTGCTGAAGCACACTGACGTCTGTTTGGTCGGCTCTCCGCAGGTTCCCTGGCCTGTTGACATTGTGATCAGCTCTGAGTGTCAGAAGATTTACAATCAGGTGTTTCTCCTCCTGCTGCAGATTAAATGGGCTAAATACAGTCTGGACACACTTCGATTCAGCGGTATGTGCTTGGATTAAAATGTGCATTTTAAGTTCATCATTCAGTTAGATTTTCTATTCTTTTTTTTTCTTTTATAAACAAACAAACTAAAAACTTGGATTTTGGTCATTGTTACTCAGAATAACACAAAAATACAAACTTAGACTTTGATTAGTCACAGATTTTTCCACATTCTCCGAAGTGCCTCGTGATTTTTATCTTGAGAGGCGCGATATAAAAGATCGTTTTCTTTCTTTTAAATAATTCCTTTAAATGAACAGCAGCTGTAAAATTCCCGTTTAGGTAAACTGGGATGGTATAGGAAAAGTTAAAGTCCCATACGCGAACGTAAACCCTAAACCGTAACGTTTGTGGTCTTCCGTATCCTCCGTATCTAAATACTGCCTCTTGTATGTTTTATATTTAGATTTTACAGACATCGCTGAGAAACTGGAAGGGTCTTTAGGTGAGGAAGTAAAGCCGAAAGAGCCTTCAAACCAACAGATTCACAGAATGTGTCTACTGCGAGTGAAACTGATGCACTTTGTCAACAGCCTTCACAACTACATCATGACCAGGGTAAGAGGATCTTTTACTCAAATGCATACTTTCAGATCTCATTACGGTAAAACCGCAGCTTTTGTGGCCAAAAGTCCCGTAACAATGTTTTCACCTTTAGTAATCGTACCTTTAGGCATTAAAAAGTCTTAAACACATACAGATTTTACATCCTAGGTCATAAATTACTTAGTTCTGACATCAATTTGTACATTTGTCATTATTTGGTGGGAGAAACACCAACTTTTATTTGCTTTGTATTCTATCTGAGTGTTTTGAGTGTTATAAAGTTGTAATAAAGCTTCTAAACCCATGAATGAACAGCTGTGTCAGAGTTTAAGGAAAATGCTCACAAGAGTGACCCAGATCTGATAAAATTAGTTTAGAGACTTCAGGCTAGCTGTTAGTGTGTAAACCAGATCAGACCTAAACTATTCCTTCTTGTATGATGCAGTAAACCTTGATTTAGTAGATTACTTCTAAAATGTGTGTTTTATTATAAAATTTTAGGGATGTAAGAAAATATCGGTATGGCAATATATCTGGATATATTTTCTAGCGATTTTATATCTGATGGAGCCATCAGTAGGAACCTGTGTGGAGTTTTTATCTTACTTTCTGGAAAAAGCTGAAGCGGCGAGGTCAGCTTCCTCTCAGAACTCAGCTGATGACCCGTCTCCTCCATCTCGCCCATCTGTGTTTTTAAGTTCCTTTACACGGGTAACCTTGCCCGAGCGTGAGAGGATCGTCTCAAGGTTAAAACCTGCTGGCTCTCCACGTGATGTTATGCCAGCCTGGGTGTTGAAGTTGGCTTTTTCTACCCTTGCTCCCCCCCCCCCCCCCCCCAACCCTGGTTAACAGCAGTTTAACCTCCAGCACAGTTCCAAGGGAGCTTAAACACGCTGTTGTGCGGCCATTATTAAAGAAACCAGGGTGTGATCCAGAAATCATTTCCAACTGTAGGCCAATCTCAAATTTGCCATTTTCTGCTAAAACACTGGAGCGTGTTGTGTTTCTACAGCTTCAGTCTTTTCTTGCCCAAAAAGACATCCTGGAACCATTTAGGTCTGGTTTCCGAGCTGGACACGGCACTGAAACTGCCCTCTTAAAAATTGTAAATGATACATTTTTAGCAGCTGATGCAGATGAGGCTGTGGTTCTGCTCTACTGGACTTAACAGCATTTGATACGGTTGACTATCAGATTCTGATGAATCGGCTGGAACACTGGGTGGGGCTCACTGGATGAGGTCCTATCTCATGGATAGAACTTTCTCTGTTTCTGCTGTGGCCCCCAGACTCTGGACCTCTCTCCCCCTGAGCCTGAGATCAGTGGACTCGGTGGTCTCCTTTAAAAAGCAGCTGTAGACTCACTTGTTCAAGCTGGCTTTTGTATGACCTTCTTCACCTCTCTCTCTTTATTCTGCTCTCCCCACCTATGGGGCGACGGTGGCACAGGAGTTAAGTGCTCACCCCATAATCGGAAGGTTGCTGGTTCGAGTCCAGCTCAGTCTGTCGCTGTCGTTGTGTCCTTGGGCAAGACACTTAACCCACGTTGCCTGCTGGTGGTGGTCGGAGGGACCGGTGGCGCCAGTGCTCGGCAGCCTCGCCTCTGTTAGTGCGCCCCAGGACAGCTGTGGCTACATCGTAGCTCATTCCCACCAGTGTGTGAATGGGTGAATGACTGATTGTGTTGTAAAGCGCCTTGAGGGGTTCCATGAATCTAGAAGGCGCTATATCAAATACAGGCCATTTACCATTTACCATATTCCACCTCCCTCAGGATCCACTGATTTCCCTCTTTCCTATTCAGGGCTCTGTTTTGGGCCCCCTGCTGTTCTCCCTCTATCTGCCACCACTGGGACTGTTGTTTAGAAAGCATAACATTAATTTCCATCTCTGTGCTGACGATTGTCAGCTGTATATGCTTGTTAAACGGGGGGCCAGAGGTAGCATACAGCAGCTGGTGAATTGCCTGCATGATGTTACCCAATGGATGGGGTCCAACTTCCTTTCTTTAAATGAGGGAAAAACAGAAATAATAGTTTTTACTCCAAATGACCGCCAGCCCCATGGACTGGACCTTTCATCGTTGCTCCCCTACGAGAAGTCCGTGATAACGGACTTGGGTGTCAGTTTGATAATCAGGTGAACTCTGTTGTTCGTTCTTGTTTTTATCAGTTAAGGCGCTTATCTAATATTAAGTTGATCTTAACAAAACAGGAGTTGAAAACTGTAGCCAATGCTTTTATCATCTCTAGGCTAGAGTACTGCAACTCCCTCTATGCTGGCTTGAGCCAGTCCTAATGACTCCGCTCCAGCTGGTCCAAAACGCTGTAGCCGGATTTTGTATGGAGCACGTAAGTGGCAGCATGCCACTCCCCTCCTGACAGCTTTGGACTGGCCACCGGTGAAGAGTTGCACCTTGTTAAAAATCCTGGTCCTTGTTTTTCAATCTCTGTCTGGATCAGCGGCAGCGCCACCATATTTAGCCTCCCCGCTGACCCGTTACGTCCCTGCAAGATCGCTATGTTCCGGTCAGAGTGACCTTTTGGTGGAACCGCGATCAAAGTGTAAGTCTAGCCCTTACCTCACATTAGAGCATTTTTTTGTGCTGACACGTGTATTTTTGTGAATAACTTTGGCTATGTTAATGCAATTTATCTAATTTTTATGGAGGATGTGTATTTTGGAAGGAATTACAAAAAAAAGTTTGAAAAAATATTCAACCTACTTTATTAAAACGTGGAAATCATTTTGTACAGTTAAGCACATTGAAGCATTTTTTTGTGCCATTGACTTTCATGTAAATCATATATTTTTAATTAGCATAAATATTGGCATAATTTTAAAAATTTATGATTGTGCCCGTGTTTACAGTCTCATCACAAATGTAAGAAGCAGTTTTTACCGTTTTTCACTACATGGCATACTTTCTCCATATATAGCAGGGCAATGGCTGACCCAGCATTTAAACTGAATGATTTAGCTGTATTTCTTTACCTCTGACTGCCCATTATAAAACATATTTTGCAAAAAAATGGTTTGTGTGTTATTTAGAGATGCCATACAATAGTTTGCATGTGTGTGTTCTGAATTTTTGGTAATTGTGCTTTTTCAGTGTTCTTTCAAAAAATAAGCCTGACTGAATGTACAAAATTAGCTTATTCTGCAAAATAGCATTTTGACATGTGTTCCTTTGTGTGTGATTGTGCAGGCATGCATGTATGTAGGTATCAAAGCACTTTACAGATCTTCAAAAGACAGATCTGTGATCATTATCTGGAGTGGTTGAGCAGGTGTGGGCAATGGGAGTGTAGGGGGGGGGCACAGGTTCTCACACTCTGTTGACTTCATGAATATTCATCAAAGGCATGCTATATATCAAAAATCAAAGGATTTTCTGCTAAATTTCAGATACTCATTCACAATTTTACTTTTGCAAAATGTTATTTCAATAAGTATAAAGCATTTGCATGGATGAAAGCTAAGATGAAGGCTGAAAAACTTCAAAGGCGTACATTTGTTTTTCAAAACAAATTCCTGCAGAATCGAATTTTGTTTACATTCAGTAGGGGCAGCTTACACAGGTGCACCAATTGACTAAAAGTACATATATGAGACTCAGATCAGGATTCATTTCTTTGAACCGCAACCATGAGAAGAAGATTCAACGTGAATGAAGCCCTGGAGGTGTTTCAGCAGCTTGAGGAAGAGGGAGAGTCAGCCTCATCCTCATCCACGGATGACAGCTGCATGTTCTTCGGATGAAGAGGCTGAAGATCAGGCCTTTACCCCAGGGCCTGATTCAGGGGAAGAAATGGAAGAAGGTTCAGATGAGGAAGTGGTTGCTGCAGAGGAGAGATGGGACCATCCTTTGTGGCAATCAAAGAGCGGGATCGCCTGGTCCCCGACACCCGACACCAGGATCCCCTTTCGGGCTCCAGACGTCCGCCATTGTGGGATCACCCGCCTCGCTGTCAGCTACATCCAAACTATTGAGGACAGCTTCGATTTTTTTTAACTATAACAATCCTAGATGTAATAATAAAATACACCAATATAGAGGGAAGAAGAAAATATGACGATTGGACAGACGTTGACCGCGTGGAACTCCGGGCATTGTTTGGGTTGCTCATCCTCGCTGGTGTGCACCGTTCCCGTGGGGAATCATCTGCCAGCCTCTGGGGGGAGGAAACGGGGAGGCCGATATTCAGAGCCACGATGAGTTTGGGAAGGTTCCACATGCTGACTGCAACATTGCGCTTTGATGACCGCTTGACCAGGGCAGCCCGCTGGTTGGTGCAGCAGGACAAGCTCGCTCCCCTGCGGGAAGTGTGGGACCTCTGGGCGGCCCGGCTCCCTCTCGCCTACAACCCCGGTGAAGATGTCTGCGTTGATGAACAGCTCGTCGGATTCAGAGGTCGCTGCAACTTCAAGCAGTACATGCCCTCAAAACCGGCAAAATATGGCATCAAGCTGTGGGTGGTGTGCGATGTGGCCACTTCTTATGCCTGGGGGATTATTCCCTATCTGGGCAAGACGACTCGAGACGCCCCGGCAGAAAGGGGGCAAGGGAAGCGGGTGGTGCTGGAACTCACTGAGGGACTGAGCGGCCGCACTGTCACCACGGACAATTTTTTCACCTCGCTGGTTCTTGGAGAGGAGCTGCTAAAAAAAAAATCTGTCTTGTGGGAACAGTTAGGCGCAACAAGCCAGAGTTGCCCCCACAGCTGCTCCAGATGAAAAGCAGAGCGGTTCTGTCCTCCCTGTTCGGCTTCACCTCCACCGCCACCGCGGTGAGCTACTCCAAAGCGCCGGCGGAACGTTCTGCTCCTCAGCACCAAACACCATCAGGTTCAGATCCAGGAGGGACCGCAGCAGAAGCCGACCGTAATCATCGATTACAACCGCTGCAAAGGGGCAGTTGACAACTTGGACAAGGTAATCTATTTATTTTATTTTGTTTTATTATAATTCACCAACCTAATTGCATATGTAATTTATGTATTCATTTATTTTTATTCCAGCTCAGCTGCCGCCGCAAGACCAGACGTTGGCCCATGTCGCTCTTCTGCAACATGTTAGATGTGAGCGCCTACAATGCCCTGGTCCTGTGGCTGTCTGGAACTGGCCTGGAACCAGCAGAAGAGGAGCATCTGGAGCTCCATGGTGAGAACCAGCCCAGGCGAGGTGCACTCGCTTGCCGCGGTCCAGCAGCGCTGCAGCTTTGTTGCAGGTGCAGCACCAGCCCAGGAGCAGACAAAGAAAAATGCCACCTTTGCAGAGGGAAGAGGAGCGTGCATGCACGCTTTTGCCAAGCATGTGGACAGGCTGTTCGCTCACTCCCCTCTGTGTTTCTCTCTCTTTCTCTCTCTCTCTCTCACACACACACACACACACACACACACACACTTTTTCTTTGTTCGTGTGCTTTAATAAAGTGTTCAACTGGTTATCTTTGTAAGTGCATTTTTTTGTGCTCTAATGACTTTGACGTGAGTATTTTAGAAAATATGACATTACACAAAAACTAAAAAGTGAGCAAAAAATATTTTTATGCCTATTTGTGACACTCCAAGGCTGTGACAACTTACCCACAAAAAAGGTCATCTGGACATAACACACAAAAAATGATTTGATTTTTTCATTTTTTGTACAGTTTTCAAACTTCGGGTTTTGCTAATAAACCTGGCAATGAAGGGGTTAAATCTGAGAAACACACACATATTTTATTATATTTTGTTAGGGCTGAAGCCAAGGATGAAATTCATGTAAAAAAAATTGGGACTTATGAAATATTATGTAATATTTCTAAAGGAAGCTTTCTAAGTGCATTTTTTTGTGCTCTAATGACTTTAACGTTAGAAAATTTAAACGTTGGGTAAGGGCTAGGGATGATCGTGCCTTTGCAGTTCTGGGTCCTCGGCTTTGGACCCAACTCCCACAAGAAATCAAACGGTCCACATCGCTGCCCACTTTTAAAGCAAGGCTTAAGCTGTATTTTAGATCTGTTTCTTAGTTGTTTCTATTCACAATTTAATGTTTTTAATCACTATTTTTATTGTTTTTAGCTTTTTTTTTCATTTTTAAATGTTTTTGTCTCTGTATTTTATTATAGAGCTGTTTTATTGTGCTACTTCTTTGCACTTTGTTGAGCACCTTGGGTCCCCTTGATTGGGGGTGGGAAGGGGCTTTATAAATAAAATGATTGATTGATTGATATTCAAAAGCTGTGTATCCAGTTTTTGGAAGAATTTAAATGTAAACATTTGTATATTTTCTTTTCTTTTGGTGCAATTCAAACACCGACCACTAGTCTGCAGCAGTGTGCACTGGGATTTGTTTCCACCACTGAAATGTAAATCCCTCTGCTCTGATTCAGATACCTCATTTTAAACATGTTAAATATCAGTTTGGACTGTTTATTGAATTTTTTTACAATAAATTCAGTGAAACAAAATCACTAATAACGTCTGACTGAATGTATCGCAATAAATCATGATGCGTATCGTATCGCCAGAATTTCACCAATACACAGTCCTATAAAATTAACATTTTATTTATTTTAATCAATTGTTGAATTATTAATAATTTAACACCTTTTAGAAACCACCTGCTAATCTTACAGTTTGCCAATTTAAAGACAAAAAAATGTAATTAGAAATAACACGTTCGTTTCTTTTCTATTATTCATTTAGACCTTAAAACATGAATCTAAAGAAGCTTTTTGAAACGTGTCTTGTGTTTTGGCAGATTCTGCACAGCACTGGACTGGAGTTTCAGCATCAGGTGCAGGAAGCAAAGGACCTGGATCAGCTGATCAAAATCCACTACAGATACCTGGCGACTATTCATGACCGTTGCTTGTTGAGGGAGAAGGTGAGTGGGCAGTGCTGAGGTTAACGTACAAGTTGCAGCTTAGGAACAGAATAGTTTCAGGTTATGGAAATATGAACAAACACAAATTCTAAAGGTTTGCCGGAGAGAGTGGTTTAAACGGTTTGTCAACTGAACGTCTGAGTTACAACACTTGTGTACATAAGCTGCTGCTTTATGACTCCTGTGTGTTTTCTCAGGTCAGTTTTGTGAAGGAGGCGATCATGAAAGTTCTCAATCTGGTCCTCATCTTCTCAGACCGCTGGCAGGCTGGATTTGGAGCTTGGAAGTAAGAATTTTTAAGTTGAACTAAACTTTCAATAGAAATCTTGTTGCACAGCAGTTCAACATCTAATGTTTGGTTTGTTTTCCCCAGGATCGAGTCCATTGATAAAGTGGAGTCAGATTTCAAAAACTGTCACATGTTCCTGGTGACGATACTAAATAAAGCTGTGTGTCGGGGCTCCTTTCCTCACTGTGAGTAAATCCCTTCAGCATATTTATGTCCTGCTGGTTTCCATTAAAACACATGCTAGTAAAGGTCTGAATGGACATTTTACTTTTATTCCAATAATTAATATTTCCTTTATTCTATTTCGCGTAGGCCTTACCCTTTTAGGCCGGTTTGGGTAACGTGCCTTCTTTAACCAATCACTGAAAAGTTTTTAATATTTGCCCTCCTACTGGGCAGGTCTCGATCCATCTCCCAATTTTCTCTCTGCACAGTCATTTGTGGAATTTCTGAAATAAATCAACAATATTGTAATTTTGATGAACAGTACTTGTATAACGGGCTGTTATCAGGCAGACTCTGGCCCTTTTTTGCCTGCTGTTCATCTACTGTGTTAATACCGATGGTTAATACACATTTAGGACTTTTCCAACAGCACTACTCCGTGTGAGTCGGGAAGGTTCAGTTCAGGCTGGTCGCTTTTTCCAACAGGACAGTTTTGGTATTTCCCCCTACGTTCCCTCTACCTTTAAGTACCTGTTCTGTTGTGGTTCCAAGGGCTGAGCTGGGCCAGCATCACAACTTTTGGATGCTGATTGGCTTGGGGGTGGAGTCACTGGTTGCTCTGGAGCTTTCTGGCTGCTTCCTCAATACATCCAACTTTGCCTTTAACATAAACCGACCTTAAAGGGCGGAGCCTGTATGAAATTGAATGATGGTTGCGTATTGTAACCCCAGATTATGAGTATAGGTGAAGCCCTTTAAGGCGGCAGGCCTCACTGGTTACGGTAGATTTAAGAGCCTTTGGAAAACGAATGGTGATTTTAAACCCCCTTCTATACTGGATCAGGGCCCGCCCAGTGGGCGGGCACTTTTTAAAAGCTCTTCAGTGATTGGTTGAAGGAGGGACGTTACCAAAACCAGCCTTAAAGGGCTATGTCTGTACTCATAGAATGTGGGGACATAATACCTAACGATCCTTTGTCTTATTTCCTTTCAGTGGAGTCTCTGGCTCTGTCTCTGATGGCAGGATTCGAGCAATGCTGAACAACCATCCCTGTTTCAGCGTTTATGGCCATCAGTGCTTTTCCATCATGCTCAAGATGTTACTGATGTCATTTATCATCTCACTGTTCAGACAGTTGTAGATGGACAGGTTAGAGTGGCAGGTGTCACTGTTAAAGCTTCTTACATCCATTTCTCTATTTAAAAAGGGTTTTGTAATTATATATTTTATATTTTAATTGCTGTACTTATTGTTACTGTGTATAACAATACACATGTGTAATTTACACATGTATATTGTTAATATACATGTGTAAATTACACATGTGTATTGTTAATATACATGTGTAAATTACACATGTATATTGTTAACATAAATGTGTATCTGTATTAAATAAAAAATTACAAGGTTGATGTATTGTTATTATTTGTACTTAAAAAGTTTTTAAGGGAACCAAAAGTGTGTTGATGAGATCAGAAAATCTAGACTAGAAGTTTCTGTACACACTGAGGCAGAGTGGCATCAAAAACAAGGAAATGTACATCAATCAAATCAAATCAAAGATACTTTATTAATCCCAGAGGGATGTACGTTTGTGTATCAAATTAATTAAAAAACAATGTTTTATGGAAATAAAGGTAAATGTTCTTATGAGATCTGATAACATTTCCCTCCTGAAAAAACTTAGTAGCCTCTTGTTTGAGTTGAATGTGTTCTAAATAAATGTTTTCTATCAAATATACATATGAAAAAAGCAGTTTTCTCTAGAGAATTGAAAAAGCAGATCTGATTTTAATTGGACTCAGACCATTCCAGCCACCTGGTGCCCACACCAGCTCCCGGATGCAGTGCATGGCAGGTCATTTGAGCACATACTGGCTAGAGAGAATTATTTAAAATATGAAAAAATTGCAAAGTATCCCTTTAATCTCCAAAGACGAATGTGGTCACAGCAATTCTAATCCGCAAATTGTAGAAGAGATCCAGTTACACCGTTGTTGCTTCAGCTGTGTAAAATCCAGGAGGTTCTGAGGAGGAACGTCATCTTGCAGCTCGTTGGCATTTCGAACAGATCTGGAAGCTTTGTGCTAAACCCCGTTAGCTTTGAGATGTTTCTTTCTTGTTCATCTGCACAAAGATGTGCTAGATAATCTAAAGTAGTAATATCTAAATGTCTTCTGTTTTGTTAGCTGTAATCACAGAGCTACAGCTCTGGATAAAGGCTGGAGAAGGGTGAGACCCCATTAAGGTCGAGTTATGGGGCCCTTAAAGTACACAGACGAGAGGGCATACATGGTTCTCATGTAAGTCAACCATCTGGGTCCCACGGAAAATTCAGTCAAGGCTCGTTAAAAATCATATTGGGATAAACTCCTCCAGTCCACCATGGACAAACCCAAATGTTAACCATATTCTTGCCCAGATGAGACCCAATCAGGGTGCAGTGAAGTACCCCTTAAAGCCATGCTATGAAACTTTTTCATACTTTAAAATAATTTTCTTGAGCCAGTAGCCTAAAACGACTCTTTACAAGGTTAATGAAATGTCACTCCGAACTCCGCTGACCTCTGGCCGCTCTGTTGGTAGCTAGTATATCTGGCGCTGCAGTCTGGTTCCAGCACGTTTCCTGCATGTATTAGATCATGAACACAGCTGATTTATTTAATTTAGTGATGAACCACTCCTGTAGAAAACAATTAAGGCTGGGGAGAATTTTCTGCAGTTAGATTAAGGTGTTCAAAAGATGAACGCACAGCAAGGAGATAGGTTTTGCTTTCGGTTTGACCCCAAAGACCACTAACGTACACTAGGGATCGCTAAAAGCAAATAAAACTGCCAAATGTGCCCTTAAAGCACTCAGGTGGGGCATGCATAGGTATCTTATAAGTCAACCCACTGAAAAACCAGTCAGAGCCCATGTGAGCAAACCCCTGTAGGTCCATCATGGAAATCGTGGACAAGCCCTGTTGGGACCCATATTTGCACATTTCCCATATGGGGCCTACCTGTGTATGGGGCTGGGATCGACTATCTGAAACTACGTGATTGGCAAGGAGAAATAAATTCTTGTATTTTTCATTATTTTAGTCAATTTCCAACAATGGACCTAGAAGGAAAATGTTGCCACACCTATATTTATATGGTCTCCTTTATTTTTTATTATGCTTGTGATTTTCATCTTGTACGGTGCCTAACGGTTACATCTCTGTTCTAGTGTGCTCATAACCAGTTAAGCTCACCAACCGTAAAACGTGCCGCTGTTTTCCTGACTTTATTTTGTCGATAAAAGCCATAGACTACATACATAAAAGCTACTTTTTTTTTTTTGCACTAACCGCCCTCCACACACGAGGGTGGCCCCGCCTACTCGCCCCGCCCAGCCCAGCCTACTGTACATTCATTCCTGCTTCTTTGATCCATGGCGGCGTCCCTAGTGGACGGAATCAGAACCGCAGCTCTCTTCAAGCAGTTTCCTGTTAAGTTTCCCTGTTTGAGGGACAGGAACTCCCTGCCTTACTTCTCTCCCCCGCCCATGATAATAACACCGTACGGCAGAAGATTCCTGAGGCCGACGAAGGAGAACTAACCGTCGGACCGAAACACTCGGAACATCCGGGGCAGAACTAGAAGTGGGATTCGCGTTTCCGTCTACATGTAGTCAGATTTACGTCCGCGCAACTTTTCCCTGCTAACCAACAACTTCGGGTGAGTAGGAATGATTGATGTCGAAGCTGGTTTTAAATGTGTGTGTGACCCTTCAGCTGCCTCGCCCACGGGACTGATAAACAAGCACCAGCGGCCCATGAAGTTTGTTTTCCCGACCAGCGTTCAGCGCGAGCTGGGTTCTAACAGAATAATTAGCTTGTTGAGGTGAGCAGAAAGCCATTTTCCTGGCTCAGGCCTGAGCTGTGACTAATCCCAGGCCACAGAAACAGAGATAGAGCCATTACGTGTTGGAGGAGGGACTTCTACACATCCAAAAATAACTTCTTATTTAAGCTTTTAACACTTTTATGTGGGAAATTGAAAGTTTTGCCTCCTGAAGTCGTAGAAATGTGTCCGCTTATTGGACAAAAGGACACCGTCAGAATCTTTTACACTCAGATCTACAACACTGTCTCACAGTATCAAAGTAATGTGCTTTTTTGGGACGTTCTTTGAATTTTCTCTTTTAGATTTTAAATTTAGATGAAAAATTAATTTCGGCGTCTGGGTAGCTCAGGAGCCCGTCATGTTGCATTCACTGACCTTTTACAATAGAAGAAGGTATTTACATAGAAACACTTGATCAGCAGTTTTTCATCTTTCAGTGTTTTAATTTGTAATAAAATGGGACCACCATGGTGTCTGGTTTGTGGATCACCAGTTTCAAACCAGAGCTCAGAATATAGATTTTATCTCTGAGTTTTGGCAGGAGTGATGAAGAAAGCTGTGTAATGAGCTTTGAAGATATGAACCCACATCTGTAGTTGCTGAGGTGTGAGCGGTACAGTTTTGTTTCAGCACTTTATTTTTTTGTTGTGTTTGTCTATTTTCGTTTGAATTAGCAATTTAACGTTTATTAAGTTGCACCTTTGTTCTCACTCCTAATGGATAAGCTTTCTTATGATGAAAAGTTCTATAAACTAAGTTGTTCCAGTCTTCTGTGCAGACTGGTGTTTGTTCATCCGTTGGGTCTTTCGCGTTAAAGTTCATTGTATTATTTTATTTATAAATAAAATAAATACAGTCATTATGGAGAATGCAATCATGTATGTAGAACATCTGTATGTTTAGCACAGATGTTGGCTCAACTAAAATGCAGTGTGCCACATGCTAAAGGGAAGTGTTTTCACACTTTCATCTGAAAGAAAAAACAAGTAGCTTCCTTTGCAGTTGCTCAGTTTGAGGGAATGGGCTGGTGAAGTGCAGCTGTTAAGGGTGTTTATGTTGCCATCTGACAGGGTATAGGAGTGCTGTGCAGAGCATAGATTTGTGCTTTTGCATCATCTCTATGCTGCATCAGGGTTTTACTTGAGAATACTGCTTCTTCCCCTCAGATACTTTTTAATAGCCAAATTAAAAAAATTGTAAAATGCTGTGTTCCTTTAATCAAGTCAGTCATCACTGTGTTCAACATGTTCATGTTTCCTCTTTTTTAAGAAGTTTCACAACTGCGTTTGCCTTTTAGAGCCTTAAAACACTTCACATGTGCAGCCTTGCACACACACTTTTGTTAGTTTTTTCTGCTTTTAACTCTGCTGTTGCATTTACACTTTGGGCTTGTCAAGTGAAAAGACGGCAAACAAATAAATTCAAATTCAAAAGGGTCATAGCCTCCAGCCTGGCAAATGAAACCGGAAGTAAAGTTTCCTAATCTGCATTATTTTAGATGGCCAGCAGGGGGCGAGTGTCATGGTTTCACCAAGGTCGGAGTACAACAAACCCGTTTGACTTTAAACCAAATACATTTGGTCTGTTCCTGTTATAAGGTGCATAAAATATGACCCTATGATTAAAAATTATTTTTATTCGTTTAATATGTGTTTGGATAATTTAAATGTCAACAATTCAGTAGGAAGTAAATCCTGCATATTGACCAAGTCAAACAAAAATACAGCAAGAAGTGTTTCAGTCAGTTTAACAGAACATTTTTGTAAAGAACCCAGAAAGTAAGACTAAAGCAACGTTACATCCTCTTCTAAAATAGAAGCATGTTGAATACAAGCTTAACCCGATGGGATTAAAGCACGCTGGATGTATTGTGCGGGGCGACACTCCCAAAACACGTATTATGCAGACTGGGGAAGGTAATTGTGCTCTGATGCAAAATGATGCTTCTTTTTTTTAAGTTTCACACGCAACGTGGTTTATATTGATATCACCATGGATGAAATCGTATGACAGCCTTATGGGATAGTGTTTAGTATCTCTGTCCTGTCCAAATACAATGACTGTGTAAGTCTGACTAATGATGTGTTTTCTACTACAAACACTTCTGCTTGTTTTTTTTAAATATCAATTTAAGCTCTATCTCTGCCATTTTTGCTCATTTTTTGTATGTTTTCGCGACATAACTTCGTTCAGTGTGTTTGTGTGTCTGTAGACCTGGGTTACCTAGCTGATGGTGCCTTAAGCTCCCTACTGTGTGGAATTACTCAAGAGGTGCATGTAAGAATGTGTGGAGCTTTTATAGAAACACCCTTTTCTAATTTGTTTCTCATCAGATAGCTTAAAGAGGAAATGCACGTGAAAGCTACAGCCACCAATCCTCTGTGACTGTAATTACTGGTAAAAATGACCCATTAGGATAAAAAAACTCCCATCGCTTTGCCACTGTCCGTAGACACTTAGTATGCTTTCCTTTTGTTGTCTTTAACACGAGGACGCCATGTTCGGTCAGTTCCTTTTCTTGAAGCAGACTGTGCAACACATGCTTTCTGTCTCTGAGGTTCTTAGTTCCTTGTTTTTTAGCTGCAACTTTGCTGCTCAGTGTTCAGTGTAAGGAAGCGAGAAAGGACATTTTAAGTCCATGCTGAGACCATCTGACCTCCCTTCTCATTTAAACTCTGTGTTTCCTAAACTAACCACATTTATTTCTAACTTGAAGTAGTCAGCACTTTTTGGGGCTACATTTGGCCAAGTTGCTGCAGCCATGTGTCCCTGCTTGGACACCCCGCTGTGAGAACCAGATGCTGCTGTTGGCTCCCAGAAATCGGTTAAAGGCGAGAGGGGATAGGGCGTCCCAAACTATGGAATGCTCTTCATTTATCTGTTAGGCTTTCCTCTCACCAGTAGTGGATTTTAAAACGAGGCTAGTCGTGGCCTAATGATGGTGTCTGCCCTGGGAGTGGGAAATCGGGGTTCAAATCCCGGCCGGGTTATACGAAAGACCTTAATAGTGGGACTAGGGTTGTCACGGTGTGAAAATGTAACCTCACGGTTATTGTGACCAAAATTACCACGGTTTTCGGTATCATCACGGTATTTTTTTTAAACGTGTTACATTTTCAGACAACTACATAATCCCTTTATATCAGGAAAATATTGTCCTCGATTTGTGTCTAAATTTAGCCTAAAATGTGTTATTTTGTAATTATGTTGTTTATTTGTTTACATTTTTTCCCTTTAGTCTTTAAAATACCAATATTTGCCCATAACTTCTTATTTTATGTCTGTTTGATGTCATCATTTTAAAAATATTAGCTCAGATGATACTCAGTACTCAAGTAGCCTTCTAATCAGATACTTTTTTACCCTTACTTGAGTAATAAACCCTATATCAGGAAAACATTGTCCTCGGTTTGTGTCCTTCCAGTGAGCTTTGCAGATGTGGGAAAATGTCATCAGGCAGTAATCATTGCTAAATTCATAATTATTCTCGGAGAGAGACCAACTCTTATCTGCCCCTGGGAGCCCCATAATGCATAGCGTCATTTCAACATGGCGGTGTCCGCGACACGGTTTATATGCAGGTAGCGGCGCTGCGGCTGCTTTATATAGCGACTCGTTGCATTCTCCCTCAACCCAAATCCTCGGATCACGCATTTTAGCTAAAACGCTAACGTTAGCTTGCCTTGCGTTGACTGTAGAGTTGTGGGTGATGGTCACGCAGATGTGTCATGAGATTTGAAGCGTTTCTGCCTTTCACAGACACTTTTTCTGCTCGTGCTGCAAACAGGATAGCCGTCTTCTATCAACTGTCCCTCGACATTCTTCAAATATCCAAAAGATGCCCGTACTTCCCACTTTGTCTTCTTTGAGGGATAATAAATGTCCCGAGTGCTGCCGTCTCCTCCTTTGGCCATTATTTCAGCTTTAGCTTCAAGAAAGTTTTGGTTGTAAACAACAAAGTGCTCATGTGCCGCCGGCAACTTTAGCAGATGATACGGTGGCTGGTAAGGGTCACCGCGCCTACACCGCAGCCACGGTAATCCACCGAGATAATATAGTTTTTAAAAACAAGACGGTTATTATTATTGTCAACTTTTTTTTACCGGGGTTTACCGCTACACCGGTTACCGTGGGGACCCAGTGCCTCCCTGCTTGACACTCAGCCTTAAAGGGGTTGGATTGGGGGGGGTTCAAAAACACCAAATAGTGGCAAGCAGGGCCTCAGCTGCAGCTCTCTGCTCCCCACGGGGACGGGGCAAATGCAGAAATGAATTTCATCATTGTGTGATGACTAATAGGACTTAAAGAGCTGTTTTTATGATCCGGCTCTGTGTGTTAGTTGTTGCTGTTATTTTATACAATTTTACCCTTTAAAGCACTTTGGTGACATGATTCATGCTCTAAGGTTAAGGCTGGGTTGAGTTTGGTACTTGGCACATTACCCACCGTGCAGAACGTAAGATTGACATTAAAGATCAGATTTAGAAATGTTTTACCCAATATAGACCCTAACACCTATCCATGAACCTGTTGTCACTTCCAGTGACCTAAAGAAGACTTTCACAATCATGGATTTAAAGTAACTCAGTAACAGATTTGTGTTTAGCATCCTTTTTTTTAGTGACCTACCACCTTAAGAGATTTCTTTTCAGAGCGTTGGTCAAATCCATCCTTGTAGCATTTGTGCTCTGCATCCTTTTGCAGAGCAGGAGACCCCCAACCTCCTCTGACCCTGATGGGTGCACACCCTGACCTGCAGGTCTTTTGTTGTTTACGTTAGTTGAACAGTTCTGTTTGCTGTAGGTGTTTTTATTGTTGTCAGCAACGTTCTGATGAAGCAAACTAAAGCAACATCAGAGCTAATCTGCATCTTGCTCAATGTTGACTGCATCTGTAGGTGGTGAGGAATGGGAAGCTACATGACTCGTAAATCCTTTATGGAACTCATTGTTGTTTTTAACCTTTTTTCTCCTAAGAATGTGACAAAAGAAGCTTATAAACAAGCTCTAGTGTGTTTTACACACACACACGCACACACACACACACGCACACGCACACACACATGTGCATGAACTGAAAGAGGGGGGATGTGTGGTGTTGTAGGATGGTGGCCAGTTGAAGGGGCTCTTTGCAAAGTAAATCCTGATCAGTGTGCGGAGGAACAATGAGGACCTTTCTGACAGAGGAGCTCTGTTTCCAGCAGGATACAGGTCATTATTTAGCTCTAACCGTGATACTGTTCTGCTGGCTGTTTGGACAAAAGATCATTTGGACTGATGGAAAAGCTCCGTCTGCCTACACCTTTATCAGTTTCCTGTTGGCAGGGTTGAACCCATCCTGTCTGTGTTTGAGCAGCAGCACCAGCTGAGTCTGTTCTCTCGAGTAAACCAGTAAAAGTCTTAGCCGTGCTAGTGGATGATAGTGGTGCAGTAAAACTAAAATTGGGATTCCCAGTTTGTAAGTTGTTAACATGAGTAAGCCAACACAACTTATCTGAGGACCTGAGCTGTGCTTTTAAATGTTAAATGTAGCTAAATGAAATGTTAATTACTGATTAGCCCAAGTCCGGTTCGTGCTACGACAACAAAAATCTGTAGTAAATGACTTTAGAGCCTAAACGTTTCCATGTTGTGCTTTAGTCCTTCGCCAGCCACGTGTTTTCAGACCCCAGTTGGGACTGACTGTCCCTTTGATCTTCTCCACCAGCATGGCGTCCACAGTGACTCTAGAAGATGCTCTATCCAACGTGGACCTGCTGGAGGAGCTGCCACTCCCAGATCAGCAGCCATGCATTGAGCCCCTCCCCTCCTCCGTCATGTATCAGGTCAGTGATGATGGCGCCGTTCGGACTCTGTCCATGAGCTCGTCTTCACACCCAGAGGCAGACCTCTTCTGTTGCTTTACATTGTTGTTTCTCCTTTAGTTTAGACGTATTTTGGGTAAGTTCGGCTGTGTGTAGTCCTATAGATGTTTGCAGCCAGATGAAGTCAGTGGCATTCGAATTAGAAATATCAGAAAAGGCATGCACACAACAAGTGTTTCCTCTTCCAACAGCCCAACTTCAACACCAACTTTGAGGACCGGAATGCGTTCGTCACCGGCATCGCCCGATACATTGAGCAGGCCACCGTCCACTCCAGCATGGTAACCACCAGACCTCCCATTATCAGTAGCAGTTCTCTGTCTTCCTCTGTTACGACCTGTTTGGACAAATTCATTCACCATAATGGGGCCAAAGGCCTTTTTGGAGTCAGGGTCTAAAGAACCCTGGTGGTCCCAGCAGAACATTTGCTGTTGTGCAGCAGGAAGCTCCCCAAATCCAAGCCCAGAATCAAATGGGTCAGAGACAAACTGATGCTTTGGATCGTCTCTTGTCAAGAATAACGGGCTTTGTGTCTAATTAGTGAGGGTAAATGCTCGGAGTGTGGATCAAAAAGCATTGTGTTTGGAGGAATGGAGGGTTTCCCCTCCGCCTGCTGGGAATAAACTATAAATGTACTCATTCATGCATATTTTTCTGTTTAGTTTGAATTAAAAGCTGTTTACTGTAGAAGATGGAACAATGTTGTTGTGCTGATGTAACAAACGGCTTTTGCTTCCTGGGTTAGAATGACATGTTGGAGGAAGGACAAGAGTACGCCATCATGCTGTACACCTGGAGGAGCTGCTCACGTGCAATACCGCAGGTAAACGTAACAGGTTTTTAGACTATTTTAAATAATTATAAATTTTCAGACATCTCAATCTCATTTAGAGTAGAAGGAGTCACAGCTCGTCTGAGAGGTGCGGGATCAAAAAGTGGAATAAACAAAATAAGAATCCGCACACTTCAGTAGGGCTGCAACAAACGATTATTTGGATAATCGATGAATCGGATGGGGTCTCGACACGATTAATCGATTAATCGGATTACATGGGGAAATTTTTAAAAACTGCTAGGGAAACGTTATTTCTCTCCTTCCTTCACTTTATTTAACACAACATTATTAGAAAACAGTTCAATAGCAGAAAAACAACATGCCATCACCTAAATTGTCTTATAAGGTGTATAGACAGAGACCCTAAGCTACATCTATCTGTGACCTAAAATGCTTGGTCCAATTAAACAGCTTAAGGGCAATTCTCATCTGTTTTGTTTGATCTCATCTGTTGACATTTATTTTAAATGTAATTAAACATAGGCTGTGAATTAATCAAAATTGATCACTATTTTCAAAAATGACGCAAGTTTAGAAAAGCAGCAGATGAGACGGCATGTCTGATAAGTTAGTTTTTCATCTGATAATATTAGAACATGTCAGTGATGTCTGAGGGGCTTTTATAAACACCATATAACTAACACTCCTGGACAGGGTATGGATTACACAGAGGCTTCTGGGGAGCCCAGTTATGGGGGGGCATTTTGCCTTGGCCCCCAAAATGACTTGAAACGGCCCTGGGTGTGTGAGTGTTGAAGGTGACCTGAATAGTATCAAATTTATAAATATTACATGTGTGTAACTTATTGTTTTATAGGTAAAAACGTGTAGTGGAGGTAAATCTACCTACATTTGACTTTTCAACACTTTGTTTTGTTTTCTTGTTTTTATTCAACTATATTTTCCTGTCCTGTCTGTCTCTCATCTTCCTGCATCTCCTCTAAACTCTCCAGAAAATCTGTTGTCTGGATTCTTACTTTTTCACCTCATCAGTTACTTCTGAGCAGATCAAAGATCTCCTGACCGCAAAGCGCAGAGCGCGTTTTCGATGCTGCGTGAGGTGACATCACCACAGCACAGGTGATGAGCTCCGCAGTAGCGAGCTTCAGGCACAAATAAGACAGAAAATAGAGAACATGTGCAGACATGCACGATCGTGTGCTAATTATAGTTTTTTGGTTGCGCCACTTTGAGAATGGACCGTGCGCTGGAAGCAGCTGCCTGGATCGCTGCGCAGCAACGCGCTGTGCCGCTCTCTGCTAAAAGAGTCCAAAAATGATATAATATAGAAAACTTTTTTCCGGTTCCCTGGATGTGTAGGATATACAGCTCCCCCATAATTCGATCCCTGCTCCTGGATGAAAAGCCGGACATTTTCATCAATACAAGAACCCGCAGTCCGGACGCCCGGACAGAGAGTGAAAAGTGGACATGTCCGGGGAAAACGGAACGTACGGTCACCATAGTCCTCATAAAGCGGGAAATTATAGATACAGTAATTTGCTCGTGCCCTGGGCCCTTTAGAGTTCGTGGGCCCTGGGCCATTGCCCAGTTAATCCGGCCTTGGAACCGGTTCGCAGCAGCGCGAGTCGCCCGGCTCATCTAATAAGCGTCGCGCTCACGACTTTAGACTCTTGTTTTACGAGCTTTGGGCATGTCTAGCCTGTGTAATAATCCGGGACTTGGATGAATCACTATTGAAAAGTTTTTAATTTACCCGGACACAGAGTTCTCTCCTTCCTCGCTGATGATCCCGACATGCTTGCGTTTAAGACGCTGCATCATCCCGTGCCATGCCAAGTCTGACCTAAACGTTGCAGGTAACGCATGTCTTCGCCTGATTTAACTGAAAATGCTCCCAAACTTAAAAAGCTTTAACTTTTTTGAATCTCGCTGCTTCTGCCATGTTCCTCTTCCAAACAACTGCGGGCTCTCCCTCGCGCTGATCTGTCTGCGCGCAACGGCGGCGGGAGGGGGGGGGGGGGGGCGCTTTTGGATGAGTTGTGCAACACAACGAATCGATGACGCAATTCGTTGCCAACGCTTTTAGTAATTGATTTTCATCAAATTTATCGATTTGTTGTTGCAGCCCTACACTTCAGTCTGCGATGTAGGAGTTTACTGGTCAAGCTTTCGGTCAGAGATGTTCATCAGGAATTGTGGAGGTTCACACCAAACAATCCTTAGTGAAGCAGGTCATTTAGGGTCAGGGTTTACATTTATAACTATTTCTGGGTTGGTTTGTTGGGTAATAGTTGGCTTTAAAGAGCAAGTCACCCCATATCAGAGTCTTACTCCACTCCCACTTCCTGTTGTTGTTGCCGCTAGCACACACACACACACACACACACACACACACACACACACACACACACACACACACACACACACACACACACACACACACACACACACACAACATTGTGACATCATAATGTACCAGCTAACATCATAGTGTTCCTCTTAGCCAACAGCTATGGCAGATTTAAATTCCAATGCAGTGCTGAGTTTTTGCCTGAAGGGGGTGCAACACTGAGAGTTTTAGGCAGACTATTTAAATTTGAACTACGATACACTAAAGGGTCAAATTATGAACTACCTGTGTCTACAGCCTGATTAGACACTCATTATATAGTTTATCAGCAGAAGTTGATTTGGGGGTGACTTGCTCTTTAATAATTAGGAATATTACATTAAACTATAATCAAAAATCAAAGATAACATAAATTAGGGTTATGGTTATTTCATTTACATATGAGACAATCTAACAGTTTCAATGATTTTTCTGAGTTTTCATTTCCTCTCCATCTCCTTTATTCTTCCTAGTTAATGCTGCTACACTGATATGAAAAAAGAATCATCCCAATATCACTGTGTGCAATATTAATACTGCAAATGCATGAAGGAAGTGTCTGGCTCCACATGCACCCTAGTTAAACATGTAGCCAGTTAGATGAAACCTTGGTGCCCTGAATGCTCACGGCTGCCGTGATGCTAACGGCTAATATGCTAAAGCACACGGAGAGCGTTGGGACGACAGATAAGACGGAATAAGGTGAAGATCTTTGGTTTTATTGCACCTATTGAAACTTTCAGTTACATAATTGTAATGACATGTTTTTATGAATCATGTTTTGGAGTCAGTACCAACAGTTTTTAGTTAAATTTATACTTTTACCGGAGTTTACCTTTTTAGATGTATATTTATTGTTTGCTTCCCCTCTCAGGTGAAGTGTAATGAGCAACCAAACAGAGTGGAGATCTATGAGAAGACTGTTGAGGTCCTCGAGCCAGAAGTCACCAAGCTGATGAATTTCATGTATTTCCAGGTATGATTTTAATATTTGAGACCGATCGCGTGCAACTTTTACACAATTTAATTAACAAGGTGCCTGATTCTCCTCCAGCGTACAGCCATAGATCGTTTCTGTGGGGAGGTCCGGCGTTTGTGTCACGCTGAGCGGAGAAAAGACTTTGTCTCCGAGGCATACCTGCTGACCCTCGGGAAGTTCATCAACATGTTCGCTGTGCTGGACGAGCTGAAGAACATGAAGTGCAGCGTTAAGAACGACCACTCTGCGTACAAACGGTCAGCAGAACCCCGGCTCACAGCTGATTCACTCACTGTCAGCTGTTACTGACGGGGTTAAACAGCAACAGCAGAGGATGGAGGAGAATGATCTGTGCTTCAAAAATGCTTCAGGGAACATTTAGAAACTTTTTTTTTAGATCGACAAACCTGAAAGTCCACATAGAAATGACGGGTGTTGTAATTTACCGGAGTTACCTCAGACTCTGACCGTACCCGCCTCTTTCACATCAAATCTGTGTTTTCTGGATCATTTGATGCTTTTTTAAACTAAACATTGACAGATCAGATGATTTAATATGTACTGGTATCAAGGTGTTTGGGACAGTCATCCTGACTTTTAGACGAACATTTTGCTGACGTTTGTGTGAAGTAGTAATAAAACACGGTTTATTGGTTTCATCTTCCTGAAACCTAAACAAGTAAAATACTGTTTTGTCTCTTCTCAGGGCTGCTCAGTTCCTCAGGAAGATGTCTGAACCTTCCTCCATCCAGGAGTCTCAGAACTTATCCATGTTTCTGGCAAACCACAACAAAATCACTCAGGTTGGTCTGAAGCTAAGCGTTAGTGATGGGAACACTGGAAATAGTTTTGGCAGCTTATTAAAGCTTCCCAGTTGGATCAGTATTTGTCTGAGTTTTGGAGAAGGCCCAGTGTTTTCCTGGAAGAGGTGCCAGAGTCGGTGATTTTGTTTTCTAACCAACATCATCTCTAGAAAGGAGTGTGTAGATGTTGAGGAATATCTTCTTGGTTGTCTCTCAGTCATTGCAGCAGCAGCTGGAAGTGATAAACGGATATGACGAGCTGCTGGCAGACATAGTCAACCTGTGTGTCGATTACTACGAAAACAAGTTGTATCTCACTCCCAGTGAGAAGCACATGCTCCTGAAGGTAAGCAGACCTCAGTCTGGAGCTTTGTTCACAGCCTCAGATGTCCTTCATAAATCTGCTGCTCCTCTCCAGGTTATGGGCTTTGGCTTGTACCTGATGGATGGAAACAGCAGCAGCATTTACAAACTAGATGCCAAGAAGAGAATCAACCTCACTAAGATTGACAAGTTCTTCAAGGTAAGATTGAAACGGCTGTCTTGTGCTAGTGCGATGCATGGCCTGTTAGCATTCCATGCACGTGTTGTGAATGACTCCTAGCTGCTGTCCCATCAGCAGTTTCATATCTGACTGATTTACAGCCAGGTTATTGTTCACTAAAGCTAGTTTTCCAGGAGCACTACTCAAGAGCAACTCGGACCAGTGCAGCTCGGCCTGGCCACTGTCCATGGTTCGGGATTTCCCCTCAGTTTTTAGTCCCTGCTCCGTTGAGGTACCTGGCGAGGCTGAGTTGAGCGGCATCGTGACTCTGGCTGCTGGTTTTCTAGGAGGAGTCACTGGTTGCTCCGGTGTTTTCTACCTTCTGCTTCACTGCTTGCAGTCATTTCTGGTTCAGAGTCTGACAAAAAGCCATAAAACTGAGCAAAAGGTCCAGCAACATCAACAATTTTCAAGCTGAGTTGTTTATGTGGAGCATTCAGGTGACCTTACACCGTTTATCGATCACCTCATGATATTTTGTCCTGAGTAAAAATTGCCCCCCCCCCCCCCCATGCCTATGAGGGGGGAGGAAGATCGACTTTAAACGATGATTGTTTGTAGATTATTCATCATGTGTTCAGTACCGGATTTACATAGTATGTCTGTGTCTCCTGCAGTATGCTGCGTAGTGTTGGTACCCCAGATTTTTCCTTTTGGTTTTCAGTGGCTGAAGGTTACAACTCTAAACTAGTGCTCGTGTGTGTATACATGCACCTTATCAGTTGTTCTTCAGCTGATTCTCTTAAGTGTTGCTGCTGCTGTAACAAGCGAATCTCCCCGCTGTGGATCAATAAGTTCTGTTCTGTTTTCTTCCAGTGAGTTGCATGTAAATCCTGCAGTGGTCCATGATGTCTTCCTAACACACACACACACACACACACACACAGACAAAAACATTATTGCCTGTAGGCTGTGCTTTCTAGACAACACTTAGATCCTTGTTATCCAGGTAGAATAACAACCAAACACATGTAATGCATTTTAGATGTCTTTTGTTGAAATCTGTTTAATTGTAAACCAAACACCTTCTCCATGGTTCCGTGTTTTCCATAAGGATCTGTGTTTTTGTTGTTGTGATTTTTAATGTGAAATAACTTGTGTGTGTTTTTTGGGATGTTTGCAGCAACTCCAGGTGGTCCCGCTGTTTGGGGACATGCAGATCGAGTTGTCCCGCTACATCAAGACCAGCGCTCACTTTGAAGAGAACAAATCCAGGTGGGAGGAGAACACTGGACGCGGAGGTGTATCGCAGTAAAACTGATCATCTCAAACATGTTCTGTGTAACAAACCGTATCTTTGTAAAGCCCGATCTAAATGAAGATCCAAATATCACACTAAATGTTGGGTCAGCTGCTTTGACTTCATGTGAAGATGATGCAGTCTGACCCTTTCTTGGTGTAGATCATGTGTCATTTCTGTTTTACCCCCATGTCTTCTCCAGGTGGACCTGCACATCTATATCCAGCAGCCCCCAGTACAACATCTGTGAGCAGATGATTCAGATCAGGGAGGATCACATGCGCTTCATCTCCGAGCTCGCTCGCTACAGTAACAGTGAGGTTGGTACAAACTTCATCAAAGTTTAAACTGCAAACAACAGCCAGGTGTTCCATCCTCACACTCACCTTTCACAGTGAGCCCTGCATCCCCCCTCCCCCACATCAGGGCTGTCAAACTCGCTTTCAGTGAGGGCCACAGCAGCATTATGGTTGCCATCAAAGGGCCAGCTGTAACTGGAAGACTGAATGCCCTTGATGTTTTGATCAGTAACAGTCTCTGTATTTGATGATGATTTAATCAATCAAAGACCAAAGGTGACAGATCATCTGCTGCTGTGGCCCCCAGACTCTGGACCTCTCTCCCCCTGAGCCTGAGATCAGTGGACTCAGTGGTCTCCTTCAAAAAGCAGCTGAAGACTCACTTGTTCAAGCTGGCTTTTGTATGACCTTCTTCACCTCTCTCTCTTTATTCTAGCCTCGTGAACTAGACCAAATTCTTGCTTTGCAAAGTTTGGTCTAGGAACGCTCCACTGGAACCTCTGCAGCCCCAACAGCATTCTGGCTGGCCAATCACAGCTCTCTAGAGGGGTTTGAAACGCATAAAGAACTGTGATTGGGCCAATCATAGTGCTCTATCTGCTTAGTGAACAAATCACAGAGCTTCATCCGCTTTGTGGGCCAATCAGGGCCCTCTATATGCCTGGTGGGTGGGATGATGCAACAGAGTGAAACAAGAGTATGTCACCTTCCTCAGGATCCACTGGTTTCCCTCTTTCCTGTTCACTCTCTCTCTTTCTTAACATTTTTTTCTTTTAAATCCCAGTTGCTTATTTTTGCTCATTTTAAATATATTTTTAAACATTTTCTAAGTGCTTTTTTATATTTTTACATATTTTTATTTTTTGTTTTTGTGAAGCGCCTCGTGATTTTTATCTTGAGAGGTGCTATAGAAATGATATTTTCTTCTTCTTCAGAGTTGATTAGGAAACACTCCTTTTCAACACGGGGTTTTAACTCTCATGCCAGTGTTACATGTCACCTATATAACTCGTTTTAGTGTTAAATGAACTATTCTTGGTCTTAAATTGGACTGACACCAGAAAATTAACACTTTTGAATTTGCTGTGAGATGTCACAACACCGTCACTAGCTCACTCGGTGCTGGGTATGGCTCTCACTATCTGAGCCGTGCACACCACATGATACTTGGTATTACAGTCTATGGATCATGTTCTGCCTTGCAATCCGGTAGTCAGTATTTTCCCGTAGTGAGACACGAAACGAATGCTATGAAAGAGAACTTTAGGCTACTGTCGTAACCTCTGTTTTCTGAGTAGCATGAGCGAGTGTCTCACCATGACGCCCTCCTTGCTGTTTCCTAGCGAGGAAGAGGTGGTCCTTTTAGAATACTGTCAGCGAGGTGCCGGCCCAATACATGGGTGGGGTTCCCGCCTCCTATAAGCTGACAGATTTGTTCCAGCCAGTGTGGAATAAGAGCTTCTGATGAGGTCACGCCTAGGCGTTCCCCATAGTGAGACCCTCAGTCATGCTACTCGGAGAACCGGGGTTACGACAGTAGCCTAAAGTTTTAAAAGGATTGGGAGAAAAAGATCAGATTTAAACTTTTAAAACAACAAACCGCACAGAGAAAGCAGAGAAACTGCCACTTTTAATGTGTGCATACTGGGCATTCCTCATGCTGGAAAGGACAGCGCTGCATGATTTGTTGCTTTCAAACAGACTAATTTTGCTTTCAGCTTTTCCCTTTGGGTGTGAACAAAACGAATCACCGGTCTCCAATAATTCCCAGTTTGCCACCAACCGTTCCAGTTCACAGCAAACTCAGACAAATGTGAAGCCAGCCGACAGAGACAGCTATGCTAATAAACAACATAAATTGCCAACAAACTACAAAACGTGGTGTTGTTTCCTGCAGCACCGGAGCGGTGTGGTAGCTACAGGTGTTATGCAGGGTAAAGTTAGCCTGCCGGCCGAGTAGCCATGTGACTGCACCGTCACCGGAACATGCATTGTTCACAGCTGCATACCGAGGAAGTAAACAACTTACAATAAGAGCAATGCTGCTGCTTTTAAATATATGCGTCAGTGTACTTCCTAAACAAGTGACAGCAAAAAGGACAACTTGGATGTTTTTTTCTTCATATTTTAATGCTTTCCTGAAAAGTATTGGATCGGGACTTGGTGTTGGCAGATACTCCAAATCAAATCACTCGGATCGGGATCAAAACCATGTGATTGGATCTTCCCTACCTGTGGGCCTTGACATCGACGCGTGTCCTACATCCATCCTCTGGAGGGTCTGTTAGATGTGTACCATGTTTAAACTCCCAGAGGTTGTGTAAGAAGCTTTTCAGCAGATGTCTCGCTCCGCTGGATTTCCAAGTGTCAGAAGTTGGTGTGATTGTGACAAGAGGATCAAAGCTAAAACGTTACTTATCAGTGCACTTTTCTGTTTTTCACAGCTCAGGTGGACTAAATATTTGGTGTGTCTCGGACTATTTTTGCACCTATAGATGAGTAAGGGTGGACATGGTGTGTGAAGTGCGTGTTCATAAATCTCTGTAGGTGGTGACTGGATCAGGACGTCAGGAGTCCCAGAAGACGGACTCGGAGTACAGGAAGCTGTTTGACTTGGCCCTGCAGGGCATGCAGCTGCTCTCCCAGTGGAGCGCTCATGTCATGGAAGTGGTGAGGAAGCACAAACTCCCCTCAAGAGAAACGATTTACAACAGCTCAGTCTCAAACGAATGAATAAAGGACCTTTTTCTTTGTCTTTGCCAATAACCTTTGTCTCCCCACCGCAGTACTCATGGAAACTGGTTCACCCGACAGACAAATACTCCAACAAGCAGTGCCCTGACAACGCGGAGGAGTACGAGCGGGCCACTCGCTACAACTACACCAGTGAGGAGAAGTTTGCCCTTGTAGAGGTTTGTTCAGCACGGCCTGTGTGGAATAAAGCCTCCAGCCTAGTCCTGCTGCTTACGCCGTGTTTTGGCTTTGGCAGGTGATCGCTATGATTAAGGGACTGCAGGTGCTGATGGGACGCATGGAGAGCGTGTTTAACCATGCCATTCGCCACACCATCTACTCGGCTCTGCAGGACTTTGCCCAGGTGACGTTGCGTGATCCGCTCAGGCAGGCAATCAAGAAGAAGAAGAACGTCATCCAGAGGTCAGGACCACACCACACTTCCAGCTGTTATATCTGTTAACCAGATGTTAACCAGCTTCATGTGGGCTGAAAGTAGCAGCAGAAACGCCACCACTCACGTTCATTACGTTGTGGAACAGGTTTTTCTTCCATTTTTATTAAATGGTTCTCTCACCACAGTGTGCTTCAGGCTATCCGGAAGACCGTCTGTGACTGGGAAACTGGTCGGGAACCGCACAATGACCCCGCCCTCCGTGGAGAGAAGGATCCGAAGGGAGGCTTCGACATTAAGGTTCCCCGTCGAGCCGTGGGACCCTCCAGCACTCAGGTGCCCCCTCTGCTGATGCTGTTTGTCACAACTTACTTCATAGAGGCACGGCTCTCAAACCAGTATCTCACTGGGCTGGTGGCAGGCTGAGAATGGTGCTCACAGGTTTGAACGTGGATAAAGGGTTAGACACTTTCTTCTCACAGTAGTCCGAGTCGCTGTGGGTGTCAGGAAATATTTTTCATAGTAATAATAATAATAATAATTCATTTTATTTAAAAAGCGCCTTTCAGGTCACCCGAGGTCACTTTACAGACGAAAGAACACACAATAAAAATACAAATCATACAACTAAAGGACAAGGAAACAGAATAAAAAAGATTAAATCACAAACAATAAGTGGTTCAGAGCAAATGGGTGTTGAGTTTGGTTTTGAAGAGGTTGAAGCTATCGGTGTTTAGGGAGAGCGTTCCGGAGACGGGGAGCTGAGCAGCTGAAAGCCCTACTCCCCATGGTGCTGAGGTGGAATGAGGGAATCACCAGATGGATGGAGGAGGAAGATCTAAGAGAAAGGCAGGGTGTAGCAAAGTTATGAGGCTGGCAATGTATGGAGGGGATATGGAATGGATGGCTTTGAATGTATGGAGTAGAATTTTGAAGATGATCTGAATTTTATGGGAAGCCAATGAAGCTGCTGAAGGACCGGGGTGATGTGGTGGAAAGTGTCAGTTCTACTGATAATACGTGCTGCTGGATTCTGAACAAGTTGGAGTTTATGAGTGAGTTTGCTAGGGAGACCGTACAGAAGTGAATTACAGTAATCAAGGCGGGAGGTAACAAGGCTACTGACTATGACGGCTGTAGCGTTCGACGTAAGGGAAAGACGGAGAAGATTTATGGATCGGAGTTGAAAGAATGCAGACTGAGTTATGTTATTGATGTGAGCCTGAAACGAGAGAGAGCTGTTGAGGTTGACACCCAGACTCTTAACCTGAGGGGTGGGGGTAACCGTGGTGTTGTCAATGGTTATGGAGAAGCTGTCAATTTTGGCGACGATGGACTTGGTACCGACCAGGAGAAGTTCAGTTTTACTATCATTAAGTTTAAGAAAATTGGGGGTGAACCATTTAATTTCTGAGAGGCAGAGGGTAAGGGTGGATGGCGGAAGGGTGGATAGCAATAGAATTGTATGCCAAATTTACGGAAAATATTACCGAGGGGTAGGAGATGGATTACAAACTGAAGAGGACCCAGGACAAAGCCCTGGGGCACACCTGAGGTGACTGGGGATGGTTTGGAGGAAAAGGATTTTAATGAAATGAACTGAGTTTTCTGTTTAGTTTTTGTTATTCAGAATGTGGACAGCTATGGTAGGGGTCAAATAAAGGTGACGTGGGTCCTTGTAGGGTCAGTTCAAACCGGAAAATCCATAGAAACAAGTTTTTAACCAGTTGTGAGGGTTTAGTTAGTGCAAGCTGATTAGCAAGTCAGACATTGAGCCCTCCCTCCTGAGGGGTGTGGGAGTCTGACTTCCTGGAACACGTTCAAGGTGTTTTGATGTTAGATGTGATGCTCCTGGAGTCAGTTTCAGAGCAGCATGGTAGAGCTGAATGCTCAGACCTCCTTCTCTGTTTAGCACGGGGTTCGTTTTATGCTAGTGTTCAGGATGAAACTAGGTTGGGACTGGTTGGAGATAAAATTTGACCTTCTGGGTGAGAAACGTATCTGGGGAAGGACAATTGATTGGGGACAAGTCAAGCAAAGAGTGACTGACTGGTGAATGAATCGTAACGAAAACATTTGAGCATCATTTGCATCTTTATCTCATTTTAAAGCTGCTGGATTCCTGCTTTCAGATTCTTCCTCTGTAGCTGATGCTTTTTCTGCCTGTAATCCAGAACAACACACCACAGTAGGCTTAGCACAGCTCTTCCTCAACATTTCACTGCAATGGAACCATAAAACCTCATTTTTCTGCACCGTTATTGCTCCTCTGAGCTCAGAAATCAAAAAATCTGTGCTGTAGTTTTGAATTCTCATTTCCATCAGATTAGAGAATTTTCTGTATTTCAGTTGTTTTCCAGTTTGTGTGTAAAACTAATATTACTTAATAAATATATTAATTGTTGTTTATATTATTTCACTTTTTATTAATGATGATCAAAGCCACATGAAATAACTAGGTGCATCTCTTTCTAGAAACAGCCATGTTGGGATTATTATGGATTATGTTGTGATGAGGCTGTTTTATGAACCCAGCTGTAATCCTGCCCTCACCTCCAAGGTGTGACAGGGCTGAGCTCTGCTAGTTCACATTAGTCAGGCTGATGAAGCACGCCTAGCACGTCGGATTAAAGCGGATCTCACAGGGATGCTCTGTTTCATAAACAAGGCTGTTCTACGTTTTGTGTCGTCGTTACCTTTGACCCCCGATGGGGCTTTAGTGGTTAATTTAACCGTCAGAACATTGCCTTTTAGGATGATCGGGGTTATCTCGGCTTTCGCGGTCAGCTTGTCCGGTGCTCTGGCTGAGCAATAACTACCCATCATGTTGCATAAAGTGCAAATTCATCATCTTACAGGTTACTCCCAAGGACTAACTGGTTTTTCAGGTGCAAAACTTCAGTCCACTCACCTTGAGTACACCTTTGTCCTCAGCTAACATGTTTTAGTGATAGATTATGAAATCTCTAATGACAAAATGTCCTTGACCCGGAGCTTTTACACAAGCTTCCCTTCGGTTGTGTGGTGTTTGATGGCTGGAGCTGGAGCAGCAACACGCTGATGCTAAAAACATCCCCCTGCTTCATGTGTGCAGCTTTACATGGTGAGGACCATGCTAGAGTCCCTCGTCGCAGACAAAAGCGGCTCAAAGAAGACTCTGCGCAGCAGCCTTGAGGGTCCCACCATCCTGGACATTGAGAAGTTTCACAAGGAGTCCTTCTTTTACACACACCTGCTGAATTTTAGCGGTAAGAAGCGAGTCCAGGTGTATCTTCTAGCCCCAGTTGTCCCAACGCTAATGTCTCCATCGTTCTGCCCTCTTCCCAGAAACCTTGCAGCAGTGCTGTGACCTCTCCCAGCTCTGGTTCAGGGAGTTCTTTCTGGAGCTTACTATGGGTCGCAGGATCCAGTTCCCCATCGAGATGTCCATGCCATGGATCCTCACCGACCACATCCTGGAGACCAAAGAGGCTTCCATGATGGAGTAAATGAGACCATGTTTTTGTGTTACTGAGGATCTAAAGGAGACACAACATCCTCCAACTCACCATTTTTCACCAAACTTATTTCATAATTGTTTTTTCTTTGTTGGGGAAAAGAGAATAAAAGATTCAAGACGTCAGAAGCTGCTGGGTGGAGATCTTCTTAAACTAAACTGTGAATTAGACAGTTGGAGCTCACCACCAGAGCCACTCACCAACCTTTGAGGGTGTCTCCTTGTTTTCCTGCCTGTTTTCAACATTTGCTGCAGGATTATTCTCCTACAAGGCAGATTTACATAAGCCATTAAGCACACAGACTGGCATGAGTCGTGATGCTGTAACTGCCTCCAAAGTCTTTCACTGCATGTGGAGCCACACTTGACTCGCTTTTATTATTTTTCATGTAATTTTGTTTTATTTTAATCACTGTAGTCAAATTATTTCACACCTCTTTCATTTGGGACTTATTAATTCAGCTGATTCTCGATCAAAAACCTTTTCTTTCCCTTGCAGGTATGTGTTGTATCCCCTGGACTTATACAATGACAGCGCACACTACGCCCTTACCAAATTCAAGAAACAGTTCCTGTATGATGAAATAGAAGCAGAGGTAACTTACTTTTATTGTTTAATCAAACTTAATCGTCTGAACCACACAATAAAACTTTGCAACAAAATAGTGCTCAAACAATAAACGTGTTTGTAGGATTGTTTCTCCTAAAAAGGGAGTTTTTGTGTAACCGTTATAAATATTTACCACCTCTCTGGTTGCTGATGGCCTCCTCCGTGGCTTCTTCTGGGAGGAATGTGACCAAACGGGATTGCTTTTGGTTTTTTGACAGCGGTTCATATGAACATCGTTTTACATGCATGACTTGTTTTTTGCAGGTGTAAAATTATGAAGGAACCCTTACAAGAGCTGCTGTCCACTGCGTTTTCAGCGTCACACGTCACTCCTAGCTAAGCTTAGACTAGCCATTAGCTAATTTTTCCAAACTACAATAGATAGGAAAGGATGTATTGATAACTTTTATGCATAAACACATTTTAATCCCTTCAGTTTGTGGCACTGCGTTTCTGCTGATAGAAATGCGGCTAGTGTAGCTACACAGCTCAGTTAGTGTGCTCAGCTCAAGTTAATTTTTAGCTAAACAAATCTGTTTTAGTAGCTGTTCATCGCATTAAATAGTAATAAAATATTAAAGTTATCCTGTTTCCTGAAAACAACCGAGTATGCTGATCGATATAAAAATACTTTTAGCAGGAACAAACAGATAAATGATCAAATGAAACCTAAAAGTTTTAATTCTGAACATTTATCTTCATACCCAGCTGTTGACTTGTTGTTTCAGGTCAACTTGTGCTTTGATCAGTTCGTCTACAAGCTAGCAGATCAGATCTTCGCCCATTACAAGATACTAGCAGGAAGGTAGGTAGCTCTGCTCTTCACGAACCTACAGGGTCATGTGGTTCTGACCACTGGTCATATAAACACGTTGTGTTTTAGCGTTTCACAACCTGGAAGGTTTCCAACTAAAACAGCAGAATGGTTCATGCTATTTTTGAAAAAGTTCATGGAAAACATGAAAAGTAATTAACCAAGATGAGCATACTACTACTACTACTACTACTACTACTAATGTAGAGTCCTGCTTTACAGTAGTTTTACTTACCAGACCAGAACAGATTAGAAATCTCTCTTTGTGTCTTTTTAGAAAACCATCAACAAATTGCATAATAACAACTTTTAAAATCCCCAAACCAAACATTTAAACGACTCTTTTTCTGTTGGTCTGACTGTTTTCTTTCAGTCTTCTGCTTGACAAACGTTTGAGGACTGAGTGTAAGAACCAAGGAGCGAACATTCCCTGGCCGGCGTCAAATCGCTACGAGACGCTGCTGAAACAGCGCCACGTCCAGGTGCGTCTGAGTCTTGCTCTTGGTTTTGGTGCCTTCATTATTGAGTTTTATGTTCTAACTAAACATCTTCTTTAGCTCCTGGGCCGCTCCATTGATCTAAACAGACTCATCACTCAGAGAGTGTCAGCTGCTCTTCATCGATCTTTGGAGCTCGCAATCAACCGGTTTGAGAGCGAGGACCTCACCTCCATAATGGTAGGTCAACTCGGTTTAACACCAGAATATCGCGTTCCATTTCCTGTGCAGTTGAGTGTTTTTTCTGATTTTTCCTTGATTAAAGGAACTGGAAGGTCTTCTGGAGATCAACCGCTTGACTCACAAGCTCCTCAGTAAGTTTGTGACTCTGGACAGCTTCGACGCCATGTTCCGCGAGGCCAACCACAACGTGTCGGCTCCCTACGGGAGGATAACGCTGCACGTATTCTGGGAGCTCAACTACGACTTCCTGCCCAACTACTGCTACAACGGCTCTACCAACAGGTATGCTAGTGATGACTTCCTTTGGGAAACAAATGTTGGACATGAGCTTTTGGTGTTTTCAGAATGTCGGTCAGTGAGAGTTCATAGGGAAATGGAGCCAGGCATACCTTGCTCTTTCACTGGGAAACAGTTTGTTATTATTGAAATGTGTGTGTGCTGAACGTGAAATTAGTCCTGATCGCCTATCACCTTTATTAGTCACAGAGAAATATTTACATTCGTGGACTCACTCACCTTGGCAAGTAGATGCTAACTGTTAGCATTAGCAACTCCATAAGTTGGCAAAAGACTTCAGGCTTGTTTTTGTTCTGTTGTGGAGAAAAACATCAGTGCTGCATTTTCCACCCATGAAAGACGAGCAAAATGAAGCAGTTAGGAATCATGTGAGCCAATCAGAGGCGAGACTTTTGCATATCATGAATATTAATAAGCAAGACTCGTTATCTGACCCCCTCCAAATCAAGCCTCAGGGTTTTTTTTCCACAACAAACTTCTTACAAGTTATTCATTCATTCGTTCATTCATTTAGTAGCTCAGGAGGCAGAGCAGGTTGTCCAATAACCAGAAGGTTGCCAGTTTGATCCTGGCTCCAGACAGAGAATTCTGCTGTTGTGTTCTTGGGCAAGACACGTCGGAGGGACCGGTGGTGTCAGCCTCGCCTCTGTCAGCTCATCACCATCAGTGTGTGAATGGATGAATAATACTCTGTACTGTAAAGCAGTTTGGAGACCTGACTCTGAAATGCGCTCGCTCTACAAGTGCGGGTCATTTATCATTCATTCATTCATTCATTCTAGACCACAGAAAATCTATTGAAAAATGAGTGAATGAGACTTTTAAGAAAACTGAAGTTATCAGCTTTAAAATACTGACGGTTATTTGCTCAAACGGATAATTTTTTTTGGGGGGGGGGTTCTTTTAGACCAAACTGAGATGATCTTCCTCTGTATTTTGATAGGTGATAAATGTGTAAGTAAATCCCGCCCCCTAGAGGTTAGTGTAGCTCTAAAGGTGCATTAATACAACGTGTAGATAATTAATGGATGAATAAAATCAGTTGATTTAAATGACATCCACTGAGACAGACTCCACTCTTCACCAGGTTTAATTTGAACTAGTTTTATGTGAAACGGTTAAAATCAGAAATGGCTGTTTCCATTCATCACTGATATGAACACAACTCTCCGTTAAGGGCTACAAGAGGGGCTACAAGAGGGGCTACAAGAGGGGCTACAAGAGGGGCTACAAGAGGGGGTACAAGAGGGGCTACAAGAGGGGCTACAAGAGGGGCTACAAGAGGGGCTACAAGAGGGGGTACAAGAGGGGCTACAAGAGGGGTTACAAGAGGGGCTACAAGAGGGGTTACAAGAGGGGCTACAAGAGGGGCTACAAGAGGGGCTACAAGAGGGGGTACAAGAGGGGCTACAAGAGGGGTTACAAGAGGGGCTACAAGAGGGGGTACAAGAGGGGCTACAAGAGGCGCTACAAGAGGGGGTACAAGAGGGGCTACAAGAGGGGTTACAAGAGGGGCTACAAGAGGGGGTACAAGAGGGGTTACAAGAGGGGGTACAAGAGGGGGTACAAGAGGGGGTACAAGAGGGGCTACAAGAGGGGCTACAAGAGGGGCTACAAGAGGGGGTACAAGAGGGGCTACAAGAGGGGGTACAAGAGGGGCTACAAGAGGGGCTACAAGAGGGGCTACAAGAGGGGGTACAAGAGGGGCTACAAGAGGGGCTACAGCGTCTTCTCTGCAGACTTCAGCTCCGTGTGGGAATAAAGACGTTAGGTTATTTTTAACAGTAACACGGCTAATAAACCTCCATGTTCAGCTCAGAAAGGTGTGTCAGACTCTTTGGTGTAGAAGACGGTCAAACCCCCTCCCTCCCTGTTACTCTGACAGATTACAGTGAAATCCATACATGTGTGCTCATTTCCAGCCTCCTGCGTCTCTGTCTGTGCGTTTCTATGCCGATGTTCATGTCAGCGGTGACGTGCGTTTACATAATCTCCTTCTGTGTGTTTAGGTTTGTGCGGACCATCCTGCCTTTCTCTCAGGAGTTTCAGAGGGACAGGCCTCCCAACGCTCAGCCTCACTATCTGTATGGGTCAAAGGTCAGTGCATTTGTCTTTCATCGTCACTCCCAGAGAAAGCCTCTCTTGGATTCCAGGAGCGGAGGATTTTATTTCCTCCTGACTTCTGGCATGACCCGACCAGCTGTCCACATGCACACGCTGGAGCCTGACGTTCACCACATTAGGAATATCTGTGGGAAGAGCTTTAATGAGGGATACGCTGTGCAAAAGAATCAAATGGGAAAGTTGTCCGTGTGCAGAAATGTGATGAATCACAAATACACAACAAGTCTTTTGTGTGCATCTTATGGGAACAACCTCGATCAGTGGGACAGTTTGTGTGGAGGTTCAGTTACCGTTTAAGAAAATGTTTATTATTGTAAAGACAAAAGGATTTCCATTCAGTGGGTAAAGATTTTAGTGGCATTTGAGCCGGGCTAAACAATGCTGTGATGACCTTAATCCAGTCGATTAAAGCTGGCTCGCTGTCGGCCAGCTTAGCGAACATCCTCGTGGTCTTGGGTAATTATGTGGCCGGCGGGTTGCGTCGACATGAGTGAGGGTTGGATGATGGTGGCGCGTTTGATGCTGTCCTCGCTGCTGCTTCTGGGTGTGAAGAGATGCTCCGACCCCGACACATCTTGGCGGGTGGAGGTGGTCACCACCGGGCAGCCGTCGGCGGCTCGCCTGGGGATGGAGCACATGTTGTGAAGGCATCCCCACAGCAAGATGCCAGCGATGACCAGGAGCAAAAGGCAGCAGGTCAGCCAGACTCCCACGGCGAGCTCCCAGCCGGCCCTGTCATGGCCTTCGCTGCTCTCGCTCTGGGTGCTGAACACCTGGCACTGATCCCGCACCGGATTGGCGGCCTGGCACGTCACGCACAAGAAGTAGGCGGTCTGCGGGAGGAGGTTGTTCAGGTGTGTGCTGGTCTGACTGACGGGGATTCGCTCCTCATGCTTAAAGCTTTTACGTGTGAAGCCCATAATCAGACTGTTCCAGTTGGGGTCGTACATGACGCTGTAGAACGTGTCGAGGCAGGTGGTGGAGGCCGGCCAGCTCACCCTGGCCGAGGTGGAGGAGATGTTGTAGACTGCAACTGCCATCGTGAAGAGCTACGTCGGTCCGAGTGAAGGCCGTCTACAGCTGTCGAGTGTTCCCGGTGTCGAAGCAAACTGCAAAAGCCAAACATCACAGCTGGTAAACGTTTCACTCCATCGTTATTAAGTATGAAACATAATAATAACCTCAACGTCCCATTTCCTTTCTCTCCCGGGCCTTAAAACAGAAAAACTAATATAAGAGATTAAAAAGCATTGTACCAAGGATTATCTGCAATGCTGGGAGGAAGATGAGCGTGAGTGCAGATGTTCAGCAAATTACATCATGGAGGATAGATGGTGAAGAGGCTTATCTATGCTGAGAGTCACCTGTTAGGAGAGATCCGCCAACCCGAAACCCACGATGAGACCTTCTGGTTCTGGTTTTATTACCAAAGATGGATCATTCAGCAGAAACACGGATACTCTTAGTTTTGTCCTGAAGGATACAAATAAGTGTTTCTGACCCAAAATTAATGAAGTTTTGATGGTGATTTGAGCATTTATCGTTCAGTTGTGTTGATTTTTAACATATGTTTACCTCCGTTTTTCTATCTAACCCCAGGTTTGGTTTTGATGTGTTTTTAGCCACGGGTCGCTTCCAATTCTAGGTTCAAAGCGGGAATGTTTAAGTAAATCAGTTCAGCTCATTCATTCCTGACTTTTTACTAGTTGCACGTCTTTCAAACTATTCAATCTGTTCAAAACTTGTGTCCGACTTTATCCCGGCTGTCGACTGAACAAAGCCATCTCTATGGTAACGGGCTATCATATCGATGGAAGGCAGACTTACCGGGGAAACGCTGGTAGCACGTGATGACCATACCAGTGTCTGATCAGATGATGCAGCGCTGCTGATGCATCTATTCCAATTTCAGAGAGCAGAGAGCGACGCTTGCTCGGTGCCGCTGTGTGAGACCCAAGCAGGGATCAGCCTGTTTTTATCTCAGATGCTGCCACACTAGAGGGAGTGTTGCTGGATTAGAGCAACAGCAGCAGGAAAGGGAGCTAAAATCTCCCGCTTCAAATGTTCGGCAAGGAAATTTTAGGTTTGAGGGTCATCTGTAGGCTATACTTTACTCAGGGAGGATATTAGACTTGCTGTTTCAGCTGGAGATGCTGTGGGGGGGTATCATTTAAAGGTCAACTTCACCCCCCCCCCCCCCAAATATATATAAATATATATTTGTTTATCTTTATTTTATGATTAATCAGTCACTCTGAGTATTTCATGCAGGCTGAACATGAAAATAGTCTCCTACAATTATCTCCTGCAGTAGCTTCTGATGAATGGTGAAACTCTTGGATTTGAAAATCTTGACAGAGCTACGTCACACTGTCACTTAACATTCATAGACTCACCCATGCTGACTCATGATGGTTAAGGCTGTTGTTGGTTTAGCATTTTGGAAACCGCAACGTCTGGCTAGCAGAAGCTAACCGTTAGCATTAGCAGCTCCACCACACAGCAGATCTCCTCCAGGCTTGTGTTAACGTTGCAGAGTAAACAGAGGCTGCGGTAGTCTTGTTGCTGTTATGCTGTTAACCAATCCAAGGCGAGATGTTCAAATATCAGAAAACAAGATTTTCCTCTAGCTGACTTCTGTTTTCAAACAGGTGCATCTAGGGCTGCTCGATTAATCGAATTTTAATCACAATTACGATCTGAGTTTTGAACGATTTTACAAACAAAACTAGAAAAATTGCATTTATTGCACAAATGCTGTTTGAATGCTGAACAGCTGAACTGAAGCTGAAACTTAACAAAACTGTCAAAGTGAGCTGAATGTCTTGAAAGATGTAGAAGCAAAAAGCACCAACAAGCAAATAAAACACAAAAAGTAAGTGAAGAATAGAGAAAAATAATGCTAAATAGCAAAAAATACTTAAATCTGTGAACATTGTTTAAAAATCTGGACAGCTTAAATGTCTAAACACCCGTTATTTCAGTAGGACTAGTTTAACAGTTTAATTTTTACATTTATCTGAACTGTGAATTTAGCAGTTTATGCTAAATTTGGTAACTGATTGCTGAAGTTGTTGAATAGCTGAAGTAAGCTGAAACTAAGCTAAACTGTCAAATGAGCTGAATGTAGTGAAAGATGTGAAAGCAAAAAGCACCAAGAAGCAAAAAAAAAGCACAAAAAGTAAGTGAAGAATCAAGAAAACTAACCCTAAATAGCAGAAAACAAATCTGTGAACACTGTTTAAAAAAATTGGACAGCTAAAATGTCTAAACACCTGTTATTTCAGTAGGACTAGTTTAACAGTTTAATTTTGACATTTAGCTGAACTGTGAAATTAGCATTATATGCTAAATTCAGAAACTAATTGCTGAAGCTGAAACTAAGCACAACTGTTAAAATGAGCTGAATGTATTTAAAGATTTAGAAGCAAAAAGCACCAAAATGTAAATAAAGCACAAAAAGTGAAGAACGGAGAAAACAATCCTAAACAGCAGAAAACTGAAATCTGAACATTATTTAAAAGTCTGGACAGCAAAAAGGTCTAAACACTTGTTGTTTGAGTAGGACTAGTTTAACAGTTTAATTTTTATATTTAGTTGAACTGTGAAATGAGTAGCATAAGCCAAATTCAGAAACGGATTGCTGAAGCTGCTGAACAGCTGAAGTGAAGCTGAAACTAAGCTAAACTGTCAAAATGAGCTGAATGAATTTAAAGATTTAGAAGCAAAACTCACCAACAAGTGTAATAAAGCTCAGAATATAGGTGAAGAATGGATAAAACATGTTAAACAGCAGAAAACTTTAATCTTTGAACATTTATTAAAAATGTGAAATGTTAAACAGCTGGCATTTGAATGAGAATAGTTTAACGGGTACATTTTTACAATTGGCTGAAGTGTGAATTTAGAAATATTTGCTGATATCTGAAACTGATAGATGAACATTTGTTCAGATTTGATATGGGATGGATGAATGAAATAACGGATGGATTGTTGGATGGATGTTAGATGGTTTATTGGATGGATGGAAGCATGTATGGATTTAGATGGATGGATTCCTTAGGCCACATATGTCAGACTCAAGGCCCGCGGGCCAGATGCGGCCCGCGGAGCATTTTTATGTGGCCCGCGAGATAAATATAAAAAATATATTAAAACTGGCCCGCTGGCCGATTTTACCGCAAAGACTTCAACTCCCATGATGCTTTGCAGCGTCAGCGCGGAGTCGACGCGCCCCCTCCTTTGTGTTTTTTCCAGCGCCTGCTGCCGGTGTCTGCAGCTCCGCTGTCTCAGACAAACTACACTCCTCTCACTCAGCGCCGAGTTCACTCAGCTGTTTGGCGTTGTTGGCAGGATCCATGTAGTACTGTCAAGTGGGTCCATGGATGTGAAGTTTGTGGCACCCTGCACGGGAGCACGAGGACGTGCTTGTGGAAAGAGGGGGGAAGATGTGACCGTGTGAGCGTCCTGTCACAGTGTCCCGATTGATCATGCGCCCTGGCTACTTGGCCAAGGGGATGTCCCTTTGGCTGACTGGTTAGAGCGTATGACTCTCTCCCAGGAGTCTGGGGATCGAATCCCGCCCGGGCCCTCGTTTATCCACCTTGCCACATCCAAATCTCTCTGAGGACACGGTGCTAGTGCACGCTCCTACAGCACCTTGACACGACTCAATAAATGTTATGCAACTGTAACCGGATTACAGGATACAATAAGATAATTAAAAGAAAAAATAAACAAATGGGCCAATAATTAGGTTCGGGGAGAATTGGAGGTTGTTTAAGAATGACTGGAGTCACGGGTATAGCATGAAACGGTTTATATACTAAATTTTAATAATAATGGGAAATATAACACATAAAGATAACACACAAAAACAGATGAAAACAATCGACAATAGTAAAATGGTCGGTATGAGATTTGATCATATGAGTCACAAGTCAGCCGGCGTCAAGTCAAATCCCCACGCTTGGGGTGAAAGTCAGAGTCCGGTGGTGCGATTTTTTCCTACCACACCGTTGAGATTGTTCACAGAAGAGAGCAGTCTGCTCTTCAGTTACTTGAGATGTCCTGGTTCGTTCAGTGGTTAAGGCTCGCCATCTCCCTCGTCAGGAAGAAATCCAGTTCTCGTTCCAAGTGAGTGATCATAGGAGTCGGGATCAAACCCAAGGAAAAAAAAAACCCAGCCTGTAAACAACAGGACTGTTAGCAAGTTGGCATCGACCCTTCTCGTCACATCACAGCATAAAGTCTTACAGACTTAAACAAATGCTTCACTCTATTGGCATAGCCAATCATGTTTGGGTTCACAGTTCAACTAACATAACATCAATTTGATTGTCTATTAAAATAATTCTCAGTAGCTCTGGAAATATAATTACATATGACAACAATTGTTCAGCTCAATAGGCTCAGTTAGATTCTATTACTCTACACTATTCGACAAGAAATACATTCATGACAACAAGGATACATTTAGTTGTGTTTCTATACAGCATTGTGACACCTTGTATATCTGTAACACAATAAATAAATAAATAAATAAACAAACAAATAAATAAATAAATAAAATTTTCTATAACAAAATTAAACAAAATATAAATTCTGGTCCTTTGGTCCACCTTTGTAAAATAATTCCTCCCTAATCAGTTAGCTTTTATTTATTTTTATTTATCTATTTTTTTTATTATTAAATGTTTGGTTAAGGGACGCATTGCTAATTCTATGGCGTTAGCTATAACGCCCCTGAGGACCTTGTACATCTAGGCCGTACCACCGTTAACTGGCGGTTTGAGCCGTTAACTCCTATATGCCCTACCACCGTTAACTGGTAGTTTGAGATGTTAACTCCTGGGATCTAACGTCTAGCAGCCCACTGCTGTCACCTCGGTTGCTGTAATTAGCTTTTTGAATTTAATAATTTACTGAATTTAATCTCATTCACTCACCAACGCGCTCCAACGGTTCCCTCCTACAGAGGATTGGTTCACTCTGTCGTCTCCACGCAAATCTATAAGAATGGAATTAATTTGATAAGCTATTTAAGTTTCCTTTTTTTTTTTTAAGTTGCATCGTTAGCTTTTTCTCTTCTTTTTTCTTTACTCACCGCGTTGGTTCCAAGTTCCTAGCTCTTATTAGAAGGAGTCAAGTCCGCCTCTCCCTCTATCTATGCGGCACCCAAATCAGGGTTCTTCACGGCCTCGACCGTTGTTTTTTTTTCTCTCTCTCTCTCTCTCTAACCGCTCAGTCTTTGCTTTCTGTATCTGCGTGCTGCACAGCCGTTTGTCTCTCCTCTCGCTCAGCTGCGTCGCACGGTTTTATTTCGCGGAGGCGGGACTTATTTCTCTCAGCCAATGAAATTTCAGATTCCCACCTGGACCAATAGTATACAGCTTTCCTCTTCTGTTTCTGTTAGGGATGTTCAAGATTCTTGTTTTAACCGATGTTTAATATTAAACTCGTTATTTTAGTTATTCACCCTTCCAATAATTCATTATGAAATTATCTATTAGTTAATTAGATATCTATTAATTAGTATTGTTAATTTCCTTAATTTATATTTTATATTTTATCTAAATTGAGGATGGATCATATTAGTAAGCCAATTAGTTAATACCTCATTAAGGTTCTAGCTTCTGGGTTACACAACATTTTGTGAACATCAATTTATTTGCACTTATTTGTTATAAATGCCACTGTATAATTCTTGCTGTCAGTATTTGCAAGATATTGGTATTTGGGTCTGTACTGGTTAGACTTACATGAGTTAAACCAAGGTCTATAGCCCTTGGGTCATACACTATGAGCTGTAAGTATATTGGTCTTTTTATACTGGGAATCAGGAGTTCTTTTACCGATCATCTTGTTTCTTATTTATTTTTGTCCTGATTGTGCCCTGAGCAATTTTATGACTGAATAAAAACAAATGAAATCAACATAAATAGAAAAATCGTCCTAAATAATCGAGATCTCAATTTCAGTCACAATAATCGTGATTGCTATTTTTGCCATAATCGAGCATCCCTAGGTGCATCAGAGCCCCCCCCCCCCCCCCCCCCCCCCCAATCCTACGTGTGACTTACAGGCATTCATTCCTACTAGAGACCACTGCAAATGTATTAGAAATATGAGTAAAGTTGACCGTTAACTAGCCTCCGAACCACTGGGCTGTGCCGGTTTATCAGGTTGTCGGGTGAAGATCCAGTAAGGAAGTGAAATGTGGCTGAACTGGTCAGTCCGTGTGTTGGATGGACTGTTTGTTCACCCAATAAAGCACAATAAGTCAACCTGTCATGAAACTCTGTGAAGTGATGTTCAGTTCCTAGAGGCGTGGTCATCATTTTGTCTGTTTCATCATTTCTAAGTGGAGTTTTTACCTTCATCATCCTCGCTGAGTCACATTTTATCATGGAGTCGAAGCTAAAGATAGCCTTACAATCAGGGCGAGCCTGCTCCAGTTGTCATTTTAGCAATGCAGATGTTTATAAGGTTACACACTACGAGTTTCACTAATGGGGGTGTAGTAAAATACATTTTTAATTATGATCCATAAGATGTGATGATTCCATACAAATAAGAAAGTTCAGTCTGATTGATCTTTGAATGTTTAATCAGAAGATTCTAGGGTTCTTTGTTATTCAGGGACCATAAACACACTTCGTATTAATTCAGACAGTCAGTATATAGTTTATAAAATGAATTATTTCCCCTAAACTAATAATGTATACATGACAAGATATGAATAATGAGATGTGCTGTGATGGAAGCTAGGTGTTGTAGCAACCGTTCCTTGTGTCTGAGAGAAAATGTGAAATCTGGGTGTAAAAGAATTTGTTGTTATAAACTAGAGAGTTGGTTATTGATAAAAACCTCATCAGACACCAGTATGCAGGCTTACGATACCCTGGTATGAGTTGCGCCTGGCGGTCCTGACCCCGGCTTTCCACCGCAGCCGTCAGCAGCGCGAGTCGGCCGCGTCTCAGGAGCAGCATGTCGCGGCCTTTACGCGCCGGTTCTATTTTCTACGCGCAACGCCTCTGAAACGGGTCAAGTTCGACATTTTTGGGGAAGGAAAGACAGGAAATCGGACGTGGAAATGGAGAGAAGCTCCCGAGATTTTCAGAATAAAGAACGTACTGCCTTCCGGTTGCTTTACTTTAAAAAAAAAAAAGGTTACTAACTGTGCGTCCCCGTGAGAAGTTATCACCTAGCTAGCGGTCTCCTTTGTTTTTCAGGTCCGTATTGGCGATTATAAAACGGACAGAACATAAAACGCAAACCATGTTGTAGTTTTCTCCTGCTTGTTGTTGTGTTTACTGACGAAGTCACTCGTGTGACTTCGTGCTCGGTCGGTGACAGCTGCTCCCCTGCTGCTTCGTGTCTCGTGGGAAGGGCCAAGCAGCAGCTTACGCGAGCAAGACGTGCTGCTGCAGTAACGTGCTGCTGACGGCTCCCGTGGAAACCCGGGGTGAGGTTTGCGGTCAGAATGGTGAGGTCACTGAACGTCGAAACCACAATACTCAGACTAGTAGCTTCCTCTTGAGTTCAGCTTCCCGGCCATGAGATGCAACCCGGGGTCTGCAGATTAGGTGTCCAAGGTGGAAGTCTGAGAGTTGAAGTAGCCCTGAAAAGAGCTGTTGTGTCTGTAATCACTCGCAGCGTCGCAGAAAGGTTTTGACGGTCAAAGGAGATTGTTTCAAAAAAGGCTTCTTTCCCAATTTGTCCGAATCGGGGGTCAGCTGGAAACGGAATTAATCGGGAAGTAAATCCTGTTTTAATAAACTCATTATTTATAATTTCTGACAAATTAGAATGGGCCATGTCTGGAAGGCTTTACCAAAGCATTCCTCAGAAAGCCACAAAGATGTTTTTAACGCTGTGAATGAGAATGCCTTAAAACTCCTATTGTAATGTGTATGAGTGTAGACCGTGATTAACGTGTTAAATCAAACCTGCTGATTTGTGATGTAAATGGATCATTATAAGAACAATATTCATTTTCAATTCATTGATTTAAGCGCAGCTTATTCAAACATTTGATTTAAACATCTTGTTCATTCATCACATCTGATTATTTAACGTATAACTATAGCATCGTGGAGGCTTCACTTATTCAGAGTGAAGAAGGTTGATGTTTGGATGTTTAGTCTTCTGTAGGTAAACACGCTCTGAACAGACCCGTCTGCATTTAGAAAGTGGATTTATGCTGTAGATGAAAGGTCACTATGTTGGTGAATGTATAGGTGAAAATTGACCCTTTTGGTACGTTACATGGGGTTTATAAGTTCTCATTCAAGGTTCTTCCTGATTGTCTGACATTGGAGTCAGAACTTCTGGCAGCATTACAGCTTAACTTGGTTTTCTTTTATCATCTGATGTCGAAAGGCAAATGCTTCTTTAGTCTGTGCTTTTATTTTTGTACAGAATAATCTCATGAATGGATTCTGAAGAAACAGCTGAAAAATCACTTAATGGATTTATAGAGTTGATTAAACTTTGGAGCTAACCCGATTCAAGATGGCCGACCACAGCTAACCAGCAAATTTAGTCAATTTAACAGATTTTGAGCTAAAATGTGATGCTGGTTTCACAACACACTGAGTGCCAGTAGATCGTGTGAGACCCTTGACCAGAACAGCTAAACGAGTCTTGGTTTTTAAACATGGCGTGTGATGCTTCTGGGAACATTAAAATCCCACGTCGAAGTTGGATTGAACTTCATCTCCTGAATAACTATTAGTGTGTTGCAGGGCTGGGTGAGGCATCAAAAATGTGTCGTCATCTAAACTTGTGACTTACCGATATCATATTTTCCATGTCAGTAAATCTGATAATAAACAAATGAAAAGGTGTGTTGGTCGGTAGGTCCATGTTACTTTAAGATGCTGCAACGCCTCGTCACATGACAACGTGACTCATTGTTTTATGTTACAGCCCCATCTAGTGGATAACTTTTGTTTTTGTGCATACACTCGTCCATTTGTCGTTAATTATTGAGATGAACTCCTCACTATATCACGATCGTTTTAGGCCATACCACCCAGCCCTTGTGGGTTGCCATGGCGATGTTAGTTTATTGGGGCAGCAGTAGCTCAACAGGTAGAGCGGGTTGTCCAGTAATCGGAAGGTTGCAGGTTCGATCCCGGCTCTGGACAGAGAATTCTGCTGTTGTGTCCTTGAGCAAGACACTCAACACCTTGCCTGCTGGTGGTGGTCGGAGGGTCCAGTGGCGCCCGTGCTCGGCAGCCTCGCCTCTCATCTCCACCAGTGTGTGAATGGATGAATGATACACTGTAGTGTAAAGTGCTTTGGAGTCCTAACTCCGAGAGGCGCTATACAAGTGCGGGTCATTCATCATTTATCAGCTGAGCTCTCTCCTGGCTGATGATGACATCCCTGCAGTGAAACCACGTGGTGTTTACTCAGGTGTTCGTCTTCGTCTCACTGTCCCCCGTGTGCCTCTGTGCAGACGCTGAACCTGGCCTACAGCAGCACATTCAGCTACTACAGGAACTTTGTGGGGCCCCCCCACATTAAGGTCATGTGCAGACTGTTGGGCTACCAGGGCATTGCTGTGGTGATGGAGGAGCTGCTTAAGGTTGTCAAAAGCCTGGTGAGTAGCAACGCTCCTGAACGTTCAGTTACAGTCGATCACAAAACATCCGTAGTTAGAGTTTGTTCTGTCGCTGCTCAGCTCCAGGGCACCATACTGCAGTATGTGAAGACTCTGATGGAGGTGATGCCTAAGATCTGTAGACTTCCGCGTCACGAGTACGGCTCTCCTGGTAGGTAAAGCTGTGCCCGCGATCTTGTGGAAGCATCAACACCGCATACAACAACCGTGTTGTGGTGGTCTTCCTTCTGCCCACTGCTGCTGGTTTTTAAATGTGTGTGATGGATAGAGGAGGTAAAGCAACATGGTTGTTTTCCTGCAGGTATCCTGGAGTTCTTCCATCACCAGCTAAAGGACATCGTTGAGTATGCCGAGCTCAAGACCGTGTGTTTCCAGAACCTGAGGGAGGTGGGCAACGCCATCCTGTTCTGTCTGCTGAGTGAGCAGAGTCTGGTAGGAGCTGCGCCTCAGCTCTCCTTTCACATCTGTTGGTACCTGGCAGCTGTTTAACTCCGGTAGTGTCTGTTCCCTCCAGTCGCAGGAGGAAGTGTGTGATTTGCTGCATGCTGCACCGTTCCAGAACATTCTTCCCAGAGTCCATGTAAAAGGTGGGTTGATCCATGCACGGGTGGTTTAGAGTGAGGGGTTGTCGGTGTTTGGACATGACGAGGCTGCTAGGAACTAGTTCAGCCAGGTGTTAGTTGCACGTGTTGTAGCTAGGCTGAGAAGTCACAAAGATCTCCACATCTGGGGCCTCGTTCGCCAACCGCACTTACAAACAGATCTGTGCGTCAATCGCGTGGGAACAAGTTCAGGCTTTGTGTGGTTTCATCATTTTGTACCTGGGTGTGAAAATGTTCCTAAATATAAGAAACTTCAGGCCGTGCGTAGGAACAGCATCTAGTGGTAGAACGGGGGAACCACAGCGCCAAAGGTCCGTCATCCACTCATGTTCCTCATCCACAAATTCTTTTACCCGTTAAATAAGTATTTAGGTGAAAAACCGCTGAGTCACATGATTGGTGCTACAACCCCCGACGGGAATCTGACATTTCATGTTTTTGTTACTCTTCCCATTTTTATGATGTTATTAATCATTTTTAATTAATTAATATTATTTTAAATTAAATTATATTTATTGTCCTTGTGAAACACCAAGTGATTTTGCTTGAGATGCGCTAGATAAAGGATCGTTTCTTCTTCTTATTAATATTATAAAGGATTTGTCAGCGCGTGCTCTCTGGAGGAACGCGTCCTCTGTTGGCGCACATCTGATTAGGAGATCCTTCTGGAGCTGTGCTGTGGGGGGCCTTTTGTGGAGCGACAGACAAACCACCCAAATCCGATTCTAGTTCTTATTCTATTTTAAAACAACAAGAACACCCCAGAGCCTCCTCTGCTCCCCGATCGTACTCGTTCAGAAGAAGCTGCACTCGGACGTTTCCAAATAAAACCAACTCCAACCAAAACGACTCCTTAAATGTAAAATATAAATGACAACCTTTATGATTTATCATTAAAGTTTTTGTTTATTCCTGACAGGAACCGCTCCCCTGTCCTGACCACGTTTATAACTTATTTGGTTCTTTTGCACGTCGGCAGCCCGCCAGCGTCTCCATCTCGCAACAAAGTTTTCTTTTTTTTTCTTCTTCTTTATTTTCGGGTAGGACGAAGTGAATTCCCTCACGTGCTAAGGACGTAGCATGACCAAATATGGTTACTTGAGGGTGTTTATGTATGTAAATGATTGAAAAGGGACACAAGCACCTGGGGTACGCACAGGTGGAATGCATCATCATGTGGAGGACCGTGCGTACGAGAGGCCGCGTGTTTCATACATCCGGATTTTGGCTGTTCATACGAACGTTCTAATTTCCGTTCATAGGAAGGAATTTAGAAATATTTCTACAAACGTTTGATGAATGAGGCCCCTGGAGTGCAATAGTCCAGATAAGGCGCTAAACGTAGGACGAAACACACTCATCCTCCTTTACAGAACAGTTGCATCAGTGATGATGAATACTTAAGACTTCCCGTCTCTCACCACTTCATGCATCTTTGCAGATGAAGCAAACACATGAATGAAGCTGTTTTAATAAAGAAATGGATTAAATAGTCACATTAATTTGTTTTTAAATTAATAGTTGCTATATAGTTTTGTGAATTTGACTCCTGAAAAACTCCAGCAGATTCTAGTAGGCTCCAGTTTTACCCGTTTGGAATTAGTCAGGGAATGCTGCCACAGATGTCACACGCTTACAGCCTGCAGGAAACCCTGGATGCACAAAATAGTTGAGACAACAGATCCTGGGTCAGTCAGGAGTGCTGCCAAAAAGCCCTGCAACTTTGGCGATCACATGATCACGTTGTCTGAAATCGCAACACGTGCAAATGCACTTTTGTTCAAAGTTTCATAAAAGAAAACGTCGTGTGGGTTTGGGTTTTAATGAAACTTCGGTTTGTTTGCAATTTACTCTTCTTTTGATAGTGGTAACTTACTCAATAACTACTGGTACTTGGTTCAGAACTTCTCCTTTATTCCACCATGACACCATCGTACTCCCGCACAAAAAGGCTGTTCCTCCGGAAGCAACCACACACTTTCAGAATAAAAGCATATATGCCAACAGGACATTTAACATAAAAGCATTATTAATTCAATTCAATTCAATTCAAAAATGCTTTATTAATCCCAGAGGGAAACTGATTGCTGTAGTAGCTCAGAATAATAATAATAATCAAGTCATCAAAGAGTTGTTGTATATTACAACGGCTGTTGGCAGGAAGGATCTCCAGTAGCGGTCAGTGTTGCAGCCAAACTGAAGAAGCCTCTGACTGAAGACACTCTTCCGTTGTCGGACAGTCTTGTGAAGAGAATGCTCAGGGTTGTCCATCATGTTCTTGATTCTCTGGAGAATCCTTCTTTGCATTATCTCCTCCAGCGGTTCCGAAACTGCCGACACTCTGGCTGAGTCCTTGAAAGGGCTTGGAGTTCCTCCATCTTGTTGGCCAGTGATCTCACATCGCCCATTATGATCGATGGAAGAGATGGTTTGAATTTCCTCTTTCTCTGTCTCCGTTTTGCTCCCGCTCTGCACCCACACTTCTTGCGTTTTAGCTCATTTGGGATTTGTGGCTTCAGTTGAGGTATTATTTCAGCCTTTCCAATGTCAATCAGCTGCTCCCGATTGTAAACCAGCTTGTTGCCATGGTTATGCATCATAACAAATGCTCAAAAAGTGAAAAAAGCTAAAAAATAGCAGTAAAAATCCTCCAAGCTTCACAGAAACAGAAAAGTCAAGTGTCCAAAAATACAGTTTTTCTTGAGAAACTAGAAGAAAAAATGCCCAAGAAAAGGCAAAACTTACATATAGTCAACAGAGCTACTCCAACATGCAGCCACCCAGAGCAGCGCAGTTCCGGAAAAAAACACTAACATATCCCCATAGATGCTGTTTATATAGATTTTGGAAAGCCAACAAAATGTGTGAAATATTTGTTTGCATGTTATTTGCCACATTTAACACAAAAGATAGAAACTGCAGTTAAAATAATTTAATCTCCGTTTACTCTTTTCTGTAGAGGGGGAACGTCTGGATGCTAAGATGAAGCGCTTAGAAGCCAAATACACGGCTCTGCACATGGTTCCTCTGATAGAGCGCCTCGGAACCCCACAGGTAGAACCAACATTATAATTCTGTCGGCAGAACCAGCATGGATGCCGTTTTTATATCATAATTTATTTTTACTAAAGCTGGATGAGTGATATGCGGATGTCCAGGTGGACTCAAGTTTGTTTTCTGCTGCTCTTTCTAGCAAATCGCCATCGCCCGTGAGGGTGACCTACTGACGAAAGAGAGGCTGTGCTGCGGCCTGTCCATGTTCGAAGTTATCCTCACACGTGTGCGGGGCTTCCTGGACGACCCGATCTGGCGCGGGCCGTTGCCCAGTAATGGCGTGATGCACGTGGACGAGTGTGTGGAGTTCCACCGTCTCTGGAGCGCCATGCAGTTTGTGTACTGCATTCCTGTGGGAGCGCATGAGTTCACTGTGGAGTGAGTGCAGCAGCTCACATTTCTAACAAAAACAACAGAACACAGACGCTGTTTCCTAATGTGTCACATTCCCTTTCTCCAGGCAGTGCTTTGGTGATGGCCTCCACTGGGCCGGCTGCATGATCATCGCTCTCCTAGGACAACAGAGACGCTTTGACATCCTGGACTTCAGCTACCACCTCCTCAAAGTGCAGAAGCATGACGGCAAAGATGAGATCATCAAGAGTGTGGTAAGTCAGAGACGAGAACTCCAACCGTTAAAATCGTTATCATATGACTGTTGCTTTGTGCTCGTATCACCACCTTCTGCTGTAGGGTTAGAGTCTTTGTAGCCCGGTGTCTCTCTGACAGTAGGAGGGAACAGAACCGCTGCAGAAGGATGCGGTCCAGTTCCGTATGGCTTCTGCAAAGATCAAGAATCTTTGAGCCCAATCAGAGCAGGTCATTCACACCTGCTGCGCCTGCGGTACGTTGCAGATTCGGGTGCAGAGCTCCGGATTGTCAGGAAGTCATAGAAATGACCTGAGCCGAACGAGAAGAGAGACGTAGAACTGCGAGGTGCATCTGGTGACGTTAACATTGAAATATGTGTTGCATTATTTTTGCTGGCTTGAAGGGATGTAAGAAAATATCGATATAGCAATATATAGTGATTTTTTTTATTTTTTGCAATATTACATCAATATTAATAAGCTATGTATCTAATTTTTGGAAGAATTCAGTCAAACATTTGTGTATTTTCTTTGCTTTTGGGTGCAATTCAAATGCCGACCGCTAGTTGGCAGCAGTGTGCAAAGGGTTTTGTTTCCACCATTGAAATGTAAATCCCTCAATTAGGGTTCAGATACCTCACGTTAAACATGTTAAGTATCGGTTTGGACTGTTTATGGGATATTCCAACAATAAATTCAGTCAAAAAGAATTTGCTGAGAACATCTAACTGAATGTATCACGACGTATCGTCTCACCTGGATCGTGATACGTATCGTATCCCCAGAATTTCACCAATACACATTCCTATTGGCTTGCGTCTTATTATTAATGACAGGGATTTCAGTTAAGTGTATGATGGTCCACATTATTTTTACAGGTATGTCTTTTCATGTATTATGTCAAATTTCTAATCATTTGGTGCTCTTTTGGGAACAAATTTCCAGATGTTCAGCACACGAACTAGCCAGCCAATCCTATACATAAAGGGCCTGTATTTGTATAGCGCCTTCTAGGGTTCTACAACCCCCCAAGGCGCTTCACAACACAGTCATTCACACTCTGGTGGGGATTAGCTACAGTGTAGCTACAGCTGCCCTGGGGCGCACTGACAGAGGCGAGGCTGCCGAGCACAGGCGCACCGCTCCCTCCGACCACCACCAGCAGGCAAGGTGGGTTAAGTGTCTTGCCCAAGGACACAACTGCAGAATTCTCTGGACAACCTCCTCTACCTCCTGAGCTACTGCTGTCCCATATGAATATATAGTCTTGCCATGACGTATTGACAGCTCTGTCGTGGGACGGAATCTATGGTTGTCTTTGAAACTGTTGAAGACACCAATGCGTCCTTTTCTAAAGAAACTTGAGTATCTCTATCTGTCCTAGACGCAAAGAAAAGTCTAAATAGTCCAAAGTTGATGCCAAAGCTGTTTCCAACGAGCCATTGCCATCTTAGTTTCATTCAAAGTAACATCCTGCCCACCAAACCGATGGAGCACTGTGATTGGCCCACCAAACCGATAAAACGCTGTGATTGGCCCACCAAACCGATGGAGCACTGTGATTGGCCCACCAAACCGATGGAGCACTGTGATTGGCCCACCAAATCGATGGAGCACTGTGATTGGCCCACCAAACCGATGGAGCACTGTGATTGGCCCACCAAATCGATGGAGCACTGTGATTGGCCCACCAAATCGATGGAGCACTGTGATTGGCCCACCAAATCGATGGAGCACTGTGATTGGCCCACCAAACCGATGGAGCACTGTGATTGGCCCACCAAACCGATAAAACACTGTGATTGGCCCACCAAACCGATGGAGCACTGTGATTGGCCCACCAAACCGATGGAGCACTGTGATTGGCCAGCCAGCAGGCTGTCCAGGACTTTGGAGGTTCCAGTGGAGAGTGGCTAGAGCGACATGCAGAGCAAAATGATTTTGCTTCAGCCACTGACGGTCTACATTTCTAGGCTGCTCATAAACTGTAGTCGGTGTGAGTGGCAGTCCGTCCTGAAGCTGGACCATATCCGTTTTGTCCTCTGTAACGATGGGTTACTGACTTTATCACCACACACTAAAGCCTGCTTCATACTGCTGTTTGTGTGGGTACGGAGACACGCACCGCCATGATGCAAATGCACTGTAGCAAGCCTGCGGAGGTTGACGGAGACATGCCAGTTTTCTAATTATCTGTCAAAAGTGACTGAGACCTAAAGCCTGTGATTGGTCAGGACGCCACTTTCCCTTCAAAAAAATAGTGTATAGAAGGTGTCTAGCAGCAGACATGGAGCAGAACCAAGAACGCCTTATTTTGCATTTGTAACACTTCCCAAGCAACGGAGTCTCCATTTACCTGTAGCGGTCTTCCAGTCATTCAATACTTTTAACACGTCGAGACTGAGAATGTATTCATAGAGCACTAAGGTTCTAATCACCCCTACCCCCTCACACTGGTCATTCACCCATTCACATGCTGGTGATGAGCTACATCGTAGCCACAGCTGCTCTGGGAGACTACCAGAAGTGAGGCTGCCTAACAGGTGCCACAGGTCCTTCCAAACACTTAAAACCAGATCTTTGGAGCACAAAACTACAAACGAGTTCATTTATTAAGTTAGGTATTTAAAATTATTTGTTTTTGCTGGAAATTCTTGGTTTGATGAGATTATTACCAAGTGAGTCAGCTCAGCTCTAGATGGTGTTTAGATATGTGGAAGCCAGTTTCACTGAGAATAACATCATTTTCCTGGTAGTTTTGGGAATATTGTTAGATGTAAATTTTATTCCAATACGTTTATCATTAATCATCATCGAAGTTTGTTCATTAAGTTTTATGACAATCTCCGAATGAGATGCCCAGATTTTGACCCCTCCCCTACCCTTCTTTCCACAACGAACCTTTAATGTTGCCGTACTTCCCTGCACTCCATTGTGGACCTCGGACATGTGAGCAGACGTCTCGCGTTTCCACTGAAGACTGAGCAACACAACATCATGCATTCATGGTTTTGGTTTTCTTCTAGCCTCTGAAGAAGATGGTGGAACGAATCCGCAAATTCCAAGTCCTCAACGATGAGATCTTTGCCATCTTGAACAAGTACATGAAGTCTGGAGATGGAGAGAACATGCCGGTGGAACACGTCAGATGCTTCCAGCCTCCGATTCACCAGTCGCTCGCCAGCAGCTGAGGTGCTGCTCAGAGCTCTTTCATGGACCAGAACGACACGCCAGCATTACCAGACCAACTACAACTCCTCGTCGTGTGTGTTAGGCTGTTAGGAGTAACGGACCATTAATGCAGTGCGTTAGGACCTTTTTTGTATTCACTTGTGCCTTAAGAGCAAAAATAGATACCGCCTCCATTGAAGAGCTATTCCTTTTCTACTTGCAGGTAGCTACAGATGACAGAGGGATGTTGGGTTCATCAGACGAGTATTTAAGGGTTTGCCGTGGTGAAATATTAAAGGGGAATTTATTTTAAGTAATTTTGTACTTTTAAACATGCATGCTAAAACATTTAAAGGAAATGTAATGATGCACAATGTTTTGTGAAGCAATTATTCACCGTGCCTTGTCTTTGTAATGTTTTAATCTTTTAATTCAATAAATACGTATCAAATCTGTTGGTTCTGGTGAAGAATTTATGTAAAAACTTCTCCCCGGGTCAGAAGGTCCCCAACTTAAGTTTCAAGTATCGTAAAAAGTCAAATCGGAGAATATTCCATTAAATTCAAAATCAGCAGGTCCTGATACAGAATATATATTAGCTTCAGATTTATAGAAAGTAAGTCAGTGCATGGAAATCATGTATGTATAACAAAACAACTCCCGTATGTACAGAGCTACAGCGGAACGGAGTCCTGTAACCGAACACGAGTCACGTTCAGAGGAAAGTAAGGCAAATTAAAACCAATACAATCGACAGGTCCGTCTACGTCCCCTCACAGTTGATTGTCTCATTGTTTATATAAACCATGTTATTACCACGGTTGAATCAAATCAAAGTTTATTACATATCTAAGGAGGACGTCATGGCTCCGTTCCTCCTTGAGACACTGTCAAAAGGCAGACTCACGTCTCTGCCCTCCATGTCCTCTGTGGACTCGTGCAGCAGTTCATAGGTGCTGTGGGAGGCCATGCCGTTGACCGCTGGACACGCCCGTTCCTCTTTCCTCATGGACACGGCCAGAGAAGCCAAGCTAATGCTGACGTCTTTGAAGGCGTGCAGCAGGAAGATGCCTACAATGATCGTGAGGAAGCCGCTGAGGGTCCCGATCACGTCGTCGGAGCCCATGTGCTCCCACTCCTTGAAGAGGATGGCGGAGCACGTGAGCACTGATGTGGTGAAGAACACGTAGTAGATGGGTGTCACCAGGGAGGTGTTGAATATGTCCAGAGCCTTGTTTAGGTAGTTTATCTGTGTGCTCACGCAGCCCACCAGACCAAAGACGAGGATCCAGGTCAGCGGGTTCTTCACCACACTCCTCCCAGCTATAGCATCCTTGATGGCAATCCCCAGTCCCTTAACACAGGACACGGACAGCGCCCCGATCACTGAGCAGATGGTGATGTAGACCAGGATATTGGTCTGACCGTGGCGTGGGCTGATGACAAATATGAAGATGAGGGCCACGATAACGACAAGAGTTGCAAAAACAAAAAACCCTTAGAAAAAAGAAGAAATTCAACATTTAATGACTTTAAAAATACAAGTTTATGTACAAGTATATAGTGTTATCCCTGCTTTCTGGTACTGGTGTAATCCTGATTAAGAGAAATTGTATTAATACTAATAGTTTAATACTGACTGGTTACTGCTGTGACATCAGTTCCAATAAACTCAGACTTAGGCTGTCTACTCATTCCCAACACTCCAGAGGAAACTAAATTAACACAGCAGAGCTTCTTGTCCCCTAGTCTGGATTAGATTAAAAACTCTAGATTAGTAGTTCTATAACAATAGTACCAGAGGTTTGGTCTCAGTCCTCATTCACACAAAACGTTGTGTTTCATGCATTTGACATGTTTTCTACTCAAATTAAACCAGTTTAATGAGTTTACAGAACAACAACACACACAATCTCACTATCAGACTCTGTTACAGCAGATTTTATTAAAGGACGGAAGGAAATAAAAGTCCTGATAGGAAAAACTAGATTCACCCATGAATAAACAAAATGGCTGCTGATCGCCAGTATCGAGCATAGCCGGCTAAGGAATTGGCCAAACTGAATATCAAAACTCCAGATTTTTCCCAGTTAATGAACTCATCATTGCTAAGAGCTAACATGCTAGGAATGGCAGAACTCCATGTGGAAGTTGGTACCAGCAGGTTAAAACTAAGGACCAGCATCCACCCTCAGAACAAGGACCTGTGCATCTCTAATGACCGGAGTTGGAAGAGGAGGATGTTGCATAAAGCTCTCAGTTGTGTAAACCTGCTGCTGTTTGGATCAGAACAGAAAGTTTCTGTCTCATAAAATCCCTTCAAATTAATATTGTCTTAAACACTCTCTGGTGTGAAGATGTCTCCAACAGCCCAAGCTGGACGTTTCCCTTCAGGGTGTCGCCGAAGCCAATCCATCTCCTTTTAGTCCGTCTGCTGCATCCTCTACCCGGACTCTAACCTCACTCGTTCTACAAGGTCAGTTTAATTTATAATCCTGCTTTTGAGTAATAATCCAGATTTGTACTGTTTATTCATTTCCTGTAGTTCTATGTATATAGTACTACAGACCTTGAGCCCTGCAGGAACTCCTGCTTCATGGCACAACCACACTGACCGATGCCGTCATGGTGATAAATACGACAGACCTTTTGATTCGTGCCAGGCTGTAAAGCTAGTCTCTTCTGTACCTGGGTCGACCAGTTTCTTGGCCATGTCTTCCAGGCTGCTGATCTCCTCCTCCTGCGGAGCGTGAATCACCATGGTGGTGGAGCCCAGGATGCTCAGTAGACAGCCGAGCTTCCCGTGCAGGTTTAACCGCTCCGTCAGGAAGTAGGACGACAACACCGCGCTACAACAAAAACCCAAACACTTCTCATGGTGATTTGTACAAGATACAGAAAGAACCCGATGTGCAGATGTGAACATGTATATTTGATAAAATGAGAATTTATACAAACAGAAAGTTGTCCTTGCACTGTGAGTGTATGTATCAGAGATAAAGATAAGCACGGAACAAACAGATCAGGGTCTTAGGTGTCAGGGTGACTCCCACGTCTTCATGCAGCACGTCACCTATACCGTACCTGACGAGCACACTGAGGGCTCCCAGAGGAGTTACCAGAGTTGCAGGAGCAAATGCGTAAGCGGCAAAGTTCGCTCCTTCGCCGGCGCCCACTGTAAAAGGTCACGACACAAATAAATATGCTGCAACAAAACCAAACACGGTAAGACACTGTAATGCTGTCGGTGAGGTGACATGTCCACAAAGATTCACTCTCGAGCACAAATGCAAGAAGACGATAAAACCTAAAAATGATTCATCCGTAAGATCATTAGCATCTAGTCTCAGTTTAACGGACATTTAAGAACTTCTGCAGCGTGAGGCTCGATAACTTTCCATTCTGGGAAAATTCCCACAAACGTAAACAATTCACCAGTAAAATGCTGTGAAAAAGTGTTTGCCCTTTTACTGGTTACTGCACGTCTCAGACCAGCTAACTGAAATAAACCAGAACAACGAGAGTAAATACAAAATAAAGTTTAGAAAAGATGATTTTAAATATTAAAGTCTAAACTAAACCAAAGAGGTCTGCATCTGCGGCTCAGGGCCACAAGTGGTTCTTTGTGTTTTCCACAAAGACTCTTCGTAACTTTGGCTAAAAATTACAATCAACTCCTTTTTTAATAATAAAATTAATTTAAAAATAATGCAGATTTAAACAGCTTTTCAGTTTTTTATAGAATAGTTTAAATTAATTTCCACAACAGAGTAACACTAAGAGTCCCGGTAATATTTTAGAGTTGTTGTGTTGTTTTTACGTAACTTACCAGAAACAAGTATATATATATATATATATATATATATATATATATATATGACATATTTGTATTGCAAAAGTTCTTTTTCATCTTTTAATCTTGCTTCAGTTTTGATGCGTGATCTTTATGAAGCAGATGATGAGTTTTTATTTCTGACAGGTGTAATGCAAATAAACTTTACTTCATTTTAAACCCAATAGAAACAAAATGGTGACAAACGTATTCCAGCATTTATTTTTACAGAACAGAAAACAAAGATTTGACTTTTATCTCTGAATTCTGAGAACAAAATGGTTTTTATCCCCCCAGAGACCCTAATCCTCTTCCGCAGATAAAAAGGCGCAGCTCCAGAGTTTTATTACGGTGAACTGAGGTGAGACGGCTGCAGAGCCCGAGTATTACTAACCCAGAATAATACCCCCACCCACCCCTCGTTACCCGATGAATTCTGCTCTCTACCAGGAAATCCTGAAGAATATTTGAACTTTGACCTTAACGAGCATATTGCAGGTTAGAGGCTCCTTTAAAGTGGGAGTCAACGCGTGGGCGGAGACGTATTTCACCCACACTTCCTGTTAGGAAAACGCTTCTGAAAGAGGCGTCGTCTGGCAGACCGAGAGAGCGGCGCTGAGGCTGTGGTACTAGACAGCAGCCACCTCAACCCCCCCACGTGCGCTGTTGGAGTTCCTCAATCTAGAAACGAGTTGTTAACGAGTGCGCACGCACTCACACAAGACTTGCTGCTCAGGAGAAAGGCGGACACAGATTCTGCAGCATTCTGGAGGATTTGTTGTTAACCACGATCATTCGATGAAAAGGGGAATGGCTCCGAGCGCTAATGTGTCAGCAGGTGAGTGGCTGAGCCAGGTGGAGGTGCGGCTGCCTCACCTGGAGACCAGTGCAGTCATGTAGTCATTTGCTGATGTCACATTTTTCAGCTTAGCCATCAACCACAGCTGACTACATAAATATGGAGCAGAGATTTTAACCTGAAGATGGAGATGTAATTATGGTTTTGGGCTGAAATATTACATTTAAAGTGAGTTGTGCTAAACTTCCACACTAATGATTACACATGTGTACAGCACCATTACACACTCATCTATTCAGGTTATCAGCAAAAAAGTTTGTTTAGGTGTACCTCACTCTTTAAACAAATATTTAGAGAAACATTACAGGAACACGTTCTAAACTAAAGACGTACACATAATTAAATTATTTAGGCTTTGGGAGTCATTTTTATGAGAAAAGGGTTTTTCTGCCAAACCAAACGTGATGCAGGCAGAGGGAGTCCTGCTGGCTTGATCCAGTAAAAAAAAAAAAAAAAAATATATATATATATATATATATATATATATATATATATGTGGATTTTAATGGCAGTTCTGACACAGAGGAAACTTTAATTGTTAATAATTATACTTATGGTGGAGCACAACCGTACAGTTACAAGCTTGCTGCACGCCCCAGAGAGCAGAGACGAGCCACAGGGAGAAACCATGGCGAGATGGAGAGATTTAGCCGTGGTGTCACGAGGTTCTGTGGAGCGAGCAGGCGTCTCGGCGGGTGAACGATGCTAGCTTAAACTCGTGTGCCAACATCAGGATATTGTACAGATTACTATCATGTACCAGACAATTCATGCATTATTGTTCGTTTAATATAATACTGATTCACGACAATAATAAACTATAATGAGCGTTTGTCAGCTGTTTCATATTCATTAATATCCATTCACCTAACTTATTAGCGCTTTAGAGAGATGGTTTGGACCTGGGTCCGACCTAGAAACCAGCTCCACTTGCCTGCTAGGAGCTCCCCATCCACTTCTGGAGCTCAGCATGGACCTCCCTGACCTGATTCAGATACTGATCTGGCCTCTAGGAGCCGGCAAGCATTTTTCTAAACTCCACCACGGGGCTGTGAAGGATAGGAGGCATGATGAGCTCCCCTCACATCGCTCCAGTCTGGTGTGCACCACAAACATCCGTGTTTACAGCTGCACGAAATGCACCAGGAACAGAAAATAGTGCCGTTCATTCTCTTACTTGGAAACCCGTGGACTTGATGTCCAGACCTGCTGGAGTTTAAAGATGCTCCACATAAAAGTTTACAATTTTTAAAGAAAAATTAACGCAATCCAAAATGAGTGAACACACACACACTTACTTGATAACACGACCGATCTACCTGAAAACTACCTACTCTCCACACTGAGCATCAGGCAGGACTAGCTTAGACCTCGTCACTCGTTTTCACAAACACCTGATATGAAACTGTTAACCAGCTATTTGGTTTAGAGTCAGTTCATTTTTCCAGAAAAGACCAGACTGATTAGTCCAGATCTTAATCTGAAGTTTTAAAAAACTGCATTTTGTATTTACCCAGGCTAGCTTTGTCTGACGCAGAAATTTGTTTCTCATATGAAACTTTTGTGTGACAAAAACAAACAAAAGCAGGGGAGTTGTGTAAAGGACAAATACTTTCTCACAGCCCTGTAACTATTAACATAAACAGCAGCTAGTCATCACTTACTTGACAGTAAACCAGCCCACCACAGCCATTCTTTAAGATATGCATGACCACCCTGCCCTGAAAAGCAAAAAACAGTTAAACAAAAATCTGATTACACGAGTTTCCTGTCACTGCAACAGAAATAGTGTGCATTTCAAATATTTATTCTACACCCACTTTAAAATACTCAGATCAGACGTGAAGGTTGAGTGAACTACTGGTGGTAATAACTGAGGTTTAAAGAAAGCAGAAACACACTCCGTACACACGCGTAAACACCAGAGCGGAACTAAACATGTCTGATACAGAAGGTATGAGCAGGTTACTTCATGAGCTCCCATGACTGGTTTGACTTCTTGTTTGCTTGTCAGCGAAGCACAACTAGAGCAGGGAGTGTTCGGGAAGCCAACAGCACAACAGGTTAGTTATGGTACGACTTCGTACCTGCTCTCATCGAGCCCTTCTTCGCCAGCCTCAGAAGTCCTTTCTTCTTCAGGATGAAACTTCCCCCAATGAAGATGCTGGAACTGATGGCCAAAGCCAGGCCGATGTAAAAATCATACCTCCCTCTGTCTTGACCCATAGCGAGGCTGGAAGTGTTGCTGTTGTCTGTCACATTTACCACTAAACAGGGAAGATGCTGATCAAAAAGGCAACTCCGGCCAGTCCAGACACCTGAAACAGAGCAAAACAGCACCCATAAACACACACACACACACACACCCTCATCACCACTACAGGACGAACCTACCGCGTCCCCGGGACAGATTACACGCTGGAAAGCCATAATTTGATGAGTTGGAGGATTCCATTTAAGGAACATCTAGTACTGACTCTCTTATGCGTAACAGAACGACTCGATGCTAACCGGGTTTCCGATCGCCTGTCAGAAGAGCGGTTGGCTTGAATAAAATACAAAGCATTGTGCAACTCAGTTCTGCTATGTAAATGAACTCATTTCAGGAGTAAAGAATCCAGGAAGTGACATGCCTCTGATGTTAATGTTGGTAATGAGCTAACAGAGCGCTGCTCTCCCCTCGGTTCGTCGCTATTACCTGTCCAACACCGTTCAGATACCTGGCGTGTTGCTGGCTGCTCGTAGTTCCAGTCAGTGGACGTAAGTAATCATAAGTATCCCTCGTTAGCTCTGTTAGCTAGCATTAGCCGCACATAAACGAGGTAAACGTTACCATAAACCCCCCTGCCGCGGATTAGTTCAACAGCAGGTACTTACCCCGTCACAGAGCGCGTGAGCTAGAAGATATCCTGCTTATTGCCTCCGCTGGGCATTCTGCTCCTTCTACACTCAGCCGGGTCTCGAGGTCTGCCGCACTGCGAGGCTCTTCTTCGGTTTATCAGGAGAGAGAGACGTGCCCGTGGACCTCCACCGGTGTTGCGTCGAAATGTGTTCCCCTGACAAAAACTCTCCCAGGCTAGGAGAGAAGCTGGGAGAAAAGCTGCTGGGACCGTTTTCTTGTTCCTTTTTCTTTCTTGCTTGCTTTAAGCAAAGTTGTTCGACATGTATGGCCAAAATAAATTATTTGCTTGTTTTCTTTTGTTAACTGCAGCTGATTAACTAGCCTTTTCACATTCATTTGAAGAATAAAACCAAACATAGTAAGAAATTATTTGTTACTTCACATATCCCGATCTGTACGGTCTATCCCGGTATGTACAGTATATGATCCCGATACATTTATGATCATGTGCCCGAATGTGTACATTGTAGACTGCAGACTCAGACTCAACCCCACTCAGAGGCCTCCCGCGCTATGAGGCGCGGACAGTATGAGGTCTTTGACTGCGCTTTCGTAGTTCACATGGTTCGTGTTTGCGCAGAGAAAAAGTAACGCATTTATTGCGTGTTGCGAAGTTCACGCAAGCAAAATATGGAACTTCAGCATTAAGAACCAGAAAATGCCTGGGAGTGCGGGCCTCAGAACGAGGGGGCTCGAGAACGTTGCCCGCAGCCGGAAACTCCTCGGGAAGACGGTTTTAGACCAGGGAACACATACCGACAGAACACCTACTGAAACCCAGCACTCATCAGTGGTGTCCAATTAGGGTCCTCCGGGGCCACTATGCAGCATGTTTTAGTTATTTCCCTTCTCTAACTATTCAAAGAAAGTTTGAATCGCCTACTCAGCAGGTTACCAATCTGCAGAAGCCTGTTAATCACCTACTGGGTTGTAACACACTGGAAGAAATACTCTATGTGTTTATGGTCTGATTTTATTAAAGAAATGAGAACTCATTAAGACAAAAACACTCAAGATTGCAGAAAACGTAGACGCCTGTAATATGAGTGGGAAACTTTAAGGCTGTTAATAAAAAAATGAAACCGCAACTTCCAAATCAAAATAGTTTGAATATTTAATTCAAGACCAACCTAAAGTTGTAATCCAAATAAACACTATTTGCAAATTTATGAATAAGTTCAAACATTTAACAGACTAGAATAACAGCATTTCATTATGGAGTCACTGAAAAGACAAAGAAAACATCAAATTTGATGTCATAATTCTGCACATTAGTCATTGTTTTGACATAAGTTATATTTATGACTTAGTATTCTTTGAAACACAATTCTACAGTTAGAAGTCTATCTCCTAAAACATACTTTTAAATAATTTTGACTTAGTACCTTATATCTTTATATTAGTGATCATGACTTTACCTCATATCATGACTGTATGAGCCTTAAAGTAAATAAAGAGGTTTGATTGTATTTGTTAATGTTCAAAATGTTTGTTTATTTTAATACAATCTTGATATGTGGGTCAGTCAAGTGGGAGTCCGTTAAAGCCCTTATCAGTTCCACCTGGGGGAGGAGAGACGGTCAGGGAGATGGGGCCCACACTATTTGTTGACTGCATGACAGATCGCTAAGAATGAAGTGAATTCAGGATGCTTCTGTTGACTACGTAAACGATAAAACACAGAAGTTCAGGTATGAAAATGAATTCACTAAAAAACAAACAGATCTCAGTCGGTTATTGTTCAGCACGTCACTACCGGACCCCATCTCAAACAAAGCGGCGTCTGGGTTACGTTTTCGGGAGCCGCTGGAACAAAGACTTTCAAACTTTATTATGAATTTAAAACTCATGAATTGAAATTTTTAATATTAGACTTTGAAACTCAATTGTGGCATTTGTTCTCATGATTAAGAGTCTTAAAGTCTCATTATACATATGGATCTCAATATTATGTATTGTTCTTTCTGTTAAGTGCTGGAAATTAGCTTCCACAGAGTCGAGTCTTCACCGCTCAGGAGTCTGATCCTGAAATTACTCTGAATAATTCACCTGTAGTCTCAGGGTGTGTGATTCTCCTGCACTGAGCTGTGGTAATGCACATGGTAAAGTTGTGTGGAAAGCAGAAGCATTTACAATGTTTTTGTTCCCTTTTACTACCAAAAAGTCAAAATTGAACAATGTTAAAAGGTTCACTCGTCAGCTGAAACTGACAAGTGGAGTGCATGTGATTAAAACTACAAGAGCCATGTATAGAAAACAAAGTATTGCACTTATTTTAGATAGTAACGTAGTCATTGTGTACAGCTGAATTACACACAGGAATAAATGATAATACTGATCTCAGGGGGGTAGGCAGACTGGAAACATCCAGCTGTGAACGCAGCTAATCAGTGGAGTTAGGTGGGTTAGAGTTAATTAGATTTATCACAGCAACCCTAATGAGATGTTGAGTTACAGCAGTCATACTGGTAAGGGTAGGGCGCTTTGGCCACTTAAACTGGAGGTAGTACAATGTTAAAGGAAATGTAGAGTGGCACAAGTGTCACATGATTATAAAAGCATCTCCATCAGTCCATCTGCTCTCATGCTTCCTTCTGCTTCCAGGTAACAACAGCTTCCTGGGAAATGCGGAGTAAAGTGACTCCGACACACACGGTTGTTAACGCACAAAGCATTGCAAGGCTGTCGGTCACAGTAAGAGCCGTCCACTCTTTAAAGAGGAGAGCAGAAGTAAAAATCACAGTGGATGTGAACGTCACAAAGTATATCGCTTCGAACATGTTGGAGCTGAAACACTCTAAAGCCTTGTTGATGAAGACGAATTGAATCAGGATGCTGACAGTCAGCGTTACCAGCAGGACTAGGAAGAGAGCCAGGGCTCTGGTGCTCCCTGGTCCTTCCACAAACAAATCTGGGGCTACCAATCCAAGTCCCTTGCTGCTTGGAACGGTGAAGCTTCCCAGGAGAGAACAAATGGCGACATACACCATGATGTTGGATTTTCCATGAGCCGGAGCGATCCACAATATCAGGGCGATCAGCAGCAGGACCACCAGAAGGGCACTAATGACAATCACTGCAGGACCAGAAGTGAGCTGTTAATAACAGACGGACATCTAAAGAAAGAAAAAGGCAGCACTTCATCACCTGGGTCTGTTAGTCTCTCCTCTAGCTTCAATCTTGAAGTTGCCACCGCACTAGGAGCATGAATGATAAGAACGACGGAGCCACAGCAACACAATACACATCCAAGCTTCCCCAGGACGTTTAAATGCTCTTCCAAAATCCAAGATGCAAGCACGGCCCTGCGTCACAGAAAAAACGGTTACTGAAAAACACAATGACCTGGACGTTTTCAGTGTGTTAAAACTGGGAGGCAAGAACATCAGAAACGGCCACATTGATCAAATCAAATCAAAACTTTATTTTTGAAGTACTTTTCATGCAGCAAGTACAACTCAAAACATTGTATTAGATTAAAAAGAATCACACAACAGTCAACCCCCCCCCCCCCTCCCCTACAGATTAAAATACAAGATCCCTTCTATAACTCCCTCCCCTTGCCCCCAATCCCACCCCACAAATGCACTTGAAAGCTACAATGAAAGGACAACTGACTGAGTACAGATGAAGCACGCAACAAAGAAGGAAACACCATCAAAGGAGCCAGCTGCACTGGGAGCAGCAGCCCGGGCACCACCTCATGGCACCAAGAGGAGGCACGAGATGGGCCCAGGCAGCCACAGCCAGCCACCACCCCCGGAGCAGTTGGCCCCCACTGAGGAAACACTGATAGAACCTTAAAAAGATTAAGATAACACTGATAAAATATATGAAAGATAGTTAAACAGGCTGAAATAGATCAAATTCAGCTAAAAGTTTACTAAAAAGGTGAGTCTTGAGCCTGGCCTTAAAAACGTGAACGCTCTCTGTGGCCCTGAGGTCCTCAAAGAGAACCGCCCCAGTGCAGCCAAGAGGCTTTATGGCTTTGGTATTTACCAATATTAGGAACGGTGCCAGTCCAAACTGAGTTTTGTGGATAAAACTAAGTACAAGAAGGACAATTTAGAGAACAGAGAACGGTGACATCCACAACTTCCAAAGCCACGACAAGCTGCGCACTGTGACTGACAGTATCCAACACTGACCAGATGCATTCATAAAATGCAGATCACCATAATCCAATAAAGATGTTTATGTACAGAACATATGCCCTGAGGAGCTCCTGTAGTAGCAGGGAGATTAAAGGAAAATGACCCAGATTATGGCCTGATACGGAAAAGTAATTTAAAGATAAAAATGGGTTTTTACTGCATCCAGCTGGAATTGATACTTACCCAAACAGAACTCCAAGGGCTCCTAAAGGTGTCACTATCACAGCAGGGGCCAGGTTGTACGCCAGGAAATTCCCAATTTGACCAATAATCACTAAGAAAGCCATGTCAGAGATGGCATCAGTTTTACTTAAACCAAAAATCATCTAGGGACATAGCTCATAATTACTGATAGTTCTGTATATTAACTCGTATGTGATACTCACTGCACACCGTGCCGCTCCACCACACCACATCACAGAGGTAGGATCTTCCTGAAGGGAATAACAGTTTGTTTTAGGAAGCTTTTCCGCAACGCAATCAATGAATGACACTATTTTTCGTGTAGCGTTTGTCCTTACCCCTTTCGCGAGAACGAATTATTCCTTTTTTCTGAAGTACAAACGTCGACCCATTAATAAAACTCGACGTTACAGCAATTACTATTCCCGACAAAACACCAGGAAGCCCTGGGTCGTCGGCCATTATTGAGTTTATAAACTTTGGCATTCAACTGTCACCCTGGTAGGTTTTGTTCAGTAGCAGTGCCATCTAGTGGACATTTTTCTCCTCAATTCAGGTCAAATCCGCCCATATGATGTCCCGCCTTCAATCTGAAGGGAGCGCACGTTTTGTTACACGGGATAAAACAAGCAGGCGGTATTGGAACGAGTCAACCTAATTTTTTCACGGGGTAAACTTCTCGTGAGAAATGACACAGATCAATCGCACCGAATCCAAAGGTTGGAACTACGTAAATTGTTTCCTTGTCTTCTGCTGTGGTCTACGACCTGCCAATCAAGTCTATTAGGACCGTCTTGTTAATGCAGCAGAGCAGCTGAGAATAGCTTCACAAGTGACCGCAGGTAATTTAAAAGGCTGTTGTTTCGGTACAGACATGTTAAGAACTATTCGTATAAACTATAAAACGTAGGTTCTCAGTTGTTGTAGTGTCACCTCTTTGAAGCTTGTTCTTCGCTGGTGAGAGCTAGTTTTAGCTTTGAGCAGCTAGCGTTGTGTCAGTGTTAGCTGTTTATCAGACGATTTTATTAGCCTTGTTCCTGAGCTATTTCCGGTGCTTTCAAGCACTTTGCACTGGGTTATGAGCGTAATGATGGTCTGTCAGAGCCTTATAACCGTCCGTTATCATTCAAGCTAACATCTCCGGAAATCAAGGTTAAAAATCCATGGCCCCCTGCTAGCTTTAATGCTACAAAATCTCCCACTTCTGTCATTTTTTCACGTGACACAATAATAGTCTAGCACACATGTTGTTACTGTGTTCCTGATTATTTGTGAGAAATTCAGTTCCCTTGAAATATGTTTTCCCCAATAACTCAAGAGCAAACATGTCCAAGTCGCAGGATTATACCCACTATGAGAGGACTAAACTCAAATAAAAGATGGTTGTTAAACTGAGATGACGTCATTATATATAACTTTCAAAAATGAGAAACAAACCTCCTGGAAAGCAGTGGCTGACTGTATTTTATCAGGTTAACGTGAACACATGACTATGATTCTCTCGGACATTAAAAAACTATAAAAATCAAACAACACGAGTATTTTTGTTTTTAGGAGAATGTATAGAATAAAAACAAGATTGCAAGCAGGACAGTATTGCATTATGTAATTTTAGATGTAAAAGTCGACCATATGGTGTGAAGAGAGCCTGAAGTCCGACCAGTAATTTGTCAAATATTCCCGTGAAATATTGTGGACACAATTTAAAGCGCTTGTCAAAAAGCTTACTGTTATTGCATACGTTTTTCATCAAATTCCGGACAGATTTTAATTTTTTTTTTACAGATAATCGGAAAAACCCAGCTATCCACAATAAAATCGAAAGATCAAAGCTCAAGCTTGAGTGAACAGGTCTTGTCTAGAGATGCACTAGTTCAGTTTTCTGTGGGCCAATTCTTTTACAGCTCTGACATACTGATTTTAGATGATTTGAATTTAGAAAAATAATGAGTAGATTACTTTTTAAAACATTGGAAGTTATGATTCTTATAGTAAAATCCTGCTGTAAGATCTATTAATGCAAGCATAAAGTAGCTTTGTGATGGTGTCATTCATTGGCTACCAGTAACATTTAGAGTGACATTTAAAATCCTGCTGTTTGCTTATAAAGCTTTGAATAATCTGGCACCGACCTACCTATCGAACTTACTTAAGCCCTACGTGCCACTGCGTTCACTTCATTCAGCTGACCAACTACTGCTCTGCACCCCAAAAATGCTCTACAAGTCGAGGGGGAGCGAGCATTCATGTATGTAGCTCCCATAATCTGGAATGCACGGCCACTCACTATCCATTAATGTTTTCAAGTCATGCCTGAAGTCTCACCTCTATAATAAGGCTTTTAGATTGTGATTTTTATCTTTCCTTTTTGCTGGTTTTATTTGCTTTTATCAGTTTTTATCTGTTTGCTGTATTCTGTCTGTTATATCGGCAATTGCATGTTTCTGTTTTTATGTTGGGAGGCGCTTTGGTCAGCTCCCATGCTGTTTTTAAATGCGTCATATAAATAAATGAGGTATGGTATGGTGAGTTCATGAACCACTGCTGATAAAAAGTTTTTTGGACTTTTTCATAGCTGCTTGACAGTGAAGTGTCCATGGATAGTGGGGGAGTTTCTTTTTCAGATTAAGCTGATTGTACCGATTTCTGGTCATCTGCAATTAACAGAGCAATTTTTAGTCCATCTCTAGTTTTAGACTTATTTCTGTATCTTGAACTTGCAGGTTGGCTGCGTTTGCAGCCAGGAAGGCCGAGGGGAAGATGCCATCTTCATCTTTTACCCTTGATGCTCAGCTGAGATATCATGACAAATGGCTGAAGATAGACATACAGGTATGAAAACATTTATCAGGTAATTGTCACATCATTTGCCTTTTCTTTCTTTTTAATTTTTTATTTATTTTTAATTGTTAGGAAAATTTCATGTTTTGTGAAACAGGCACAACTAAATACAGAAGTTAGGAGAAAGTAGTCGTTTAACTTTAGGCCTGAATAACTTCGTCTGCGTCTGAACTTTCATTTGTACTTTGCTGGCTTGAAATTATTTCATTACCCAATTTATTTGTCAAAAAATTGCTCAATTCCTACATTATGGCAGCCTAAGTGAAATATGTTGTGTAATGATAACTAATATTTTTTGTGTGAAGATGATACTGATTGCATCTTATAACAGGTTACATTCACGCTCCTCCAAACTGTTGCACGCCGAGTTAAAATGTGTAAAGCTCAACCCAACCGTTGACTTACACCAGCTCCACAGGCGGCATCGTGCACCGTGCACAAACGATGATTGTTTTTCTGTGCAAGTTATAATAATACAGACAAAAGATGAAGCGAGGACTTTTCAGGGAAAAGTTTAGTGTTTTGAACACAAACTTGGGTTGGCTACAATTATAATAGAATCTTTTAACCACATCATGATGCTGTTTACACACACTCACACTTGGAGGAAAAGCCGTGGAGTGATTCTCTCTCCTACCTGGAGTGACTTCCTTAGCTTGAAACAACCTAAAACAAGGAAGGACGTCATGTTATCCTGTTGTCCTGTAGCTGCTCATCTGCTTGATGTTTTCGTAAATGTTAACATTTTCAATATTTAAGATGTCAGATTCTTGATAGCAAGGGCTGACTGGAAACCGACGCCTTGAACGAGTGGTTCACTGCTGTCCAAAAGTCACACAGTGTTTGTTTATTTGATCTGTTCATATTTACAGATAAAACATCTCTGCACATTTTATTCTTTTAAGGCAACTAAAATGTTGTCGAGACAACAATCGGGTGTTTTTAAAATCGTTTTCTTTTCTTTTGACAGCGGGCGTTCTCTCCAGAGGGCCTGAGTGAGATGTGGAATGAAATGGTTAAAGATGAGGAGATAACATTCAACGGAGAAGAATCGGCTCACACAGGTACCGCTCTGCCACAATAGACTTTTATTTTTAATGTATTTATTTTTGTTAGCCATTTTAAACTGTGTTACCGTGTAAAAATACTAAATGGTAATTTATTTGTAGATAGCTTTCTGAACGGTCTCTGTTAGGAAAAAATGAGCTCGTGTCCAACAGATCAGACAAACGGCCAAGACCAAAGGGGTTCACGTTTTGAGACGGCAGGCTTGCAGAATGATGTCGGTCAGTTGTCCAGGTGTAGATTCATGTCAACTGGACGTCTTTCTTATTGGCCGGACACATTTCACCACTCGCTCCAAATGGCTTCTTCAGTCTGATCTATAAAATAATGTTTTCATGAACCTCTATGAAATTTGCAAGGTTAGAGTTATTTTAGGAAGGCAGCAATGCACTCTGGCCTCAGCTGGTTCCGACCAGATGCAAGTCCTGTCAGATGTAAGCTAAATTTTCCTGAACAGGTCATTTAGCCGAAACACCTTTACACAGAAAAATGCTTTAAATGGCCCAAAAACCCTTTAAGGACCTGGTTTTGTCTGCTAGATTTCCATGATGGTACTGAATCCAGAAGCGGTGTGGTGGTGTGACTGCTGCTGAGGATGAAGGTTCATATGATCTATTTTTGACTTTCAGAAGATTGCATCAATTGTTTTGGAACCCAAAAGAAGGATGAGCCCAACGATAAAGAGAAGAAGGAGGAGGAGGAGACGCCAACATCCGCTCATCACTCCATTATTGAGACCTGGGACTGGGGACGCCAGCCAGGTAGGAAATGATCAGAATGTGGTCACGTTTGCTGCACTCTCTCCTGCTTTTCCCTTTTTAAATACGACTTCCTGTCTCTGTGGGGTAATTAATACCCCGCTGACTACTGGTGGTTTCACAAGACCGAAATGTTAACTAGATACAATTATACTCACCATTTCAACACACCGCTGCCCTTTCTGGTGCTGGCACGTGAGTTGTTGAAACTGTGAAGTGACAACTCGCCCCCCGTGGGACTGAGTGGTTATTTTTACCCGGCAGAGCTTAGTCCTGACACACATGACGGTGTGGCTCAGAGTGAGGCACCATCACCTACCCAGAGCATGTTTACTGGAGGAACTGGGTGGGACAGCATTTTGGTTGTGGGAGATGAGCGCTGCGTAGCGGTTTGGGCCGCCTTATCTACATGTTCAGTGCATGCTGCTTGCAGCTATGTGGTTGTTTTTCTGTCTTTATTGACATCAGCTGGAAGTCACACTGGTCTGATGATGCAGTGAGTGTAACTGGATCTTCGCATGAACGAGCTCTCTGTCATTGATGCTTTGGAGTTCAGACAGCACACTTCCTGATTGTCCAATGTGCGATCAGATACGTGGAACACGTTTGTCAGCAATTCCAGCTCAGGCCAAAGCCATGGTTTTGAATTCACAATATTTACACCTTACAGCTGAATCCATCTAGTGGACTGCTCTTCATATTTGATCTTCATTTGGATTAAATAGTCTTTAATCAACGTATATTTGAGCCCTTGTTAGAGTGAACATTGTTGAACTGGAATCTCTGTTCTGACCACTCATCACAGCTGAATATTGTGGCTCCTCTGACCTCAGGCCAGTCTGACTTATGAACGGCTTAAGTGGATTTCTGGCTTGCTATATTGGTCCATCATGACTTCCCTACAGTGTTCCTGTGAAAACACACGACTTTCCCTCTAAACCCATCAGAACACAGCACATGTGATGAAAGTTTGTAGAAGACGATGTTTAATCTAATGAGTGTTTTCATTTCTCACTGAAAAACAGTTCAAGCCTACAGTTGATGAGCTTAACACCAACAAACATTTTCATGAAACAAGGCCCTAGTTGTTAGGAAACTTTGGGTTTTCACACTGAACCTGTTGTTCACATCTATATTGCATAAATTCCAAAACTTAAAGTATAAATAAATATTATGGATCAAGTTAAAACTGAAAATGTACCAGCGTTTTCTGTAAAAGACAAAACCAGCTCCATGTTTTTACCAGTTTTTCTGCTGTCCACTCTAACCTAAAATATGAAGCTATTGCAGTACTTCATAAATACTTGTACAAGTGGTCCTTCATGTCCCCTCTGGAGTGGTCGTGGTTGGTTTAGATCAACTTGGCCTGGCTGGCTGCCAGGCCAAGTGACCCCCCCCCCCCCCCACTGACGATGCACGATAGCCAAAAAAACTGCGTGCAACAATCCTTCACGCTCTCTCACAGTCTGCCGGGCTGGCCGAGTGTTTGGTAGACAAAAGTATGGTGTAACCATCGACATATAAATATGGGTGTAACAAATAGTTTATCTGTGTGTGTGTGTGTGTGTGTGTGTGTGTGTGTGTGTGTGTGTGTGTGAAGATGAAACGGAGTTAAAAGACTGTTTGATGGTCCTTGTTGAGGACCAGCAGAAGCTCTCGGGTCAGATGGCAAAAAGCACCCTGTCTGCTCTGCGCCTTCGCCAGCGTCTGGTCATCCTGGAACGCTATCTCATCTCGCTCAGCCACAACATGATGGAGGAGAAGTACAAAGTCCGCTGGAAGACACCCCCCAACCAACCTCTGCCTGCAGCTGACAATAAGAGGTATCCTTCTATGTTTGTTACTCTAGTTTTAGACCAGTATCTAACCTCCTGTTGTGGACAAACAAGGAACAGCCTCTGCAGTGAAAGTTTCAGATATTCCTGAGGGTTCTCAGTTCCGTAGCATGAGCCCTAAGGCCTTGTTCTCATGTCATTCTCATAATTATTGTCTTTATTTCAGCCCTCGTCCAGCCAGTAAAAGTGTGGAAGGTTTGGCCCGAGTCGGCTCCAGGGCAGCGCTCTCATTTGCTTTTGCTTTCCTGCGTCGAGCCTGGAGGTCAGGTAAGAGTGTCACTGGTTGTGAGCGGGTTTAGTTGTTTCATTGTGGTGATAGAAGCTGCTGTCGTGGTGGTGGAGCTTTGCTTAACAGCTGCAGATAAATTTGTTGCAGTACGTTACAAGTGACCCATCCATCCATCCATCCATCCATCACCCACGTCCGTCCGTCCTTACACACACACACACACACACACACACACACACACACACACACACACACACACACACACACACACACACACACACACACACACACACACACACACACACACACACACACACACACACACACACACACACACACACACACCACAGTCGGATGTAAACACAATCACAGATTATAACCACAAAGACAAAACCAATAGCTTAGACCAGCGGTTCCCAAACTTATTTAGCCGCGTACCCCCTTCTATGTCCCGACCATGTCGACCCCCCCCCCCCCCCAGCCCCCCACATCAGGGCATGGCTATATCACTTTCATATTTAGAGTGCCCCCAGGTAGCACATAAAAAATGCAATTTAACAGTTTTCTTTAAGTAGGAACGTTTAACCTGTGCGGCCAGAGTGCTCTCCGTCCTTCTGCTCTGCGTAAACGTGAGCTGATCACCTACAGTGGGGCAAAAAAGTATTTAGTCAGCCACCGATTGTGCAAGTTCTCCCACTTAAAATGATGACAGAGGTCAGTAATTTACATCATAGGTACACTTCAACTGTGAGAGACAGAATGTGAAAAAAAAAATCCATGAATTCACATGGCAGGATTTTTAAAGAATTTATTTGTAAATCAGGGTGGAAAATAAGTATTTGGTCAATAACAAAAATTCAACTCAATACTTTGTAACATAACCTTTGTTGGCAATAACAGAGGTCAAACGATTACTATAGGTCTTTACCAGGTTTGCACACACAGTAGCTGGTATTTTGGCCCATTCCTCCATGCAGATCTTCTCGAGAGCAGTGACGGGCCTGGACATGCACTGGCTTCAGCAGCGGAACACGTCTGGCACTGCAGGATTTGATTCCCTGCCGTTGTAGTGTGTTACTGATGGTGACCTTTGTTGCTGTGGTCCCAGCTCTCTGCAGGTCATTCACCAGGTCCCCCCGTGTGGTTCTGGGATTCTTGCTCACCGTTCTCATGATCATTTTGACCCCACGGGATGAGATCTTGCGTGGAGCCCCAGATCGAGGGAGATTATCAGTGGTCTTGTATGTCTTCCATTTTCTGATAATTGCTCCCACAGTTGATTTTTTCACACCAAGCTGCTTGCCTATTGTAGATTCACTCTTCCCAGTCTGGTGCAGGTCTACAATTCTTTTCCTGGTGTCCTTCGAAAGCTCTTTGGTCTTGGCCATAGTAGAGTTTGGACTCTGACTGTTTGAGGCTGTGGACAGGTGTCTTTTATACAGATAATGAGTTCAAACAGGTGCCATTAATACAGGTAACGAGTGGAGGACAGAAAAGCTTCTTAAAGAAGACGTTACAGGTCTGTGAGAGCCAGAGATTTTCCTTGTTTGAAGTGACCAAATACTTATTTTCCACCCTGATTTACAAATAAATTCTTTAAAAATCCTGCCATGTGAATTCATGGATTTTTTTCCACATTCTGTCTCTCACAGTTGAAGTGTACCTATGATGAAAATTACTGACCTCTGTCATCATTTTAAGTGGAAGAACTTGCACAATCGGTGGCTGACTAAATACCTTTTTGCCCCACTGTACTTGTGCATCTGGAGCTGAGTCTCCCTTCGCTAGAATCTTCCCGCCTGAAGGTCTACGTAATAGTTTAAGGAATGTGATTTGTGTGTGTGCTTCAACGTTGTGTGTGTTTTTCAATAAATGCTGTTGGAGTGTGTGTTAAAACAAGCAACTAGAATATCTATAAACATCATATTAACCACTGAAATTGCAGCATTTATTTAATGGAAATTCTGCATCGTTTTAACCGTAACACTGCTGATGTAGTTTGTGATCTTGACATCTGTAGGTATATAATATAACCCATATTAATAGCTGTCCTCTTCTAAGTGTGTTGTATAAGCTGTGTCCTAAGGCTCATGTGTCTCATACACACAGCAGCAAACAGCGAAGTGTGTTTTCCATAAATAATCACAGGATGAATACACCTCACCCCACATTAGTTTCATAGAAAGCAGACTTTGGCAGTAGCCGCTGATCCTCCGTCCCGTCCTTCATTGTTGGCTTTGCAAGCAGAGATGCTGTTTTTGTTTCTCATCCTGGGGGACTAGGTGGGAACAAAGTGCTGGCTCCTTCTTCCTTGTAACATGAGCAGGGTACAGATATACATGCTAACACACAGTTAGGCTTCTCATCCACAACTGTGAGAGCAGTGGAAGTGCAGCAGCCTGTTGTACGTACCACTGGCTAAATAAACGTACATTATTCCAACTGCTGCCCTGCACAACCAGGGCCACTCATTAGGATACGATACTATTAGAAATGTTGTTGAAATAAAGGATGTCCATGCATCTTTTCAACACAACATTATTCGATAATGAAAATGTCCCTTCAGAACACCTATGAGTTAAGTCTGAATTAGTTAGAAATAAGATGGTACACTGCCAGTCCAACAAGAGGCCCTCATTTTCATTGGATCATCTTTAGCATTAATTCCTGTAAACATTTAAGTGGGATCGTTTCAAGCAGCTCCCGCAGTGTCACAGCGATAATTCCACCCAGTGTTGTTTATTCTTGGTCAAGCTCTTGCAGAGAGGATGGGAGGGACGCACCAATGCACAAAATCTTCTTTAGCACATTCTCAATTATGAGTTATGATCTGGGCCCTCATTTATCAACCGTACTCGCACACAAAGCTGTGCGTATTTCATGCATAGGAACAATTTTACATGATGTGTGGTGTTTACCATCTTTTGCTTGTGCTTAGAAATGTTCCTAAATACCAGAAAAGCTTTGACCATTCGCATAACTAGCATCTAGTGGTAGAACAGGGGAACTACAACTAAAGGTCTCAGTCATTCATGCGTGTTCCTCATCCAAAAATAATTTTTACCCAATAAGTAATTACAGTGGTGTGAAAAACTATCTGCCCTCTTCCTGATTTCTTATTCTTTTGCATGTTTGTCACACAAAATGTTTCTGATCATCAAACACATTTAACCGTTAGTCAAAGATAACACCAGTAAACACAACATGCACTTTTGAAATGATGGTTTTTATTATTTAGGCAGAGAACTAAATCCAAACCTACATTGCCCTGTGTGAAACAGTAATTGTCCCCTGAACCTAATAACTGGCTGGGCGTCCCTTAGCAGCAATAACTGCAATCAAGCGTTTGCGATAACTTGCTACGAGTCTTTTACGGCGCTCTGGAGGAATTTTGGCCCACTCATCTTTGCAGAATTGTTGTAATTCAGCTTTATTTGAGGGTTTTCTAGCATGAACCGCCTTTTTAAGGTCATGCCATAGCATCTCAATAGGATTCAGGTCAGCACTTTGACTAGGCCACTCCAAAGTCTTCATTTTGTTGTTCTTCAGCCATTCAGAGGTGGATTTGCTGGTGTGTTTTGGGTCATTGTCCTGCTGCAGCACCCAAGATGGCTTCAGCTTTAGTTGATGAACAGATGGCCGGACGTTCTCCTTCAGGATGTTTTGGTAGACGGTAGAATTCATGGTTCCATTTATCACAGCAAGCCTTCCAGTTCCTGAAGCAGCAAAACAACCCCAGACCATCACACTACCACCACCATATTTTACTGTTGGTATGATGTTCTTTGTCTGAAATGCTGTGTTACTTCTACGCCAGATGTAACGGGACATTTGCCTTCCAAACAGTTCAGCTTTTGTCTCATCAGTCCACGAGGTATTTTCCCACAAGTCTTGGCAATCATTGAGATGTTTCTTAGCAAAACTGAGACGAGCCCTGGTGGTTTGCATCTTGGAAATCTGCCATGCAGGCCATTTTTCCCAGTCTCTTTCTGATGGTGGAGTTGTGAACTTTGACCTTAACTGAGGCAAGTGAGGCCTGCAGTTCTTTAGAAGTTGTCCTGGGGTCTTTTGTGACCTCTTAGATGAGTCGTCTCTGCGTAAAGGTAAAGAATCAAGTAGTTTACCTTTCTTGATTTATTCTCAGCTTTAACAAAAATAATAGCTTGTTGAGGCCAGACTACGCTCCTCCGCAGTGGTCATAGCGGCTGCCGTGGTCTCCCCTAGGCAGTTCCACCGGTGACAAATGCTGCACACAACACATCCTCAGATTGCAGCAGTCAGAGCCGGGTGATAAATTAGATTCATCATTAGATAAATGTGGGCCCTGGACTCTGGCATCCAATCCATGTGTGAAAACAATAAATCATGCTTCCTGAACCGCTCTTTCTCAATTAGCGCTTTCACATCTGGGCCAGCACGGATCGGACTGGGTAGCTTTTAAAGTGTTCATATCTAGGTAGCCTTGTGTTTGTCCGTGCTCAACCAGTCGGTTTTTCGGCCCACGTACCAAGGAGGTCTGCTTCGGGCTGAACGAGTCCAACATACCCACTACCAACTGTGGGCTATCTCAGCCTACTGTCGGAGGGAGCCTCCGATTGGCTGACGGAATCAAGCAGCAGGAGCTTTCCTCATGCCTAATTATCATTCTGGATACTGAGAAGTCAACGTCGCCTTTGACTGAAGCTGCGTGCACGCACACACACACACACACACGCACATACACACACACACACACACACACACACACACACGCACGCACGCACACACACACACACACAGACCACTTCCGTGCTTTGAGCTGCACGGCCTTTCGTTTAAGGGAGACACCACGGACTTTCCCACGCGTCTTTTGCCCCTTCCATATTCTCAGAGATTTCCTCTTTCCATAGAAGTGTGTGTGAACAAACCCTACTGGTGCGGGACCCGGATCAACACCACCCAGTCCAGTTCGTGCTGGCCCAGATGTGAAAGCGCTTGAACCTAATGATTTGTGGCACTGTCCTCTTGGAACATACTTATCTGCTTTGTTAAATCTGTGTTGAGGTAGTTAGTAAATATGTAAACAGCTGCATTAATGACGATGTGTTGCACAGACATGGCCGTGACGGGGTACGCTGAATGCTGTAATGACTATGACATAAATGCACGGTTCATGTTTGAATAATATCTATCGTGTAATCAGCGATTCTAGAGTAAAAAACCTCATGTTTGCTCTTTGGTGCAGGAGATGATGCAGATCTTTGCAGTGAACTTCTGCAGGAATCTCTGGATGCTCTGAGGGCTTTACCTGAGGCTACACTGTTTGATGAGGGAACCGTGTCATCCGTGTGGCTGGAAGTTGTGGAAAGGGCAACAAAGTTCCTAAGGTTTGTTTGTTTTATTTACCAAGTAATTCTGTGTACTTATTCTATGCCAGGCAACAATAATTAGCTTAAATATAAACATACCAAATACTCTCTAGTTAATGGAACCTTCAGAGAGGAATCACTGGGTGTGTGTGCTCACTTTCTAAGTCGATCTTATTCAAGATGGCTGCTTCAGCTAATCAACCTTAGCAAACATGAGCATGACTGTAATCGATTATCAGCTAAAATATGATTTGATGGTTGCAGATTGATTTTAGCGGCATTCTAAATACTAACAGAATGCATGAGGTTTTGCAATATTATGGAAGTGATGTCAAATTTTTTGAGATTTGACCAAAAAGGTGATAAATGAATTATTTCTAAACCAAATCGATCATACTTCAAACGGTAGCGGGCGATATGATTTCTTTCAAGGCTTTCTGGGACTTTAATCTTTTCATTAGTTTTGGATAGCTGATCATTACGTTTCTGTTTCATGACTTTAGTTCAGACAGTTCATACATGTTGATAAAGTCATGGTTTGTTTCCTTTGGGACCAGTGATGTACATGGAAATAGCAGCACCAAAGGCAACATTCCTCTTCAGGACCAGCACTTAGCCCTGGCCATCCTGCTGGAGTTGGCTGTGCAGAGGGGCACTCTCAGGTAAGGCCGTACTTTTTATTCTCCCTCATTTGCATATGCCCATTCTCTTTTTGATTTAGATAAACCACTTCATTTCCTCTTACAGCCAGCTGTTATCAGCTGTTCTGCTACTTTTGCGCCTGTGGGATAACGGTGCCAGAGAGATGGACAACGAGCGATCCACCCAGGGGACCAGTGCTCCTCTTCTGCCCCTCCTGCAGCGTTTTCACAACATTCACAGCAGCAAGGAGGAGGCGGTGTCTGAAGAGGATGCTGAGGTAACCAAAACTATTTCCCCAAACCGGTTTTTATTAGAATTCAACATCAACAAAACAGATTCAGAATTCAAAATACAACATTTAAATGTAAATAAGAGAATGACTAGCGTAAGTGAAGGTCTGCTCTTTCGCCAGCTGTTTGTTTTCATCTGGTTGTGATTTAAAGATCCAGGGTCACACTCTGTGCTCTACAGATTCCTACAGCACCTCTCAGCCCAAACGAGAGCTTCCTGCGCTACCTGACGTTGCCTCAGGATAATGACCTGGCCATTGACCTACAACAAACAGCTGTAGTGATCATGGCTCACCTGGACCGCTTGGCTTCTCCTTACAGCCCCCCCCACTGCAACTCCCCCTCCTCACACAAGGTGATGGCTCCTCTTATTAGCCAGCAGTGCTGAAAAGATGAATATGAAGCAACATTTGGTTAAATAAATGACTTTGCTTGTATATGTGTCTGGTATGGGTTTGAAAAAATCTTGTATCTTATGAAACAAGTTGAACTGGGATACTTGAAACCAGATTTAAACTGTTACCATGACCCCCAGCAGTGTTCATGCTCCTGATGTAGAGGTGCCAGACAGAACGGTAATAAAAGTCCGTACTTTGTTTGTTCTTCTGTTCCAGGGGACCTTACAGGAAGTGATGGCCTGGGGTCTCATAGGTTGGAAACTGTATGCCAACGTTAACGGACCCATCCAGTGTAAAGCCCTGTCGAGCCTGGGGGTCGCACAAATTGTCTGTTCGGAAAAAGGTTTTCTGATCCTGTCCAACAGCGGTGCTGTTTACACTCAGAACTACAAGAGCACGACGCTGGTCAGTTCTGCTGCACGGGTCGTTTTTCTGTTCACTGATAGATGTCCTCCTGAGGACTGAGCTGTGACGTTAGTGTCAACGGCACGTAGACTTACTGAACGTTGTCACTGACAGGCTCCTATGCTGATCCACTGTCTGAGCTCCAGAAAGGTTGTGAGGATCGCCGCTCACCCTGATGGGCAACACTACTTGGCCCTGTCGTCAAACGGGGAGGTGTTCTCATGGGGCTGCGGTGATGGTGGCCGGCTCGGACATGGAGACACCACGTAAGCAAGATAAACTTCTGTTTGATGGTTGTTTACCTTTAAACCTCAACATTAATATATTGTCAATGGATATTAAATTCTGCAGTCAAATGAAGTTTATTAACGTTGGAAGCACGGACTGTTTTGAGTAGAACAAAAAAAGATGTCTGTCTGTCTTATGGGCTCGAGACACGGGAGGCGACATCGCCTCTCCTCCGTTCATTTTCAATGAGACATGCGTGACAAAGCGATAATCGCGGGTCTCCCTCCTACCAAGCGAAACGCGAAAAACGTGCGTGTGAAATTTTGCGCTCGTGCACGTGTCGTGCACAGGTGACCCAGCGACGCGATCCCAGAAAGTTAAAATATTTTCAACTTTTCATCGCTGTCGCTCGGACGAGGACCAATCAACGGAGGTTTCATTCACTGACCAATGAGCGGACAGGATGCTCCGTACACCTCCGAGCAAACATGGAGGAGAAGTTGATTATTATTATGTTTTATAGTAAAATCAGAAGTAAGATTTCACATAACTCTAGCAGCACCTTGTGAAACATCATATCTACCGCTTTATTAACTCTGAACCACTAAAATAACCTTAACTTAAATGAACTCTGAATTGGAATTTTTATTATGTGAAGTGCCTGGAGACGACTCTTGTCGTGATTTGGCGCTTTATAAATAAACTTGAATATTGAATTGAATTAACTCCCTCCAACCTGACACAGCCAAACAAAACAACGGAAGTTTCGATTTCGCCATGGAACAGAACGCGTCGACGGCTTTGCCGCTGGCCGCTGCCGCGGATCACCTCCCGTGTGTCGAGCCCATAAGTCATTTTCGTTTTTGGTTGTTTGTGTGTTTTAATTCAATGTCTGTGTAATTTCAGTTACCTTGAAGAACCGACAATGATTGGATCCTTCAGTGGGAAACAGAATGGAAAGCATGTGGTGCACATAGCTTGTGGGAGCACATACAGCGCTGTGGTCACAGCTGATGGCGAGCTGTACACATGGGGCAGAGGGAACTACGGTCGACTGGGTCATGGTGACGTCTACATATGTTCCCTAAATAACACACATTTTAAATATTTGTGTAATCAAAAATGAGCATTATTTTTGTTTCTCTAGGCTCTAGTGAGGACCAGACCACACCCATGCTGGTGACGGCTCTGAAAGGACATAAGGTGGTGGATGTTGCCTGTGGAAGTGGAGATGCCCAAACGCTTGCTGTGACTGAAAATGGTTGGAATAAAAATTATTTAATTTTGGGTTAACTTTGATTGAGAATGATCAGCCAATCAGGTTTTATTTATATAGCGCTTTCCACCGCCCTCAGAGGGCGCCCGAGGGGCTGGACAAGAAAAGTAACAAAGATAAAAGCAGCAAGTCATAAAAACATTAAAAACAAAATAAGAAGATAGACATTTGTGAGAACAATAAAATGCCAATGAGATAAAATTTAATTAAAAGAAAATTGAAATTAATTAGCTAAAAGAAAGCTAAGAACAAAAAATTAAAACCAGAAACATCAATAATCCTGACTGAACACCTTTGTTGCTTTGTTTCCACAGGCCAGGTTTGGTCCTGGGGAGATGGAGATTATGGCAAACTGGGCCGAGGAGGCAGCGATGGATGCAAGACACCCAAGCTGGTGGAGAAGTTGCAGGACCTGGATATAGTGAAGGTCTGCTGTGGCAGTCAGTTTTCAGTAGCCCTCACTAAAGATGGCCAAGTGTACACTTGGGGTAAAGGAGACAATCAGCGTCTTGGTCACGGCTCAGACGAACATGTCCGCTATCCAAAGTTGCTAGACAGTCTGCAAGGTGGGTGGACTAGGAAAACGGGGTTTCAGGAGGTGGGGGCTGAAAATGATTATTTATGATTCTGAACAGGAAAGAAAGTGGTGGATGTTGCTGTTGGTTCCACGCATTGCCTAGCCCTCACAGACGATGGAGAAGTTCACAGCTGGGGCAGCAACGATAAACTACAACACTTCGATACTCTTTTTTCCAACAAGAAACAACCCAAGGCACTCCCAGGGCTCAACTCCAAGCACATAGTGGGGATCTCCTGTGGTCCAGGACAAGTAAGACAACCAGCTCACTTTGCTTTAGTGTCCCCATAATGATGGAAACCAGGTCCGACCCTTTCTGAATGTATTTCCAGAGCTTTGCTTGGTCCTCATGCTCAGAGTGGTCTGTTGGACAGCGCGTGCCCTTTGTGGTGGATGTTTGCTCCATGACCTTTGAGCAGCTGGACCTGCTCCTACGGCAGGTTAGCGAGGGCATGGATGGCAGCTCTGATTGGCCTCCCCCTCAGGAGAAGGAGTGTATGGTAGTCGCCACACTGAACCTGCTCAGGCTCCAGGTGGGAAGCATTGTTAACAGACATGATTAAGTTTATTTAGCTGGGATGTTCTACATCAGAAAAGCAGATCAGAGGTAGTCGTTTAAATGTCTGATCAGCTGATCTCTTAATTTTATCTAGATAATTTGAGCTCCAGTTGTAAATAGTGTTTGATATTTAACTTTAGCGCAAATCACTGTTAGCATTAGCATCGAGTCCTCCTGTCTCCACAGCTCCATGCAGCCATCAGTAACCAGGTTGATCCAGAGGAGCTGGGTCTGGGACTTGGCAGTGTGCTGCTAAACAACCTCAAGCAGACAGTGGTAGTGCTGGCTAGCAATGCTGGTGTGCTCAACACCGTGCAAGCTGCTGCTCAAGCTGTTCTGCAGAGTGGCTGGTCAGTGCTGCTGCCCACCGCCGAGGAAAGAGCCAGGGCGCTGTCCTCACTGCTGCCTAATGCTGGTGAGCGCAAACCACAGCGTCAGCAAGCACATAGAATGCACAGGCACCAACTATCGCTGACCGAATACCATTTTAGTAGAATCAAGACCAAGTTAGAAATTTTACAAATATTTTTTTCAGCTACAGGAAATGAGATGAGCGTGAGCCCGGGACGCCGCTTCATGATCGACCTGCTGGTGAGCAGCTTAATGGCTGATGGAGGGTTAGAATCTGCCCTCAATGCAGCCATCACTGCTGAGATTCAGGTCGGTGAGACATCATGCTCTCCTTCTTCACACAACGTGATTCACCTTTGCTTCTGTTGTTGTGTTGAAACAACACGGCGCTGATGGCACGTACCTCAAACCAAGTTCAACGTCAGATTCAAATTTCAGGATTCAACAGTTTTTATAAAACCTATAAAACCTAGTTCCTTTTACTTTCTTGGCTTAAAGACTCGGAGGGGAAGACTGGTTTGATGTTGCAGCCTGTTGTTGTGGATGCATCCTTGGAGGTGAAAGGTTTCTGTTATCGCCCACCGCCACAGCGAGGCCGCTGGTCGTCTGTGTGTTATGCAGACCGTACGTCTCGATGGGTATTCATTAAATTCCAATAATGCTCCATTTTCTGAGTGACTTTAGAAAGGGAGTGGGTGTTATTGGGAACCTAAAGTAACGAAGTTTAGAGCAACAACAAACTGGCTGAACATCACATCAACTGAGCAACAAATGCAAAAGAAATGCTACGTTATTGGTTAGCACGTATAATGTACAGAATGTTCTCTTTCTCTGTGTTCGAGACATGTTTAGGTGTTTTACAGTGCTGAATGTTTCTGAAATACTCTAACAAAACCTATGTTCTGTTGACTTGTGGAGTCGTCCATCAGTTAGTTGTCATGACAACAGAGGCTTGTTGGGGTATGTAGCTGTGAACCCAAAGTGAAAGCGAGAACAAGAACATTTATTTTTTCTTGTGGTAATTCGACTCCAGCCACGGGAACCTGATCCTTTCATTAAGGAACAAGAACTGGAGCAGCTGAGTCGTTCGTTCATTGTTCGAACGTAGAAGGTTGTTTATGCTTTGATCTGCCAGCACCACCGGTTGAGCTTGATCAACATATTGTGCCTTTGATGTAAGGGACAGGCCTAACGGTGAAATTCTTAATCTGATTTGATTTAGTCTAGAGTAGAGGTTAGTTCTGATGGTTTTTGGTCTTCGCCATTGAACGGATTGTTTTAATGCACAAACACCCCAAAAATGGAAAGTTACAGGAATTTAGTTCAGTCTCCTACCTTTTTATTTCTGATTTCTGATCATTTAATGACAGGATATTGAAGCCAAGGAAGCAGCACAGAAAGAGAAGGAGATTGATGAGCAGGAAGCTAATGCATCCACCCTGCACCGCTGTCGCACCATGCTGGACAAAGATCTCATCAACACAGGCATTTACGAGTCCACAGGGAAGCAAAGCCTGCCCTTAGTGCAGCTTGTGCAACAGCTTTTAAGGTGCCTGCTTATTGCATAAACCAAAACACCCAAAACATCACAGCTCGTCAGGATTTACTCAGCAATCTGTGTTAAATTCCACAGAAACATCGCGTCTCAGACCATCGCTAGGCTGAAGGATGTTGCTCACCGCATCTCAAACTATTTAGAGCCGGAGCACGTCAGCAAGGAGCGTTCTGCTTCTCTGGATCTGCTCTTGCGCTTCCAAAGGCTGCTGGTCAGCAAGTTGTACCTGGGTGTCAACAGCACAGAGGACGTCAGCGGGTATGGTACGTCACTCGGTTTGGTTCGGACCTGTTCTCAGTCAGATTTGTTTCTCAGTCTTTGTTTTCTCCGCAGATCCTGAGCTTCTGGGTGTTGGCTCCTTGTTAAAAAAGTACATAGCCCTGCTGTGTACTCACATTGGAGATATTCTCCCCGTGGCAACAAGCATCGCCTCCACTGGACGCAGACATTTTGCTGAAGTTTCTCGCGTTATTGAAGGATTTCTCACTGGTAGATTTTCTCTCTGCCTGTATTGTTATTGCAGCAGAATGTTTAACGATCGTGTGAGGCAGCCATCGGTCTCGTTATCTTGTTTATTAGGAGTACTTCTGCCTGAACTGGTGGTGTCCATCGTTCTCCTTCTCACCATCGATGCTGATCTGATGCAAGAGACCGGCTCCATCCCTCTGCTGGCCGGACTCCTGGAGCACTTGGATCGTTTCAACCATTTGGCCCCGGGACATGAGCGGGATGATCATGAAGATTTGGCCTGGCCAGGCATTATGGGTAATACGCCATCTGCAACTCTTATTGGCAGACTGATTAGATTTAAGATTATAAATAAATGATGAAAACTAGATTATCTTTTTTAAACAGGGTTTTAGTTATGAAAGTGAAGAGCTTTCCTTCTGCGTTGGCAGGGTCTTTCTTCACAGGGCAAAGCTCCAAAAACAACGAAGAAGTTTCACTCATCCGAAAAGCTGACCTGGAGAATCATAACAAAGATGGCGGCTTTTGGACCATCATCGATGGGAAGGTGTATGACATCAAAGACTTCCAGGCTCAGTCCCAGTCTCTGTCGGGGAATACCATCTTGGGTAGGGTTAAACGTGAATGAAATAGCAAAGTGTTGTTACAGAACAATATTTATTTAGATCTAATGCTGTTTTACAGCTCAGTTTGCAGGAGAGGACCCTGTGGTTGCTTTAGAAGCCGCTCTGCAGTTTGAAGACACGAGGGAATCTATGCAGGCTTTCTGTGTTGGCCAGTACATGGAGGTAGCAAACATCTCATCACACGTTCATCTGTTCAGACCCTTCCTTTTCAGTTGGGTTCCATTTTGATGTTTTGATGTTTTCTACCTGCAGCCTAACCAGGAGACGGTCACCACTCCAGATCTCAGCAGTCTGTCCTCTCCACTTATCGACACCGAGAGGAACTTGGGGCTGCTTCTGGGCCTTCATGCCTCCTACCTTGCCAAGAGCACTCCACTCTCCCCCATGGAGACTGAATGTGCCAGTGGGTTGAAAGTTTTAGAAACAACAACAATGCATAGCAAAGCATGAATGTCACGTTCCAAATCTGTTGATTTTTATCTTGTTTCTGCACAGAATGGCTCCAGTCCTCCATATTCTCTGGTGGCCTTCAGACCAGTCAGATCCACTACAACTATAATGAAGAGAAAGATGAAGACCATTGCAGCTCCCTGGGCACATCTGCTCCTGATAAGGCCAAACTTTACTCCCGCAGGATCACCCTCAGTGACCATGCACAGCCTTTCCTGCAGGCTATTGCTGACAACAACACTCAGGACCACACTGTGAAGGTGCATTCAACACAGTCTAGTTAACACACACGCACGCACACACACACACACACACACACACACACACACACGCACAAATATGTCCAGTAAATCTTTATCTGCGTTGCTTTTTGTGATATTCTAGGACTTCCTGTGCCAAATAGAGCGTTGCTGTAAGCAGTACCACCTCATTACACCCATCACCTTTCCACCAGAACACCCGGTGGAGGAAGTCGGTCGCCTGCTGCTGTGCTGTCTCCTGAAACATCAAGATCTCGGTAACCTAGCAGCTAAACTCAGACTGGTCATTTAAAAAGGAATTCGTGTAGTTTATTCTAACCATACTATGAAGATGGAGTGTTTGGCTAAAATATTAACTTGAGCTGAACTTGAATGTCAACTCTCTGCTGCTACAGGTCACATAGCACTTTCACTTGCCAGTCAGTGTGCCTTGGGTGTGGACCAAGGGAAGCAGAGGTCCCTCCCTAAATCTGTGATAGACGTTTGTCGCATGGTCTACCAGGCTAAATGTTCCTTAATCAAGGTGATTAACCCCCCCCACTTGACCTCGGTGGGAAATAAAAAGTTGATTTCAGACCTAAACTGAAGAAGCGAGTTGTTAAGCTGCTTCCGCTGTGTTGCCCTTTAGACCCATCAGGAGCAGGGCCGCTCCTATAAAGAAGTGTGTGCCCCTGTTGTCGAGCGCCTGCGCTTTCTGTTTAATGAGCTGCGTCCAGCAGTGAGCAACGACCTCTCAATCGTGTCCAAACTCAAACTTCTGAGTTCTCAGCCGCGCTGGAGGAGGATCACTCAGAAACTCATCCGGGACCGAAGGAAAAAACGAGGTGGGATACTTATAGAACAGCAGCCATTTGGCACGTTATTTTTATGTATATGTATACCATTACATTTCATTTTTCCTCTCTCGCAGCGCCCAAGAAGTCAGAGTCTGCTGAGATTGAAGAGCCAAAGCTGGAGAATGAGGGGACCAATGAAGAAGAGCATAATGTTCACATCAGCCCTGCTCCTTCTGATAGGAAATCACCCACTGCCAAGACGTCTAAGGTGCATTAGCTAGGTTACATTATGATGGGATGTTTGAGAGAAAATCCATAAAACATGTAGCTGTGGATCACCTTCCAACAATGTTGCATAAACATCCAGGTTTAGTTGACTGAATTCATTAATAAATGTTGTCTTTATTGCGCCCATCATCAGTCCGTACATATCTAAGCATAATCGTGTTACTTTTCTGCAGCAGGACAAGTGGCAGCCACTTTTAAACACCGTGGCAAAAGTCCAGAGGTACCGGTGGCGTAAACACAGCGTTCAAGGCGTCGTCTCCCAGTCCAGCCTCATGGGCACCATTGTGGAGTTCGCACTGAAAGAGGAACCACTTGATGTGGAAAAAATGAGGAAGTGTCTTCTGAAGCAGGTGAGATGCTTGCTAACCTGAGAGTGAATGTAGTTTTCATTCAGAAATCTGAACACAACCCACTGTGTGTAATATTAGCTTGAAAGAGCAGAAGTGAGGCTCGAGGGGATCAACACCATGCTAAAGCTGGCCTCCAAAAGCTTCCTGCTGCCATCTGTGCAGTATTCAATGCTCTGTGGCTGGCAAAGGGTCATACCTGAAGGGACCAACATTGGGTAAGGGTCTACGAGGATGGCTGTTTTAACTGCAGTTCATTTTAGAAGTAAAAAAACAAACTTAAATGTTTAACTTTGCGTTTCAGAGAGCCCTTGTCTGACTGCCTGAAAGATGTTGACCTGATCCCTCCCTTTAATCGAATGCTTCTGGAAGTGACATTTGGAAAGTTGTACTCTTGGGCCATCCAGAATGTTCGCAGCATCCTGCTCGAGGCCGGTGCTCGGTTTAAAGAGCTGGGTAAGTGGCTAGTTTAGGTTAAACTGGCTCAGGTGTGTAAACGGTTTGTTAAAAAATAGGAATGATCTCAAACTTTGTCCGTTAAACCAGGTGTTCAGCCCGTCCCCTTGCAGACAATCACCAATGAGAACCCAGCAGGACCAAGCCTCGGCACCATTCCACAGGCCCGCTTCCTTCTGTCCATGATACACATGCTGTCTCTGAAGCACGGGTCTAACAGCATCAGTCTTTTACTAAATTCTGGCCTGCTGGCCCTCACTCAGAGCATACTCAAGCTCATAGGTGAGTGCTGTCCTGTCACAGATGTGCCGGCTTCACAGAGCTGAAGTCGAAGGGCGTGGCTCCATGTTTCTGCTTGTTTCTAGGACCCAGCACAGACAGCAGTGAAGAAGACCTGAGTTCATGTACACACGGAGGCTCGGCCACAGTACTGGAAGAATCCAGGAAGGAGGCGGCGCCCACTCCCTTACCTGCCTCTGGCCCAGAACTGGCTGCCATGATGAAGATTGGCACCAGAGTCATGAGGGGAGTTGACTGGAAATGGGGAGATCAGGTACCTGATTGACTTTTCTCCAGGCGTTTTTGTCAGCCACCGTCTAAAGAGGACGGTTGGGCTATACTATCGTTGCACAGGTCTGCGTGTTTATTCGCCTGAATTAGCAAAAATATGTCATGAACATCTGAAACCCACAGGCAGTAATCAATGGATGTGCGTCTACTAATAATCGACTTTTGGTTTCATCTCCTTTCAAGGCGGCTGCCGTAGCCGTTTAGCATTAGCAATACAAAATGTTGTACCTCTGTCAGGTTTACAGACGTTTTGGTGCAAGAGCCATCCCCGTGATGTCAGATCACCCTGCCCATTCAGAGAGCTCCAGTGTTAAGTATTTAGCCTTGTTCGTGTTCCCAGGATGGTCCAGCGCCAGGCCTGGGCCGGGTCATTGGAGAGCTAGGTGAGGATGGATGGATCAGAGTTCAGTGGGACACGAGCAGTACCAACTCATACAGGATGGGCAAAGAGGGCAAATATGACCTGAAACTTGCAGACCCGCCTCCGGCTGCCCAGCCCACCACCGAGGAATCGGACACTGAAGATGACATCGGTTAGTTGGAACTGACTTCAGGTACACGTAAGAAACAACTAGATCATGTAAACTGTGTTCTCCTTTTCTGTTTATCATTCTAAAGAAGGAGAGCTGATTGAGAAAAGCAGCCATCCAACAGCGATGATGCTAACTAGCACAGTCAATCTGTTGAAGACTCTCTCTTTATCCGCTGGGATCTACTCTGAGCTTCTGCAGACGGATGCTTTACGGACGTTGTGTGGGCTACTGAGGGTGCTTGTGGACAGTGGCGTTAACGACAAGTCAAGTAACTAAACCTTTTATGAATTCAGCTTTCTTTTGCAAGGGATGAGTTTGGGCTTCGTTTGAACTTGACTGCTCTTTTGTGTCAGGCTGTCTCTCCCACAGGTTGGTGTCTCGGGAGCAGCACAGGAACTGGTGCACTCTGGGCTTCATTCGCAGCATTGCGCTCATGCCACAGATATGCAGCACTCTCAGCACCTCTGCTTGGATCAGTCTGCTTCTCAGAATTGTAGAGGGACACCAGTCCTTCAACGCCATTACCCTGCAGAGACAAGTAGGTTTAAAATGGTTAGATGAATTGTGCCACAAATTGGTGTCAAGATATGCAAAGTGCAGGCTATTCGCGGGTCCTTAAAAAGTCTTAAATGAGCTTTTCCAAATTTAAGGCCTTAAAAATCCTTAAAAATGACAAATAATCCTTAAATACAGTTTCCAGAGGTCTTAAATGACCAAAGACCCAATAAACAAGATTAGTTTATTTCTATAACATTTTCATGAATTTCTAGTTAGTGTTCAGCGTTTTTTGTGTACGATGTTGCCGTAAGCGGAACCGTACACATTCAGTCAGAGCCGTGTCCAGGACTTTTAAAATGGGGTGGCCCATGTGGGGCACTTGCTTATGCATGGGTGGCACCAATGGTTATGCTTATTTATTTATTTATTTACACAAATCGTTTATTTATTTACTTTCTAGTGAATTTTGGAGTTTCACATTGCACAATCACCATTTTTTTCTATTCATCGTTTTGTGGTGGTTAGCAAGTCACTTCTTGTTGCATTATTGCCACCGGCTGGAGTTGAGTGGGACTAAATACTATTTATGTGAATATGAAAAAATAATAAATAATATTAATAGCACAGAAATGTTCTGTAGGCCTGGGCTAGAAGACAATGTTAAAGGTGCATGCTACCACACACTATTTTTGGAGTTTACAACTCAAGCCTTTTGTCGACAATAGCTGCGTTTTCATGTGCCTAATTTCCTCAATCCGATTGAAATCTTGGTTGATCGGAATTTCCGAATCTCTGTTCACATGGACACGAACTGAAATGATCCGATCATGCCGTGCGTACATATGCACCAAGCATTTAATCCGATTAAATAGGTTGAGCATGCGCAGAGTTGCCTTTCACGAAAGAAAAATTGTAAACAAACGCCATGAAACGAAAAGAAAAATGTAAAAACAGAAATAACTATTCTTCCTGCTTTCCTGATCCATTTATTCAATTTAATATTTTTATTTAGCTCATAGAAGTTACGTTTTCTTCAGTGAATAACTGCAGATATATGCTTTGCTGCATTTTATTGTTGATTAAAATAAGGGAGGGTTATGTCTGCCTCTTGATCAGCTGGTCCGCAGGTCTGAATTGACAGCTGTTGCGCTGCGCTGCGGCACAGAGCGGGGGTGGGGGTGGGGGGTGGGTGTGGGGGGGGGGTTAGCCTCATGTTTTATTACTGAGCTCTGTTGTGGCTTATTATTAATAACATGTGACGATCAGCTGAAACTGTTGAGAAAAATCTGTTCAAACAAAATAACAGAAGATGTTCAGAAAGTTTAGAAGCCTGTGTTCATCATTAACGAACCGCATCTCAGGTCATCTGCGTTTACGTGCTTTTAACGAACACGGACTTTACTGTCGTCCAGAGTATTTAACCGATGACGTTTTCCTACCCAACATCAGCCTCCAATCAGGTCTGTAAAACCCAGATTATCCTGTGTTCTTTACAAGCGTGTCTCCATCACCTGCTGCAGAAGCTGCTGTGTTCAAAGCTGACAGAAACGGGGATCCGTGCGCTGCAACCCCCACGATAAACCTGCGTATTTCCAGTAAAGATTTGAACATCTTTGTCGAATGATTTGTGCAATAATCAGATTTTTATTTTACTTCCACAAAATGCAAGTTCTGAATTAAATATTACTGAAACGGGACGGCTTGTTGTCGGATTTAAAAGCCGCCGCTTGTTAATTACACCGTCATTTTTGAAGTCAGGCAGTCCAAATGACAGCGGAGAGGCCCGCTGGCTGTTGCACACATGCGCAGTGGGCTTTGTTTTACCCCAACAATCCGAATGGCTGTGCACATGCACGTCAATCGGAATGAAGAACGGAATAAACCACCTCTCTCAATCGGATTCAATCCGATCGGGCCGAATCGGATCAGAATATTCTGATTGACATGTTTACATGCAGAATTTTCAATCTGAATGGGCATTCAATCCGATTAAATATGCGCATGTAAACGTGGCTAATGTAAGTTCAATTTAAACTGGAACTTAGTGGGGTGGCACCTGGGGGTGGCCAATCAGACTCTAAGGGTGGCATGTGCTACCCCAGGCCACTCCCTGGCCACGCCCCTGCATTCAGTTGGTTGTGAAAGGGGACTATTTTTGGATGAGCACATTAGCTGGTTAAGCTAGTGGGAGCTTGTGCCATGGGGAAGTGCAAGTTTAATGGTAAGAAGAAGAAGAAAATATCATTTCTATAGCGCCTCTCAAGATAAAAATCACGAGGCGCTTCACAAAAACAAAAAATGTAAAAAATATAAAAAAACATTTAGAAAATGTTTAAAAATATATTTAAAATGAGCAAAAAGAGACAATTGTGATTAAAAAAAATGTTAAGAGAGTAAGAAAGTAACTGGAAGGCTAATCCCACGTTCGCGACGTGGTTAGCACCGGTTCCCGGCAATAGCTGGAAATTATAGCTTAAATGTAATTTTAAAAATGGCTTAAATTTGGTCAAAGTGGCCTTAAAAAAGGTCTTAAAAAGTCTTAAATTTGGCTCCTTTAAACCTGCAGATACCCTGAAAGTAGATGAGGAAGGGAAAACACTGTTCTTCAAAGTACCGTCAGAAACAAATAGGTTAAGGATGAAGCTTTGTACGTCTTACTAAGCTATAAAGAGTCGCATTTAATACGTCCAAGAAAAGACAAAAATGCAAGTATTTGAGATTAAACTTGTCAGTAGCACGACGTTCTTTAAGCACTAGTGTTCAAGAGAAACCATGACGGTATGAGCTGTCATCTTGTTTTATTGTGTGTTTCTAGATCCTAGCTCTACGTCTCCTGCAGGCAGTCCTTCCTTCATGGGACAAGACGGAGCGCTCTCAGGACATGAAGTTTCTGGTGGAGAAGTTATTTAACTTCTTAGGAAGCCTGTTAAGCACCTGCTCGTCAGATCTGCCGCTTCTTCGAGGTGCTGGCATCGATCAGCCTTGCAGCAGTCCTCTACATTTTGATAGTACCATGTAAACGACTGAATGTCTCTGCAGAGGGCTCCATGCGGAGAAAGAAGTCCCGTCCACAGGCCTCCCTGACCGCTACCCACAGCAGCACGCTGGCGGAGGAGATTGTGGCTGTCCTTCGTACTCTGCACTCCCTCGTCCAGTGGAACAGCCTGATAAATGATTACATCAACACTCAGCTCAGCTCCGTTGGAGATATTATGGCAGGGTGCCAGTCTGAAGCGGTGAGAATTGCTGCTCTGTCATGGTTTTATTGGCTGCATTAAAGTATTTAACTCATAATAGTTATTTTGTCCTGACATTATTGAATAAATTGGTGCTGAGAAGTGCTTCCCGTGAGTAAATCTGGCTTTTTCTGCATTTTTGTTTCAGAGCATGTTGGAAGAGCATTTTCCTGATTCTGAGGGTCCCAGAGTCTGCAGCCTCATGGCCGTGCTGGCAGTGATCGGAGGGATCGATGGGCGCCTAAGGCTGGGGGGGCAGGTCATTCATGAGGAATATGGAGAGGGGACGGTCACCCGCATCACTCCAAAGGGACGCATCACCGTTCAGTTCCATGAGATGAGAATCTGCAGGGTTTGCTTACTCGGCCATCTCAAACCGGTAAGAGATTGGTCCGACGTTTGCATCTACAACTTACAAACTCTTCATAGTCGAACTGAGTGGACATCTTTATTCCTCCGTAGCTGCCTGGTGTCTTCTTCAGTGTGCAGAACCTTCCCCTCAGTGGGCCCATGCTGGCCGTTTGGGCCCAGTTGGTCAGTCTGGCTGGGAGCAAACTTGAGAAACAGCGCATGAAGAAGTCTCTCAGCCGAGGACTCACAGGTGCAGAACATGACATGAAACGTATAGAATTACTGTCAGAGAAATAAAACCTTAATATCTGTTTGTAGTTTTAATGTGGAAGTGTGTTCTTTAGACCTTTTCTCGTTCCTCTTCCAAAAGAAACACAAGCTAACATTTTAATGACTTAAAAGTTGTGTTGATTTAATTAGAGGTGATTCAGACATGTCGTTTGTGTTTCCAGCCGACCAGGTGGACCTTCATTTATTGCGATGCCAGCAGCTGAGGCTTTACATTTTGAAGGCAGGCCGTGCGCTGCTGTCTCATCAGGACAAACTCCGGCAGATCCTCTCCCAGCCGGCCGTTGTTGACACTGGAGCCAACATTAGTGGTAAGATCAGAGCTGAACCCATTATGGTCTCTGTTCCTGTTTACCTAATGGTTTTTACATGTGTTAAGTTCTTACTTACAATAAAACATGTTTCATTTACATAAATTGCTTGAATTTCACAAAAAAAAAGATTTTATTCAGATTTTGTTGAACACATACATCTTTCCCTTTGTGTAGACGATCCAGTGGCATCATCTCCTGATGTTGGTGACTTGTCTCCTGAAGGTCCACTGCCTCCACTGATCCTCCTGCAGCAGCTGCTCTCTGCTGCCACTCAACCATCTCCCGTCAAAGCTGTTTTTGACAGGCAGGAGTTGGAGGTACACAAGTAGAAAGCTGGTGTTTAGTCAGTGTTGGCAGGAGAAGCTTCACCCATCTGATGTTGTACAATAGGTTTAAGTTCTTTAAAGCGTTTCTCTTGCTGCGTGTGTGTGTGTGTGTGTGTGTGTGTGTGTGTGTGTGTGTGTGTGTGTGTGTGTGTGTGTGTGTGTGTGTGTGTGTGTGTGTGTGTGTGTGTGTGTGTGTGTGTGTGTGTGTGTGTGTGTGTGTGTGTGTGTGTGTGTGTGTGTGTGTGTGTGTGTGTGTGTGTGTGTGTGTGTGTGTGTGTGTGTGTGTGTGTGTGTGTGTGTGTGTGTGTGTGTTTTAGGCAGCTGCTCTGGCAGTGTGTCAGTACCTGGCTGTGGAATCTGCCCACCCGTCCTCTCCTTTGTTTGAGGAGAGTAGCTCCAGTGAGGCCACCACCCCTGTCACTGTACAACATGTGAAACCACCCAAGCAGAAGAAACAGAAGACTTCCCCCGTACCTCCCTTACCCATAGTCCTCCAGCTCATGGAAATGGGCTTCCCAAGGAAAAACATAGAGTTTGCCTTGAAGTCGCTGTCTGGGACCACAGGCAGCGCCTCTGGCGTCCCAGGTATGTTTTCACATCCGACTCCAGTCCTCGAGGGCCGGCATCCTGCATCTTTTTGTACGTCCCTGTTCCAACACAGTTGCTTCACCTGTGCCGCAGCAGCTCATCAAGCTCTTTAGAAGCCTGTTGATCACCTGCTGATGGAAATCAGGTGTGTTGAAACAGGGAAAACACTAAAACGTGGGATAGCGGCCCTCGAGGACTGGAGTGTGACACCTGTGTCACAGAGGGTAGAACTGTCTGTTGCTTTGAAATATCCCCCTGGAGAGTAATCGGTCTTCTGCATCAGGTGTTGAAGCTCTGGTGAGCTGGCTGCTCGACCATCCAGACATTCACTTCACGGAGCTATCGGATGCTGACACCGTGTCCGATGAATACTCTGATGAGGAGGTGCTGGAGGAAGTAGAAGAAGCAGAGCCAACATTTATTGTGGTGCATTATTATTATTATTATTATTATTATTGCTGTTGTTATTTAAATTTTTTGCGCAACTCACAAAATAGCTAGATCTCCTCATCCTCATGTATTTGGTTTGTGTGTTCCTTCAGCCGCAAGGAGCTGTGGTGACGGAGAGTCAGACATTTAAGAGGAGATCCGATTTCCAAAGCAACGATGATTACGCCGTGTATGTGAGAGAGAACATTCAGGTAAAGGCACCAACTTTTAAAATGGCTTTACCCCCAAATTCCACTACCTCCGCTCCGGTCCGCCCCCGCCTTCCGCAGCCGCTCGCTTCTGAACAAAATTTTTACTAGTACCCGCTCTACAACGGCTCCACTCCGGTGCGGAGACCTGAGGGGGGCAAACAGTCATGCGCGGGATTTTCGAGATCTTGCGATACAGTCCGAGCAATAAACGCGGAAGTTAGATCCAAACACCCGCTGTGTGGGAGAAGCATCGGCATGAACTGTTTAATCTGCCCATCAGTTGTGTTGAGAGATCAGCAGTGTTTGGATCAACAAAGTGTGACTACTTTGATAGTAGAAACTGTATTTATGGCTTACTTTTGTACATTTAAACTTCAGCCGCCATTGATAGTTGTTAAAAGTTGTTAAACCTGTGCATATGAAACAAAAAACGCCTTTTGTTTATCGGTTTATTGTGAAAAACGGAAGTTGTGCTTGCTCCTTTTCCTGTTGGGCGGTTGTGATTCCTGTCCATTTACTGCGGAGGTGCTCCGGCGTCCGGCAAAAATAGAATCAATCCTATTTTTGCCGGAACAGAGGGCGCCGCACTGCCGGAGCACGGCCGTAGTAGTGGAACAGCTCTGACTGACTACAACGGGACCGATTTTGCTCCGGAGTTCGTGCCGAGCGGAGGTAGTGGAATTTGGGGGTTAGAATTGCTTTAAGGAGATGTTGGTTGAAACCAGGTGTTCTCTGCAGGTGGGGATGATGGTGAAGTGCTGCAGAACGTATGAGGAAGTGTATGACGGAGATGTTGGGAAAGTGATTAAGCTGGACAGAGATGGACTCCACGACTTGAACGTGCAGTGTGACTGGCAGCAGAAGGGAGGAACTTATTGGGTTCGCTACATCCACATTGAGCTAATTGGTAAGTGTGTGTGGGGGTCTTCATGTGATGAGAAGTTGGGAATAATATAAAGAAGTGGTTGAAATGGGCGTGTTTGTCCCTACGCTTTCAGGATTCCCACCACAAAGTTCTCCTTGTCATATAAAAATCGGTGACAAAGTGAGGGTAAAGCCTGCCGTCACAACACCAAAATACAAGTGGGGCTCCGTCACTCACAGGAGTGTTGGGGTAGTGAAAGGTAAACCCAAAAATCTGGGCTGTATAACTAGTTTTATCTGGACTTGGTCACTCCTGAGTTGTTTTAACTAAAACTTCTGTTTACCGTGCCAAGCTTTCAGCGCCAATGGAAAGGATGTGATTGTAGACTTCCCACAGCAGTCTCACTGGACTGGGTTGCTGTCTGAGATGGAACTGGTACCAAGCGTTCATCCTGGAGTCAGGTGCTGTACGCTAACATTTCCCTTTCTCCTCAGAGGCTCTTGTGATTATAAACGTCAGTAAAATGTAAAATCTGTGTCACCCACAGGTGTGATGGCTGTCAGATGTTCCCTATCAACGGCCCTCGATTCAAGTGCAGAAACTGTGATGACTTTGACTTTTGTGAAAATTGCTTCAAGACGCGAAAACACAACACCAGACATTCCTTTGGCCGGATTAACGAGCCCGGTTAGTCCTTTGTTCACAACCGCAGTCTGCTCTGAGTGTTAACATGGAGGTAAGCCTAATGTTTACCTTCTCTGCCACCAGGCCAGTCTCCAGCCTTTTGTGGCCGTTCAGGCAAACAGCTGAAGAAGCATCATAACAACCAGCGTGGAATGCTGATCGACGACTGGTCTCGTGCTGTGAAGAGCCTCAGTGTCTCGTCCTCCGTTAACCAGGCGTCACGCCTCATTGACTGCAGCGATCAGTGCTGGCAGTCCTCAGGCTCGCAGGGAAAGGTGGAACATTTAATTAGCATGTTCTAACAGACTGAACCTGGTTCAGTACAGCGTGATGCATCGGCTGACGGGATTTTCTGTGGGTTTTTTGGCAGCACTGGATTCGTCTCGAGCTTTTCCCAGATGTTCTCGTACATCGGCTGAAGATGGTCGTCGACCCGGCGGACAGCAGCTACATGCCCTCCCTTGTTGTCATTTCAGGCGAGTTCAACTGGATTTGTTGTTGGACTTGATCCACTTTTCTCTTGTACCTAATTTGCCCTGTATCAGATAATGCGGAGAAGTTGTGGAAACTAAGAAGTGACACTTAAATGCACTTGGACTTATATTTTAAGAAATTAAAAAATTTGATTTACACCCATAAACGGTAAACTGTTATTATCTTTAAACAGGCGGAAGCTCTCTGAACAACTTGATTGAGCTGAAGACGATTAACATCAATCCCACAGACACAACTGTCCCTCTCCTTGCCGACTGTACTGAGGTCAGCAGGTCTTGAGGTTAGCTCAAACCTTTTAGCATCTTTGGATGTTTGATGATTTTGTGGATGTCTTCTCAGTTTCACCGATACATCGAGATTGCCATCAAGCAGTGTCGCAGCTCCGGAATAGACTGTAAAATTCACGGACTTCGTATTGTGGGACGCATCAGAGCAGAGGATGAAGACTTGGCAACCGTCCCCTTTCTGGCATCTGACAACGAAGAAGAGGACGAGGAGAAATCTACAGCTGGGAGGTTTGACTGCAGAAGGAATATATGTTAAAGAGATAGCAAGGCTTTCAAGTTTTAGATCATGAACACAGCTAATTTGTTTAATGTAGTGATGAATCTCTCCTGTAGACAGTAATGAAGGCTGGGAGATGTTTCATCTGTTAGATTAAGGTGTTAAAAAGATGAACGCCCATAGAAGAGAGAAGTTTTGATTTCGGTTCTACAAACGGACACAAGGGGGTGCTAAAGGCAAGCCAAAACTGCCTGGATCCTCTTTAAAGTGCTAAAACATGAAGTTTCTTTCTCATATAAGAAGATGCTTTGCAGACTTGCAGATTGTTCTGGTGAAAGTTAACATCTAATCTAAACCCAGAGTTAAATGTGGTTGATGTATTTTCATAAATACGATAAAATAATTTTCTGATTTCAAATGCTGGGTTTGTTGATCTTTGTGAATTTCTAATTTTCTTTTCAGTCTTGCTCGGAAGAAGCCTCCAGGGTTGGACTCAGCAGCCGCCATCAGGACCAAAGTGTTCGTGTGGGGTCTGAACGACAAAGACCAGCTGGGAGGACTTAAAGGGTCTAAGGTCTTAATTACCACATGATGAAATAATAAATGAAGTGAAATCTAGCAAGTTAGGGATTATTTCTCTCTGTATCCTGTGGTTCTAAAACTGATGCAGGTTAATTTTTATTTAGTTTATCAAATATTAATGTGTGTTTATTACACATGCATTAAACATGTGGTTCACTGATTCTGATTATCATCGGTTACTCTGAGTTTTTTATGCAGGCTGAACATGAAAATAGTCTCCTACACCTATTTACTGCATTAGCTTCTGATTTGAAAAGCCTAACAGATCTATGTCACACTGTCACTTAATATTCATGGACTCACCCATTTTGATTCACGATGGGGAATGCTGCTGTTGGTTTAGCGTCCAAGACGCCTCAGGAAACGTTTCGACACGTAGAAGGTAACCGTTAGCATTAACAACCCACCACACAGCAGAACTCCTCCAGGCTTGTGGAGATGAAACATCCAGGTCGCAGAGCAAACTGAGTCAGCGGTAGAATCGCTTTGCTGTTATCCAGTTGAAGCGAGATGTCCAAATACCAGGAAATACGAGTCCCGTTCCTGTCGTCTGAAGCTCAGCTGTGATGTGGGTAACTTTTAGGTCCTAGAAACGGTGCAGCCGTATATTTGTTCCCCGTAGAATGACTTACAAGGCATTCATTCCAACTAGAGACCACTGCAAATGCATTGATTAAACAAGAGTTCCACACCTTGAAATATTCCTCAAGTCTTCAACACCTTACTAGTGTGGAAGACATTACAGCAGGAGGCACGCTTGACCTCAGGTCAACTATGACCGCAGCCACATTTTCTCTTCACAGATCAAAGTTCCTTCTTTCTCTGAAACACTCTCTGCACTCAATGTGGTGCAGGTGGCGGGTGGTTCCAAAAGTCTGTTTGCAGGTAATTTAAGAGAATTTTTTTATATAAAAACAAAAATCAAAGTACTTTTGTATGTTGTAACTGGTGACTTGTTTTAAAGTGACGGTGGAAGGGAAGATTTATGCTTGTGGAGAGGCTACAAATGGCAGGTTAGGTCTGGGCCTCTCTAGTGGGACCATCCCAATCCCTCGTCAGATCACTGCACTAAGTAACTACGTGGTGAAGAAAGTGGCTGTGCATTCTGGTGGACGCCACGCCATGGCCCTGACCGTGGATGGGAAGGTGTTCTCCTGGGGCGAAGGAGATGATGGCAAACTGGGGCACTTTAGTAGAATGTGAGTTGGCATAAGAACGTCGACATTTGGCATCATAGTACACTTTTAGTGTGATAGTTTATTTTTTTTCACATTCAGACTTTAAATAAAGGTTTTTCTGTACAAGACTTTCACTGAAGGTGTACTGAACAGCAGTTTAAGGATTAGCAAAGCTGAGGAAACCTGATTTTTCCTCCAGGAACTGCGATAAGCCGCGGCTGATCGAGGCTCTGAAGAGCAAACGTATCCGGGACGTTGCCTGTGGGAGCTCTCACAGTGCTGCCATCACCTCCAGCGGGGAGCTCTACAGCTGGGGTTTAGGTGAATATGGTCGCCTCGGGCATGGGGACAACACGACGCAGCTCAGACCCAAACTGGTATGTACATGAATCCACCTCACCCTTTTATTCACTCTTTAAAGGAACTAGCTGCTCTGACATTTTAATTTTACTTGCTCCAGAACGTTTAGATCTCCTGCACTCAGCAGCTGTTCTAACATCCAAAGACTTTATAACAAATTGCGTTATTTGCAAATCCTGATTTGCATTCATGTCGTTTTTTAAAGGTGTGGTTCACCAAAAAAACATTTTTAATTAATACTTCTGATTATAATCAGATTTTCATGCAGGCTGGACACAAAAATCTACACTTATCTCCTGAATTAGCTTATGATTAAAAATAGATGTTTAAACTAGGGTTGGGCGAGGGGCTGAGCCGTTGTAATTTATTATTTTACAAGAGGCAATTTGTTTATTTCTTTATTTGTTTGGCCGTGCGTAAGTTTGTTAAACATCATGAATGCAACAATTAAGAAAAGATCTTCATCAGCACAACCGACCATTATTTCACACGTTCTCTGCCTCTCGCTGCTGACGGTGCACACACGCGGTGTGCTGAGGAGGAGCTGTGAGAGCATCTGTGACACAAGCTGCAGGTGATCGGTTCAGGTTAACGCGGAGCTGAAGGAATGTGCCTTCAGGCCGCAGCAGGTGGTATGTTCCCAATTTAAGTGAAATTGTTTAGTTGCAGTGATCAGCTTGTTTGGACTAAATATTAATTAAAAATGAACGGAAATGTAATTATTATTTTAAAAACTAAAGCGACTGGGATAAATGGATCATGTGGCCTCTGGCTGCGAGCAAAGGCCCCATCCTCAGAGAGTCCAAATGCAGCATCGATTCATTTCATTTCTCAAAGTCATAAAAGAAAGAAGCCCAGAAGCCTTTGTTCAAAACCATTATGCCTAAATAAAATACCACAATAGTGGACACTGCAGGGAAACCAAGACGAGGCTTCTTTAACACTTCGACCGTGTTTAATACGGTCCGTTTACATGCCGCTCTACATAACTAAAAATACAAAATTAAACAAAAAGAAAAATCAAACTTCCAGCAAATATTTGCGCTGCTCTTCTATCTTCTACTGTATCCGCCAATCGGTTTGTGCATCATGACATTGCTCAGAGTCACATGCACAAATAAGTCACCCATCGTCATTATAACCGACTATTGGCGGTTTGAAAAATTATACATGTCGCCCGACCCTAGCTGAAACGCTAGGATTTGATAAGGCTGACAGATCTACGCCACAATGTCACTTAACATTCATGGACTCGCCTGTCTTGAGTCGCAACAGGGAAGGCTGTTTTAGTTTTAGCGTCCAGGCAACAGCAGAGAACGTCTTGACTAGTAGAAGCTATTGGTTAGCATTAGGAACTTCTCCACACAGCAGAGTTTCTTCAGGCTTTTGTTATTTGTAGAGATGAAACGTCCACGTTGCAAAGTAAACAGTCAGTGGTAGAGTCGCGTTGCTGATATCTGACGGTTGAAAATCGAAGCGGAAACCAAGGTGAAGCTGAAAAGACTTGAACTTAAGATTAAAGCTCTGTTACACAAGAGGTTCCTAAGCTAAAACCAAAGAGACTGTTGTCAAGACGACTACTGCCGAGGAGCCGCAGAAGATGGATATCAGTAAGTGCGTTGTGTCCGTGCCACCGTTTCATGAGGCAGAGGTGGACGGCTACTTCCTGGTATCTGAGCGTATTGCTACAGCTCTTGGGTGGCCTGGAGATGTTCGGATATTAATTCTACGATGTAAGCTATCAGGAAAAGCTCAGGAGGTAATCTGGTCTATTTCCATTCTAAATGGTTTGGATTAAGAATGTAAAATCTGCTGTTATAAGCTTATGAATTAGTGCCGCAAGCCTATCGGCAAAAGTTTACAACCATAAAAGTTCTGACCAGACATGTTGAGTTTTCACGCTGAGTTGCAAGAGCCAGAGGCGAGATGTGCAAACATCAGGAAATAGTCCACATTATACCGTCTGTAGCTCAGCTCTGGTCTGACTCACTTATAGTTCCTGGAACAGGCGCACCGGAGCTTTGTTTCGCCATTCCTACTAGAGACCACTGCAAAGGAATAAAAACGTGAATGACATGATCATTTATACGGTG